CTGCACCGTGTACGTTCGTCTACACACCTGGTGGTTCCGTTTAACCGCGACGATCAAGGGTGCAATTGATATTGCACAATAGGTACTTGTCGACGTGCAAACAAGGTTGATCGATGTCTGAGATTGCTTCAAGAACGCGGTTAATTACGGGGGACCTTGCTCTTAATGCGATCGCTTCTCTCGTGCCTCTTCGACTTCACGCTCTCCAGAAATTTGCACATATACACTGGAAGTTCTTTTTTCTTTCTCCCCCGTGTGTATTACTTTTCTCGCGTTCTTTCTGGGACGGCCATGAGGTTGATGCACTTGCAATGAGATTGGCACAGAAAACTCCACGCCAGCGTTCTAGTCATTATTCGCGGTCGTTCTTGAGGGTCTTTGCGTTTATACATATATACATATATGTATATATATATATACGTGCACACATTTCATTTATACATACGGCATGCGTAATAAGTTTATAAAAAGCATTTGCCATCGCGCTTTTTTCCATGGGAGGGGAAAAATCCTCGAGCGCACGCCAAGTATGAAAATGTTCTGCTTTTTTGGTAAAGGTACTACATTTTTATTCATGAACCCCGCGGATAGTTCGAGAAGGGCCGAGACCTCTTTCCGACCTTTCGAGGATTCATTGTGGACTCTCTCATCCAGACGCATTCGGTCGAGACATATCTCAAATTGAATGATAATGAAATGCCTCATAAATAAATCTAATATCAGTAACATTGAACCGCTAACCATGAACCGCACTCGTTGTGCACCGAAATAACCAATATGCCACGTGCAGCGATAATTGGTGTCATGGTAAGAAACCGTACTTCCGCAAGCCCTCGTTTTAGAAATTCAATTTCTCTGCTATCTCAAGGCACCATGAAAAAGATACGAGGAAAAAAAGAAAGAAGAAAATGGAGCAAATCGGAACAGCTTCTAAACCCCAATTAAACGAGTCGAGCAAGTACTTTCCGACGTTGTCAGTCCACTTAGGATGCTCTTATCTCACACGAGAAATACCGTAAAATGATAAAAGACCCAACGACTCCAATTCAATTCCGAAAACGGCCCCCGTCACTGCGGGGCGTTATCGTTTTCGCTTCCCAAAGGAAGGCACATAAAATTATGACGGATTGATGTAAGGCCGCGTAGCTTTTTGGCAAACTCATTTGATTTTTACTTACACTCCCATATATCGTCCCGAGAGTCCCGGGGCCTCTTCCGAGGCTCTCGGGGCCCCATTGTGGAGTTTCTCATCGTACAGGTTTCGCCGAGTCTGACTTCGAGCCGAATGACGACCGAGAGGGTCCCGCTCTCGGGTGGGTTGTCGGACGGTTGCGGGGGTGGCAAGACCGCTTTAAAAATAACCGACCCTAAGGGCTTAAGTAGCTAACGATTGTATCGTGACGAAAGGTACTACGCGACCGAGGACAAGAGAAAAGCCCCCGGAGAGGTTCGGGGCCCGAAGATCGGATCACGGTCCCCCCGAAAAGAAAGCCTCAACGGGACAGCCAGGTAGACTCGTCGGCCACTTCCGAAATTTGGCCGAAAATGGCCCCGGGGGCATTTCGTAGTCATGGACAAGGTGCTACTCTCGACGAAGGTCTCTTGAATCGCCCTAAATCATTCGCGTCCTTTCTCGCCGACCCCGAGGTCTTACGAGTCGGACGGAGAAAAGAGGAGTCGGAAAGCACATTTTCCGGATTAGTTTGGCCACGAGGGTCACGTAACGGTTGTCGGTTTCCACGATCCACGTCGTGGCCAGGACTCATCTCGTTTCGTATATTCGACGACGAAGCGCGCCTCCAGGAACCGAATGTCGCCTCGAGGCGAGGGCCACGACTCTTTCGCTAAAATGGTAAAATCCGTAACAAGGCATCACGCAACTTTTCCAATAACGACCGAGGCACCTTCGACAGCCTCGCGGCTGTCGCTAAAGGCCCTCTCCGTGCCTTATTTCCTGAAATAAGTCGGCAAATCGATAATTCGTATTGCGCAATCCGTCCTCGTGCACTCACCCGTGCGAATGATCGTATCGAGGTAGAATGCCCCCGGAAAGTCGTACCGGGTAAATGATCCGAAGAAGATTTATTCCTTAGAAGAAACGGTTAAGTACTGATTTTTCGATACACCGGCCGTGCCGTGGCGGAATTTTGAAAATTCAATCGGAACCGCGGTTGAGTCGCGGGGTCCTTCGATGCTGGTCGCGATTGGCATCGATCGAGCGACCGGCACTCGGGTCGATTATTTATTTCTCCCGGCGATGTTTCCTGCATAACGGTACGCAGGGACCGCGCCATCGCCGGACTAGATCCGTTTCTATAATTACGACGTAACGCCATAATAGAGCCGCGCGGGCTCGTATCGATCTCGAGACGACGTCGCCGATAGACGTCCGCACCGGAAGTCGGCCACGATTCCGAACGCCGGGAAAGTAAAGAGACCCCGATTTTTCCCGTATTTGGTCAATCAATGAGGGCGACTCCGTGGCATGGTCGCGGTGCAATAAGACAGGTCTTAAAAAAAAAAAAAGAAAAATATGACAATCAGTAATACAAAAATATCCAACTTTTCGAACACATGTCTCGGGACAAGTTGCACCCTCGTGACGTAAAATTCCATATACAATTGCCTACGAAATTTGGAAAAACTGTATCTCGAAAAACCTTTGATTACCCTGACAAAAATGCCCATATTAGTTTACACACCTAATTATTGGTTACTTCCAGGCTACAATAAATAGCAGTAAAATTACATTGCGTCTCCAATATCCAATTCAGCAATTAAGTTAAGTTAATTGCAACGTGATATCACACTTAATTCCAATTAATAATCTCTCCATTTTACGCATTTCTACGTGAAACTTCAGCTAGAAGGTACGTAAAAATGTATGTAAAATCCCGTTGATTTATATCAGTGTACATGTATACCATATTTAAAGGAGTATTTTTAACAGCAAGGTTAAGCGGAGTTCCGACCAGTATGCCATCCACGACGCGTTGACGCGCCGCGCTCAGTGCAACCCCAACGCCCTCGGTGGAACTCCACCTAACGATCCCGGCCCTCCTCTCCCGCGGGACTCCTCGACTCGGCGTCCTCGTGTGCGTGTCCTCGACCGAAGGGATTGACCCGAGGAGGAGGTTCACGGGTTCACCTCGGTCGGACAATAGTCGTGATCCACGCGGCGGATTCGCGAGCGATACGATCCCCGGACACCGGAAACTCGGGCTTTAAAGGGGAACGCGCGCTATTTGCTCCCTCGGGCGGAAAGCAGACGAGTTGGTTTCTCTTTTTGTCTTCGACATCTTGATATACGTCGAGCCAATCGAGGAATTTCCCTCTTTCCCCAAGCCGCGTACCGAGCGACACGTATATCACTCGCCGATCCGAGCTCAGGCGGTCCGATAAGACGCGGGGTTCGTGCGGTGATTTCTAGGCCGATTTAATTGTAAATAGTTTTGCGCGAAATCGGCCACGGAGATTGCAGCTTGTTCCGCGCAAGATAAAGAGAAAGAGAGAAGGCGATCAATCCAGATAGAGCCGTAGTGCCCATTGTGTACCGGCGAAACTCGTTCGGACGATCCTATCGGTCCAGCTACAATGCACATTTCGTCGATAGAGTTGCGATTTGTTCAGCGCCGAATTAATTAGCCGGTGGGTTAATTGCCCGTAGAATTTTCATGCGCGCCGCGGCATGCCAATCCTCACCGCAACGTGCGAGTCTCCGTGACTTTTTGCCGGCCCATTCAGAGGGAAACGCGGATAAAAAGTATGCACTGCATGTAGCTGCAAATAATCGCCTCTCGTAAGGGTTTTCCCTCCCTGCGCGTAGGTCGGCGTGAAGCGACGGAGGTACGGTTAAACCCCGTTAAAGGGAGTCGAGGAGTTCTCTCGACCACGTGGGAAAGTTTACCGCCCTCTGAAATTCGAGAAGGACGAGCGCGGAGTGATTAATGAACGCGTGGAGCTCGAGAACTTGACATTCACGGAGTATCCTCCTCGGGAATCGCGTCCCGCAAGATCGCGGCGGCTTGTCTTCGAGTCCTGTGAAGAATGGCCAGGGAACTCGACTCGCCACGTGTCCTTGCTTCAGCCTGGATAGCCAACGAAGTTGCACCTGACGGCACTTCCGTTTTGGCCGAGTTAACGGACCGTACGCGTAACGAAGTCAGGTCGTTACCTCGTCTGTGGTGCGGAGAAAAATAACGATTAGTTGACGGGATCGATAAGAGGCATTTAAATATGGCGGATGCTCGAGTACCTCTTCCTCGGATTTAAATGGAATGTAAATATATTCGATGGCTCGTCGTACGTTGTGGGGGATTAGTCGAATTCTTATCTATTTCTTTTCTTTCCTCTCTTTCGATTAATCACTTCCGGAGGATCTGACTCCGAGTAATGTGATTTTTGGGTGAAAAGCTCCCGGACCAGTCGCGTCGCGATTGAATGGGTGCATTGTCTTGACATTGACGGGGCACGGTGCGAGAGATAGCACTGTAAGGAGGGACAATGGGGGATCGCGAGCATTCAATCGCGAGGTATCTACGTTGATAGGATATATGTGTCAATGGGTACCTGGTGCAAACAAGAATCGCACGGAGCCAGACTGCATTTGTCAATACATCAAATATCGCGCGAACGCCCTTTTATCACGTCCCTGTAGTTACCGTCGAGATAGATAGGTCCTGCGTGTGTACAGGTGCATATATAATGCAACGCTCCCAGATGCGGCGTGCTTTTCTCTGCCATGTTACGAAGAGGGTAGAAGTGGTATACCATTCGTCCATTCACGATGACTAGTACAGAGGGAGGGACCCTAAAATTGGCAGGGATCGTGCCTCGTGGAAAAATTAAATTTAATTGAATGTCTCGCAGAGTAGTGCCCGGCATAATCTATGGTTATTCGATTTTGGTAAATTTTGATATGTTAGAAAAAATACTACGGCATACTTGAGATAAGAATTTCATAATTTAACGACAATTATAGGGGATGACACTTGTCTTACCTTGATGCCACTGCGCCCTTGCTGCTTCAGCAGAACGTTCTCAGGCTTCATGTCGCAGTGTATGATTTTGTTTTTGTAGAGTGCATCCAGGCACTGAAGCAACGAGTGGGAGAACTTCCTAACCAACTGTAGGCTAAATCCTTGGAACTTGTTCTTCTTGATTAGCTCGTACAAATTAATGCTGAGAAGCTCGAAGGTAATGCACATGTGATTACGGAAAGTGAACGAGTCGAACATATGAATGATGTTCATCGTGTTGTTCTTATCCTGCTCCCTGAGATTCCGAAGTATTCTGATCTCCTCCTGAGCCTGCCGATGAAACCTCTTTTCGTTCCTCACCATCTTTAAAGCGACGTGCTCATGCGTCTTGTGGTCGTACGCTTTGACCACTTGTCCGAAGGAACCTCTGCCGATCACTTTTAGCACTTCGTACCTATAAGCAACGTGATCATGAGGTACGTGAATGTATGATCCTTGATCGTTGTCATAGGCATGATTATTTTCATGCCCTATAATGCCCGGCCTTTTCTCCGCGTTTACTCCAATAAAGTAGATCTGGGAGTAGTTAAATATTTCATGGTGCTCATAGGGTGTCAACTTGTTCATGTACAGCTTCATTACTATTTCTGGCGTAACCGTTGCAATTTTTGGCTTTCCTCCACTGGTATTCTCATCGGAGCGCCCGTTCTTAACCATCGGACTACCGGATTGACTGCTCGGATGAGAGTGAGAATTGTGACTGGAATTATGGCTATTGTGGCTGGTGTGGCTGGTGTGACTGGTATGCGAGCTTAGGCTCAAATTCAAACTATCCAAATTGCTAGTTAAATTTTGCAGGCTATTGTTCGTACTCGATCCTAAACTAGGCAGGTGCGTCCCCGCCGTGTGACCCGTGTGGGTCTGATGGCTCGTCGGTGACTCTCCTTGCTTCGGCACTAAACCACTCGCCTTCAAAGGTGGAAGATGATCGCTCTCGTTCGCCGACACACGAGACGAGTGGAACGGATTCGGCCTGGAAAGAGGCATATCCACGGTGGCGGTCAGCGTTGACCCACCAGCTGGATGGTGATCGTTTTCGTTCCCGGTTACACGAGATGAATGGAACGGATTCGTTCTTGAGAGGGGCATCTCGATAGTAGTGGCAGCTAAGGTTAAGCTAGACATTTGTGCCCATTTAGCAGATAAGTGTTCACGTTGTGCCTTTCGTTTAGTCTCCTCGTGCGCTTCCGTAGAAATCCTTGCTTATTCGCGTAGAACTTCCATTCTATTCGTTCCTACTAAGAGGTCACGTTATTGCTCTTGGCCATGTAGAATAAATCACAAAGCGTTCCAAGTTACATCTTCGATTCCTGGATTCTTCCAGTACATGGATTACTCTTGGACCGACCGTCGGCTCTTACACTCAATCCCATCTCACGATGCCACTTCTGAGGCATAAATCAATTCTCCTAGAGGTTCGCAACACCTCCGCTCCCATGTCTACCTCCCAAAGGTCTTTCCTCTGGATCGCTTTGCCTTTGGCATCACCGAATCTCCTTCGTAACTCGACGACCGCTCGTTCGTCCGTACCTTGAGATCGTCATGCGTTCTCAAAAGTAATATCCAAAAGCCATGAAAAAATCTCGTGTAAATGCGGTAGACTAGAAGAGGTCTTCGACTCCCTTGACGGAAAGCAGCCCTAGGGACCCTCTCTCCCTCTCGCCCCTACGCGATTACACATACTCACACGTATACACACGTCAAAACACTGAGCGAACACGGATTCTGGGCCGACCGAGGGAGGAGCGAGGGCCAGGAACCGTCGAATCGCTCGGCGACGGCGGCGACGTCCGGCCGGACGCCACCCGGAGGTCCCCCTTCGGGGGGAGGGGGGAAACTCAGGAAAACTCCGACTCGCTCGCCTCCTCGTTCGCTTCGTCCTCGCCCTTTTGCTTGATCCTCCGGATCCCTTTAACCTTCGAGTGCGCCCTCGAGCGTCTAATTTTACGATCTATCGCGCACGAGGGCAAACGCATCCTGAGCCGCCGGGTCTAGCTCGGAGGTTATTGGCACCAGGCCGCCCGAGTTTGACGACTCCGCTCCATTCAGCCCGACTCAGCCTCCGCTCGGTCGAGGGCACGGTGCCCGACAACGAGTGTGGGACGCCCTTTCGCTGATCGATCTTCACGCCTCTCTCTCTCCCTCTCTCTCGCTTCCGACAAAGCCTCTCGAGAGAAAAGAGACGCACAGGCAAGCGCCGAGCCTCGTGCACCGTGCAGCACCGCAACGAAACGTGCTCAACGGCCGTGCGAGTCGCGCGACGCGCACCTACACACTGACCGATGCACACGGTGCTGCGCCTGACCGCCGCGCACGGATACAGACACTAGAGGGAGGACCGTCCGCGCACGCTGCTTTACCGACGGCGCCACCTCGCGGTCTGCGGGCGCGCGTGCGTTCGGGCGATATCGGATATTCCCGTCTCACTGGACGCTCTCGGCTCCGCGCTGACGGGAGGCCGAGCGCTGAGGCTTCGCTTTACCGGCGGCGCTGCGCCGACCGCGGCGCCCTCTGGCGCCCGCACGCCAAGGTGGCGGCGCACCGCGACACCGTCAACGAGTCGAGCACTCGGGACCGAGAACGGACGGCGATATCCCGATTGGCCCGATCGTCCCCTTTCTCTTCCTGGACGAGTGATTCTCGAAATCCGGCGATTCTCCTCCGTCTCGCCGGGCTCGAGACCTTCTCGCATCCCGCGTGTTCCCTCACTGGGCGCTCAAACGATCGGTCGACGTTGCTACTCCGCGAGAACTCGAACCCGCGGTCCCGAGAGGAACTTCTCCCGACCGGTTTTCGTCACCGACACCTCCCGTCGAGTCTCGCCTCGTGACTCCATTCTCCTCGTCGCGATCGCACCTTGGAGCGAGCGGTCGAATCGCGAGACGATCCCGGCTGCATCAAAATCGGGAGCAGTTAGGAGCGTGGCACTCACACATACTCATGTAGAACACAGCCGTGTGTTCCAATGTTTCAGAAACTGCGACAACTAAATGATTGTGGATTTTGTCGATAGATGATATTAAAAAATCCGCAATCACTTAGTTGCCAACCCAACAGTTCAGTGCGCTGAACGTGATGGTGGTGGTCACGTACAGAACACATGCAGCAACCTGGGTGAGCGTATCGCACGCGGAATCTTTGTGCGTCCCAATCAGCCGCGGTTCGCGGCGGCAAGCTGCGGCTCCAAGTAAACTTTGCGTGTAGGGCTCACATGCATACTGCACACATAGTGAGTTTTGTGTACGAGCTGGATACGGCAAGAATCATAATTCGGATAATGTATGGTTTTTAATCCTACTTAGCTGTCTTCGAATTTGTCATCGATGTGAAGCGTTCATTTCGTAAACGAAGAAGTTGGGACCGTAGAAAATGTATCTACAAAACAAATGAATTCGACAGACATCAGGAGTAAGTGTTTATCATTTGCATTGAAAATGTTTATCAAAAAAGTTGTGAAATAAATATTTTATTATGTGAAACATATTTTTCATGTGTATTTTATATTGCGTTCCTTTTCACCTATTCAAATTTCCCGCTGGATGAGGCACTGTGAAGTAGCGCGGGTATTTGGTGTATATCCTACCCACGATGGAGCGCTGAAGACGTGTGCGCAAAAAATACATTGCGGCTTATGGGACCTTCCGCTGTATCTAATACTCTCAGGTCCATGCTTGTAACTGATTCTTGTAAGCGCACCAGCTGATATCTGCGCGAGTGCGTCGTAGTTAGTCAAATCTACAATACGTTACGAGTGCAGAATGAGCTCAGTGCCAAAGTCCTTTAAGGAGAGTCGCTCTTTTGGTACGTATTATCGAGAGATCCGCAAAACATCGATCGATGGATTCATAACTGTACTTGGAAACGATCAACGAATAAAGGCTTTCGGTTTGTGTACACTAGGCACCAGTCAATAGTTGTTCTTCACCGATTGTTGCATCGTAGCGTCTAAGATTTATTGCGCGAAAAAAAAGACGTCAATTCGAAGATATATAAGCGTAAGCTGAGATGTTGCTAGGTGCTTTTCTTTGTGTGGTGCAAGCATTAGTCTTTATGACGGGACATTTGTACAACACTGACTATTGTTTTAACTGCGATTATGATGATTGCTTATTTCTTTTATTTAATTAGGAACGTTTAAGAATCAATGTTGATTTTATGCTCTATTATTTAGCACAACGAGTTGCAGACATAGAAGTAATTCGGGAGCGGCATCCACATAAGATTCCTATTATTGTTGAACGGTATTATGGAGAGAAGCAATTGCCATTATTGGACAAGACAAAATTTTTGGTACCGGATCATTTGACGGTAGCAGAATTCGTAAAAATTATTAGGTACATTACTCATTGTGATTACTTTGTCAATGTAGCTAGAAAAACAGATAAGTGCTTTATTAATATGTATTATCAATAGACGTAGGTTGCAACTTCATCCAACGCAAGCATTCTTCTTGTTGGTGAATCAGAGAAGTATGGTGAGTGGCAGCATGAACATGGCACATTTATATCAACATGAAAAGGATGACGATGGCTTTCTGTATATCGTTTTTGCCAGTCAAGAGGTGTTTGGTCACTAGGTTTCATAAAAAGATCTTTTATACAGGTAAGCAGTCTTAATATTGATAATTACGATTCTGGCTTTTTTATTTGGAAATGAAACAAACTTGACCTTTAAAGCAAATTCATTGACTTTCAATTTCAGATAAGAATAATACAATGTCACATAAATGCTATATCACAGTGGGCTCACAATCGAATTTCAGCAAAAGTATGGATTTGCTAATTACTGTGTAGTACTCCAAGCAACCATTAATCTTTGTCATTAGTCAGTCCTATATATCGTTAATATGTAATCAGTAATGGAGGGAAGTAATTGATATCGATTCCTCGTGGTGCTTTGGCTATTTGGTGTGAATATTATATAATGGCATGTCAGTGCGGCAGTTGATTGTTACTAATAGCGGTAGCCAATTTACCTATAATACATACTATTATTCGTCTTGTTAAGGAATGATGACTGCAATGATATTTGCGAACGGTCATTAATTTTAACACATTGATTAAGCAGGGGCATTAGTAGTTATAACAATTTGTGGTATTGACATCAGAAATATCTCAAATTTTATGACCTGCAGTTCCAATGAGATTAAAATATTTCCAAATAGGGAAATTTTAAGAACCTTCTTAGTTGTAAATGAAAATTGAATTTATGGTACAAACGGGAAATCTACAGGTTGGTGCTGCAATTTAAATCACTATACAGGCTATGATATATGAATAATCAAACATAAGACTAATCTTTTTAGAGAATTCAAATTGCAGTTGGAGAGTTTGAGTACTATTGTTTGTAAAAATTTAATCTGGTTAAAAAACGCAGAAACATTCACAAACAAATTGATATGTTAAAATTAAAGGTAATAATCCGTAACAAATAACACAAATAAGAATTAAGAGCAAATTCATTTGAATCATTTTCATTAATAACTTTTCTTAAAAGAAGTTATTTGTACAATAGTGAGTAATGTATTTAAAAACGTATTCTATTGATATTCAATATCTATTGTGTACAATAGTACACATCATTCAAATGTGATCAGGATAAATTAATTTTTTCTTCGATATATAAAAAACTATGTAGACTCAAACTTTTAGACTGTATCTAAAGATTGTTGATTTCAACAATATTCCCTATCGAGCGAACATAAAATATAATTTGTATTTTTACATTTCAGTTTAAAATTACCTATGATCTAAAAAGAGGGTTAGTTATGTATTATTGCAGTTAGGATATTTTAGCTAGTAATTAACAAACATAGAATTGATAAGAGTCCTAATCTCGATTTCAGCGGAATGTATAAAATCTAAACAGATACTACGCAAAGTGGTATCTAGATAATCCAAGTTGAAATTCTCATTTTATAAATAATGTTAGATTTAGTCCAGATCTACGACACAGTAGATAGAATACTGTGCAATGATTGTGTATTTAATTTAGCTAGGTAATGGTACAGTATAAGAAAAGTACAGGAGTACATATTTCTAATATTAAAGAAAGACCAAATTAGTAAAACATTGCTCTATTAACGCTCATCACAGTTTTAATTAACTTTTGCATCTGACTGTTTTTGTAGAGGTCTGAGAGTCAACACTCGCAATGTACAATAATTAAAGTTATATAGAAACTTTCCCTGTGATCGTGCAAAAGTGATTTGTCGCAGGTCTCATAAAATATTTTTCTAACAATTTCTTGACTTTCTGGGCATATTGTAAATACCATTTTTGGGAATTCGTCCATATAACGAATAAAACATTTTCTGTTAACTTGTGATAGTTGTTCGAGAGATAAAGCGACAAAGGCAGGGTTTCTGTGTACCTAATGAATCAACTAAAAGGAAATACAGTGAGAAATCAATTATTAAACGCAAACTGACGTTCCCTTTAATTGTTTCAAACAGCTCTAGGATTAATCAGACTAATTTTATTAAGGAAAGTCTTCGTCGACTTGCGTTTCCTTTTTATTGATACCGATATTGTGTGAACGTGTACACAAATGCACAGTGATCTTTTTATAACAAAATAATATATACATTAACGGTTAATACTTCCACGAAGATACCTCTTTTCTGCGAATGTAACCTTATTTAGTGCCTTCCTATATTGTAAAGTACCGAATTCTTAAATGATTTATTTTCAGCTTCGTTTGCCGAACAAAAGATACAAATAAGAATTTACGTATGCGTTGGACGAAAATAAATAAGCCCACTTTTTTGAAACATGTAGACTGAGTCTAGGCTGGATCGGCTGTGCTCTATAGATTAAACGATTTTATTTACAATAAATTCAGATTTTTTTTAAATATCCTGTTAACAATCCCTCCGCTATACTCTAAAAATCAAATGAACAACATTTAGTCTTAAGTGACATCTCAGAAGTATAGGCACAAACTTGATATCACGAAGTCGAGAACTACGCCGCTTCGGTAATTTCAAACTTTCCCGCCCGCTGCTCAAGACAAGCTTGAGCAGGTTTAGGATGGGTTTCGGAACGCGTCTCCAGCGGGACGAAGTTGCACGGCCTCCCGCTCGGGCGGAGTGGCGCTGCACTTTGCGGCGATCGCCCGGTCGAATCTACGTCGAAGACGCTCGTCGATGCTCGTCGATGCTCGTGTTGCGATGTCGAGTGGGCAAAAAGGTGAACGGTGGGGCTGGGCGGGCCGCGGCAGGGGGGACAGGGGAAATGGAAAGGTAAAGTAAAGGTTAGAAGAGGTTATGAACTCTAACCCGCGGATGGGCGACCGAGTCGGCCAGTCGGCATGAACTGTCCAAATGAGACGTGGGCGGATCGTTCGTCGCTTCCCGCAATAAAGGTGAGTGGAAAAGCACTGATTTTCTCGAGCGACCGGCCGTTCGGACAGTTTCCATCGCCGCGGCCTTCGGTGCGGGACCCGAGGGGGCCAAGGTTCGTCGACGACGGAGCGAGCACGCCCTTCCGAGCTGCGCTCCGAGTCGAGGGACCGGCCAGCTCGCGTCCTTCTCTATTAATACATCGCGACGGCGTTCGGCTCCCGAGAGCTCGCCCGGTGCGATCGGCTCCTGACTTGTTTACGTAGGCGCGGACGTGTACGAATATAACCCTGTCCGTGCCGACGGCGGCGTCGGCTACGTCGCGCCGTGTCATCTCGACCGCGGCCCGTCGCACCTAACCTCGGCCCCGCCGTCGAGCACGCCTCCATCTCGCATACCTTGTTTACGATTCAACGGAACACCCGCGATACGTCGAGCCTTTCGTTACGTTAACCTATTTCCGATCCGGCGGCCGTACGTGCGCGGCGAAGCCTCTCGGGAGACCGCGCGCGTAAAACGCTCCGGATCGGCGCCGCGCTCGCATTTTTACCGACTCCCGGCACGACTATTTTACTAGGCTCCCGGCATTTTACGAGCCCGGCTCTCTCTCTCTCTGCATGGGAACGCTATTTATTAATTTATATTAAAGGCAACGGGAGGCGTGTGTGGTTTTTTTTTCTTTTTTCTTTCACCGACCTTCGACTGGGTCGGACGGAGAGGCACATAATGCCGTTGTTTATTATGCATGCTGGAGGATAACAGTAACCGACCGCCGCTGATTTCTATTCTGGCGTTTGAAGGTGCACAATGCGCCTATAGGATTTCTCGTCTCGCCGATCAGAATTTCGGGACAACGGGGTCACGGGTTGGCCCGTTCTCGAGCAAATTACTCGTGACTTGGGGTAAAACACCGTGAACTCTCGGCTCCACGTGTCAAATCGTATTTTACGTGGAATCTAGAGTGTAACCAATTAAGTGCCCGCGAGCCGCCGCCTTAAGGCGGCCTTAAGAATTGTTGACATCGCGCGATAGATCACGCTAGTCCCCGGGCACTTGTCGTTGATCTCGCAATTATCGCCCCAGCTGTTCCGCACGGCTGTGGAGTAATTAGCCGGGAAGTCGATAATATTTTAACCGTAGAAATTGCACCGTCGCACGGTCAACACCTCCTTCGTTACGATTTACTTCGTCATGTCAATTCCATATCGCGTTCCCTCGCACACTTTTTTTGTCAAGAAACGATACACAGTCAGTTTTCAGTTCACTTAATTTAACATTTATCTTTTAAGGTCTCCGCTACCTTTTTTCATGAACATAGCGAGGAGTAAATGATTGTTTGCTGCATTAAATGTAACTCGTCCGCTTTTGCAGGTCCCTTCATGCGTCACTAATTATATTTTCCATGAATTTTCTCGGTAAAATCGAATTTTGCTTGATATTCAATTGGGAAGCGTCGAACGAAACCGGAAAACAATTTGAACTGCGTGCGTTTTTTTTTCTTCTCAAGAGAATGGAGAATTACTCCAGAACCAATAGGGAACAGGTGTTACGATGGTGTTACGCATTGAGGTGGAATTTTTGCATAGAAAAAAAAAAAGTGCTCGGCGTCGAGTTAACGGCGATACAGGTCTTTTTTCACGGTGGAACGTGTTTAGTGGGAATTTTAATCCCTTCTAATTGATAGCTCGGATTTTTCTGAGGCCGCAGCCAGCGAAGACAATGGCTCTCGAGGTGGGCGTCATCCGCTGGCGGTGTCGAGTAGCGAAAGAGGAATCCGTGCCGAGTTGCAAGAAACGTGCAGAGGTTGTGCAGATTTTGCGCCCAGCGTGCGGGGCAGTGCGAGGTAGCGCGAGGTTGCGCGAGGTAGCGTAAGCCAGCGCGCAGGTAACCTTCGGACCCGGGAGCGACCTTTACCTGGCGGGACCGGCTGGACGGACGTAATTACTCTCCGATGACTATTCCTCGCCGTGGAAGCGGCAATTCCGAGAAGTTTAGCCGCCACTTTGAAAAGTTTACGGTCGAAAGGTTAGACCACCTCCCGGATCCGGCGTTTCTCTGGAGGGCCCTTAAGCCCCGACTGGCGGGTCCCTAAAACTTACCCCTGTCGAAATTGCCGCGACCCCTTCGGGAAATGCCGAGGGACGAGGCCCTTTTGACCAGCGGTTACTTCTCGAATTTTTCCTCGGCCGTTCCGGTTCCCCGCTAGGCCCGAATCCCGCACAATAACGCACTTTACGCGCGTCGTAAAGCGCGCCACGATACAGCCGATATGGCCGCAAACTTCGGACACCGCCGTTAAAGGGGAATTTTTGAATTTATTCCGCCGTTCCCGGTCGCGCCCGTGGGAATACGTGGAAAAGTAGGCTCTCGAAAAAGACATTGTTATTTTATGCACAGAGAAAATAAAAAATGTCATTGAACCCAAGAATGATTTCTTTGAATAGTACCTATGAAATATTTTGTTAATTCAATGAATAATTATTTGACTAGAACAAACTCGAATAAATTGGATGCAACGTTTATTCGGAACTATTACAATTTATTTGAGTCAAATCATTATTCTTGGAATTAATAAAATATTTCTTTGGCACTATTCAAAGAAATATTCCCTTGGTTCAATGAAATGTTTTTCTCACTGTGACACTTGTCGGATGGTGTACTAATTTTGTACGTTAAACACCTTGTGACTTTTTATAGGCTGAGTGCATAAGTGGATTAATATTTTCCTGTATAATCTTGCAAGGTTACGTGGTGTTTCTTTTTTACTTGATTTATTTTATGCTATGCAGAGATGTGTAGTAATTCACTCGTAAGACGTCGGAGTAATCATTTTACTCCAGCCGTGTTTATTAAAAGTGTATGGACTTTGTGAATATTTTTAAAAATGTAGCAACGCCGGATCTGGGTGACCCGACCGATTTGGACGTGAAGAACTGCAAAGATGGGCGTTTAGATACTTTGTATATTTCTAGACTCGTTGCGAGACTAATTAATCCTTCCGGCGATTATATCTCGGGATTCTGTCGGTCGGCGGGCCCTTGTAAGATTTTTCAGAATGGAAGAGAGTGATTATCGTCGCCTGAAAATTGACATGGGTTTTCGTTCGAGGTGTTCTCCGGAACGATCATGCCTGCTCGCGGGCAGTCCACCTCGTTTTGTCACCTTGCACGTGCCAACACATGCGTCACGTTCATTGACTTGTGCAGGGAACGCGAATGGAAGGTGGCCATTTAATCGTTCCCACTTCTGCCGGCGCCAGAAAATAAATATTTCCAGCGAGCATCGAACGGTATCCATCGAGGGATAAACGCGACGAGGGCGAAACGCCGATTAGAAGTTCTTGGGAGAATTTGTTGTGCCGTTAAGGTTAAAAAAATATTTAAACGGCCTGTTTCAAATAGGTCAGTCCGTCATTATGCCGTATACTTTGATTCAGGCCGAGCGTTTCTCTGACGTAATCGTAAGGTTCATGGAAACACTCAGGAAAATTGAGGGAAAAAAAAAAAAGAAAAGGAAAAATCACTCCTTTCGCAACGGCCGCCGAGTTGTTCGAGAAATGCCAACAGGACTTTGAGCGATGCCTCGCACCTTGTCCTTTAGCTCGAGAGAAGCATACGGCGAGTTGGCTCGATGAAACAAAAAATTCACCCGGAATAGTGGAGTAATATTGACCTCAGGACTGTGAGACGCCGTGAATGGAGTTCACTTTATAACGCAGAACGTTGGGAGATGTCTGGACGAGAAGGAGGTCAAAGGAATTCTTGTAGAAAGCAGCTGACCACATGACGTCCGGAAGTGCTACCAACGAATTTTAAAACGTTACGGTTGAAAGGTTGGACGACCTTGTGGCCCCTGGCCGAGGGTTCCTTCAGGGTGCCCGCAGGAAATCTGAGGAAAAGGAGCAGAAAGAGCATATTGGAATTTTCTCCAAGGTTCGAAAGACCCCCGGAAGGCAACTTTTATTTCATAAAAATAAGACCGTAATGCTACATTATTTTACAGTCCAACCGAATCGACGGAAGGATTTCTCTCTCCAAAATTGACCCCGATTTCTTCAGGAAATACCCCCAGGAAGTCCACCGCTCAATCACCGCCCAGTGCTAATTGAGACGATTCGGAGTGATTAAACGAGCAATCATCGCACGGTGTTGCCTGCCCTCGTTAGCTTATCAATGAGTGCATACATCGTATATCGCCTGCCCCATCGCAAATCAAGACGTCGGATTTCGCAAGAAACTATATACATGGATAGTTAGCCAGGAAACACGAACGTACGGCGGACGTTCCCGAACTTAGCCCGCTACTCCGATAAGAAGCTCGATAGCGATATCAGCGAGATACGATACCTCGAGTAGGTGCTCGCGATTACCGCCAGGTGTATGGGATTCCAAATGTCTCTTCAATCATCGCCGTATCTGATTAATCCCCAGTAGCGTGGAAAACACGCCCAACGCCGCATGATGTAAAGGACTCTAACGTTGCGAACGCGCCAACTCGAGATAAAGCTAAAAAATACCGTCGACAGTCGCATTATCTCGTGCAATACCGTCCAAAGCACCAAGAAGGCTCCGTAATCGCGGACCCTTTCGCCTAAACGTTAGCTTATTCGAAAACTAAAGCTTTAACCATAGATTTTCGTCCCCTGCGTCGTCGCATTCTCCGTCGCGAGATGCGTCACACGACGCGCATCCACTCGTCCTTCTGTGAAAACCTGAATAAGAAATTCCCCGCGACTTCGCGAAGTCCTTTCCTCCATCTCGAGGGGTCCCCTGGGAGGACTGCACCGTCGAGCGGGAAATTTCTCAATTCCCGTGCATAATTTAGCGCCCAACTCCCTCTGTCTCCTCGTCCTCGACTCGGCGACCTCCGGCCGACATATCCCGGTGCGATCGGTAGTGCCGACTCGGTACACGGGTGCCCTCTCCCTCTCTCTCGCTCTCTATCTCCCTCTTTCCCCCGTCCCCTCCCCCTCTTCCGACCTCGAGGGCCCGACCGATAAGTCATCGACGTCCCGTGACATAACCCGCAACCTGCGCGCGCGTCCGGCCGGGTCGGGCCCAGTCGAGCCGGGTCGGGCTGGGTCGGGCCGAGCGCAGGTAGGCAACCGGCGGGAGAATGCACCTGGTCGCGCTTACCTTCTCGGAGCACGAGAGTGACCTGCCAATCTGCTGGGGCCGCCCGTTGCGCCGCGGCGCGCGGAGAGCGGCCTGCCTACTCGTCCGAGCGTTCCCTGCCTCCCTGCGCTCACCTGCGCTCACCTGCGCTCACCTGCGCAAGGTTGCCTTTAAACTCGAGGCTTTCCTCCGGAGTTCAAACTGTAACGAGTGCCCGGCCGGACGTGTCTCCCGGCCCGAGGGACCCACCGGGCCCTCTCGCGTGTCCTGCGAGGATCTTTCCCGAGATCCTTCGCGAAGTCGAGATCCGGTTTGTGGTTTTTAGTATTTTTACGAGTTTTGCGTTTGTTAACCGTGGCCGGGAGAATTTTCCACGGATTTCGACGAGGATTGTGTGTCTCTTGGTGCGGACTAGGAGAACTGGGGCGCAGACGCGGAACCTGCCGAATTTTCGGCCCTCCTCAAAGGTCGACCCCGTCGAACTATCCACGTCGCTCGTTTCCCGGAGAAACTCGACCTCGCCCGGCGTGACGCGAGCCGATGGCCTCGACGGGGATGTCCCTCGCTCTCGGTAACCTTCGCCGAATTTTCCCCCGTTTCTTCTATGTCGTGGAACAGGTTGTTCGATTTCTGGCGGCAAGAATGATCCTCGACGAATCCGGAAACTTGGATGGCGCTCGTCGCCCCATAGAGTCGTTCCTGCAGGATTCTAGGGGACGAGTGCGGAGTTTTCTTTTTTTTTTTTTTTAGAGAACTACAGGTTTTAAGGATATTCGTTGCCAGTGGAATTCCACGAGGATTTTCGAGGACACTTTTGTGTAGAATGGACTCGTTTCTCGAAACTTTTGAGCGACCTAGGAATCGATCGACGTTAGGGAAGCGCCTTCAATTTGGTACGGCTTTACTCGGGTCTGGACACTTAGGGAGGAAGTGCCGGGACCTATTTTTCCCTACCTCGGGGATTCGTCACCCTCGACCGAGGTCGTTTCGCAAAAGTGAGAGGGTGTCGCGAGTACTCGCACTTGTCGCTCGGCGCCGACCCAAGAGGGGATGCCGACTCTCGAAATGGCCACTTCGAGACACTTTCGACTTCTCGCCGGACGTGCGTCGTGCGTTTCCCATGGACGTATTGCACATGGACCCGGCACACCGACTCCGCCGTCAAGGACCGTCGACTGCTCGACTATCGCGATTACCGTTATCAAAACGTGGAATGAAATCCGCGCCTTAAGGTGACACGAAAGTGGCATACATATAAAAAAATGCAGATAATTTGAACGAATTAAAAAAAAAAAGGAAGAAAAAACTTAAATTTCATCGGTGCCAGGACTTTCTTCCGGGCTTCCATTTTTATATCATATCTTTTTCTCTCGGGGCGCACTGACAAAAACCGATGGAAATTTACATACATTTTTACACACCTCCGAGCTGGAGTTTCATACTAGAAAAGCGTAAAATGGAAAAGTTACGAATTAAAAAATCTACGAATACACCTGACTGGGTGTATCTGCTGTATTAGTGCGTATTCCCTCGAATGCAATTTTTTTTTATTGTAATTTTCATCTACCTTAGATGCGGAATGTGACGTTGCAAAGACAATTTTATTGCCATCAATTGTGGAGTCGGATTAATCGATGTAGATCAACACATCTACTAGTTCATGTATTCTTTTCACGTCCTTGGGTTCCCGAGACCACGACCCTGTGCTTCGAAGGGAGCGCTTCCGCGACCTACCTCAACGATCCGCGAGGATATTCGGCCGATTCCTAGATATCGCTAGGCGCTCTACTTATCCGCTGTCGCGGCTGATCGATTCCCCGTACGCCCGGTCGACATTCCTGAGATTCGCCGTGGCCGGGGGCACTCCTCGCGGTGGCCGCTCCACTGGCAGGGGATACCTGCCACCGGCTGCCACTGGCTGCCACGCGAAATGACCGGGTCCGTATCGCGAGCGAGCGGCCGCGGATCCGCGGACGCCCCCGGCCAGTGCGGAGCTGCCGCTCGCGGTCGGCTGCCGGCGGGACCGACGACCGACGTTTTTCCATTCCTACTCCTCGCTTATTCGATTTAGGCCCCTGCGACACCTCGGGGCATCGATTCGACATGTGTTTGTCTGCGAATCTATAAATCCACGAGTCTACGGATCCATAAACGAGCCTCTTCACCGGTGCGGCCCAAGTGACTACCTCCTTTTTTAAGTTCCGGTGTCGAAGCAGTCGATGCTCGATTTTTTCTACACTTTTTATACGTTCATTTTCTGTAGTTTCCGCTCGTGTGAAGTTGGCTGGTTCGATCAACGAGAGGGTGGAATACCGGTAAAAGGGACATGGCAAAAGTGGCGACAATTCGGGATTTTTGGTAGACCGCGAGATCGCTTGGCTATGGATTCGTTGAGAGAGACTTTGAGAGGTTTTAGGGATCGATTTTCGATTTTGAATCGTGAATCGGTGATGTTTGATGGCGATTTGGGTCCTGGCTGCGATGCCAATCCTGCGACCTATGACAGGCTTCGGCATGCGGCTGTGAGCTGGCGGGAACCATCTCTTTCACCTCGGCAAACGGTGGCGGGGCGAAGTCGGAGACGAGACCAGAGCGAATGCTCTAGTTTCGATTTTTGCCAGAGCTCTGGCTTAGGCCTTCTCACCGAGTGTCCCTCGTAACTAAAAAGAAACGCCTGGGGAAAAATTATCCTTAGGTCGGATTGACCGGGAAAATTTAAACTTCGTATTTCTGTGAGCCGTCGGAGCATGTATCTGATATACACATGTTTCACCGAGAAGAAAAATTCTCCAAAACAAAGAAATACTTCCTCGGACAGTTAATAATTATTTGAATTAACAAGATATTTCTTTGGCACTAAATGAAATATTTCTCTGACTCAATGACATTTCTTTATCTCAATGTACGGGCAATGTTACGAATTCGGGGATTATTTAAAATTCGCGGGCAATTTGTTTTTTGCATTTTTATACATTTCTTGGCGAATAGTGCTCGATTTATCGCGTTGCCCGTGACGCGTGTACAGGGATGTTAATTTAATAATTCGAAATCATGGTGTTACGCGTTTTATATCGAGGGCCTAGTCGAGAGGGCGGAATCGGGGGAGAGGGTGTCGTGAAACAACACGTGGCACAGACGTAGAAAAGAGAAAACCGAGGACGAGGGGCTGGCCGCACCGTTGAAGAGGATAACGGGGATAGATGGTCTTACCGCGGTTCGATTTCCCTTCTCCTCGCCTGTGTTAAGATCGTGTTACCGACCGACGTTTAGATATATCGCTCGGCTGCAATTAATCGGGCCGGCAATTAAGATTTAATGTAAATCGGAGCGGTCTCGTACGCGCGGTCGACCCTTGACTTTTCGAGCCACGTAACCGCCGCAACTCGTTTGGCCTGCACTTACCTTCTCAGGTGTGCATTGCCGAGATGCAGATAAAAGGGTACACTCTGTTCGCTCGGCATTAGCATTTTCATCGGGAGATAACGCGACGTCTTCATCTCCTCGACGGAGATCAGCGTGGACAAATTGGACGCCAGAAGTGCACCTCGTTCGCCCCCTCGAGGATGCATCCTGGAAAGGGAGTCGAGATCGGAAAAATAGAATGCAGGATTTCCTTTAACCCACATAGGACGAGATTCCATGAGCTTATACGCGCAAAACAGGCGGCGAGGAAATAAGAAAAAAAATAAAGAAAAAGCAGGAAAAGAGAAGGAAGAGTCGCGAAAAGCCCCCGGTGGGCGTAGAATATTTATGGCACGTTTGACGGCAATAAACGTCATGTCTTCGGGTGGCTTCCTAAGGAAACCGAGAGATCGGTTACGGCTAGTGTAATGGTAATACTTACTATAACATTATAGGCATACGTGGAATACAGATTGCATATTGCCATGCATAGTCGCCGCGTATATGGACCTAACGAGGATCGCGTACAGTTCTGGGCCTTTTTTTATCCCCCCAGTAGGCGTTCGCGCCTTAAAAAGTGATAAGCTAACTGTACACTTTGTCGGGTATGGCTGCAAACGCGGATAGCTAACTTCTCTCCCTCTTCCGTTGGTCTTTTCAGAAAGAAATGGACAGAGACCACAGAGATCTGCGTGATCACGCCGTTGTGAACGAGAACGAGACCGATCGCAAGGTGGGAATGGATTTCCGAGGCTTGTCCCAGCATCCTGGAATGGACCACGGGGGTGACGGCGACGCGGAGGTAAACGTCTTTCTCGTATCTCGTTGACTTTGTCGAGCGATAAAGCGCATCATCCGCATCATCGCGAGTTATTCACGCGACAGAGACTTTGTTTCGGACGGACAATGCGCGCCCTTTGTCCCTCCCTTTTTTACCATTATCGCAAATCCGCGGAACACAGGGTGTCTGTCTTGAGCCGGGATGAGTCGATCGTGCTATATTTAGGCTTTCGCTCCAATTGCATGGCCGCGAACTCCGCTGTGAGAAACCTGCGCCGACATTTACGATTTGGAGCATGGCAAAGTTCTCCGCGCCCCTCGTGACCGCTCTTTACTCCATGGAGACTCTGTTCGTCCACCAATCCTGTAACATTAAATTCCGTCCTGGCTATAGCCTCAGAAAGCACGATTTCTCGAGAGAATCCTACCTCGTTTCACCCCGGAGCATTTTTTCATCCATGACGTCCCTTTTTCCTGGACCCCCACCCTAGGAAAAAAAAAGTTGGTTGACTCAAAGAAATGTGCACTGTCAAGAAAATCCTATCAAATGCGTCCAATGAAATATCAGATCGAGTAGACAAAATTCGTTTAAATCAACGTGAATTCTTGTTCTCAGGAAAATAATTGCTCCTCGAGATAATATATGATTCGGGCGCCGATATAGACGTCGGTAGTAGATTTGTTTCAGTCAACTAATTTTGTTCTCTCAGTGCAGGGGTTGAAAAATGAAAAATAACCACGTCATATTAGCTTGAAATTTTATGGACATTACTTTTTTTTATAGCAAAAATATGAATAGTTCCAATGCGCCTCGTCGGTTCTGCCGACGACTTTTCGAAGTATAACCTCGGCTCGACAGACTGCGTCCTGCGAATATGTTATGAATATGGTTATTCTTTTTTTTTTCTAATAAAAAAATATGAATAGTTCAATTACGCCTCGTCGGTGTCGACGATTACTTTTCGAGGTGTAACCTCGGGCCTATAGGTTGCATCACCGTCGCGGCCTGAGTTACGATGTCAAAATGACCGGGATAAATGTATGATGGTGACCTTGGCTGGCTGATGTTAGAAAGCATAAATACATGTTAACTTTGAAGCCGTCATGCTGCCCGCGCAATGCTCATCGATTTTTCTCGCCGTTACGTAGTCGAAATATGCGGGGAAAAAGGCTCGCCGAGGGTCGGCAGGAGGCGGAATGGAAGAGCGAAGCAAACGATACGACGCTTTGAAAACGACCGATTTGACGGCGTTCGGATGCCTCGCTCTTCCGGGAACGCGGGAAATGGCGACCGCGAGAGATCCTCGCGAGCGTGTCTAGGTCGGGAGGATCTGACATTTAAGTGTGAACCGCTGTCATTTTTGCTGCCATAGAGCGACATGGACGTAGATCAGAGGGAACTTACGGAGAGCATGTTCGACGACAAGGCGGAACGCAAATTGGCAAGGGATTTTCACGGTCTCGAACATCATCCAGCCACGGCCCATTTGCATATTGCGAGCGAACAGCTTAGTAATGTCGATGCGGAGGTGAGGCTCTTCGTTAGAAGCGACCGAATTTTAACTAAGGGTTCCGGGGGAATGTTCACGGAAATTAAGAACGGATTTTTTTTTTTAATAAATAAAAAAGAAGGATCGTCGCACCTTCCTTGGAAGGAAATAACCGTCCTGGAAATGCGAGGCGTAGAGATACTTTATCAGGGGTCGTGCGTTATTATATCGCCGTTAATCATCTCCTTTTTTTACCCGTGCAGGTGAAGTTATCCAGAGACGTACGAGGCTCGCTGGGCCTGGGCCTGTCCTTAGAGCTCTGCGTCGTGTGCGGCGACAGGGCGAGCGGTCGACATTACGGTGCAATAAGTTGCGAAGGTTGTAAAGGCTTCTTCAAGCGCAGTATTCGAAAACAGCTGGGCTACCAGTGCAGGGGCAGCAAGACCTGCGAAGTTACCAAGCACCACCGAAACCGCTGCCAGTACTGCAGACTCCAAAAGTGCCTGGCGATGGGAATGCGCAGTGACTGTAAGTTCATTTAATTCGTCCTGCGAGAATACGCGAGTCGGTTGTTATTAAGGTTGCATCGGGTCAGTCACCATCTAGGAATTCTTTACTTCCCGTTAAAGTTTCATCCCACGTTTGATAAACTAAATGGTGTACAATGGCGGACATGAATGCCTCCCCTGCAGATACGGCATCGCTTGTGCAGGATGGGAGGGCATTGATGTCTCCCAGTGTACTTCAAGTAGGGTCAACGCCGCGTGCCACATTGGCACGTGGTTGTACGACACTTTGATCGTAGGTATCCATACGTTAATAAAAACCGATTCGCGTCCGGTAACCTAGATCGATAGCGGTGTAGCCTCTGTAAGACACAGTCGATAGGATGTAATAATCATAAGCAAGCTTGGGGCGTTGCAGCGGTGCAGCACGAACGGAAACCTGTGCTGGGAGACACCGCCGGCACCAAAGTCGGCCCACGGAGTCCACGGGTCAAGCCGGAACCGCAGCAACCCGCACCGGAAGTAGCACCAGCCTGGGAACAACCCGAGAGTCCCAGCGTCGAAGACCAAAGCAGCGACAGTGACCTCAGTGACGCTTTAACTTTAGCTCGGGAACGTTTACTTATCTCCCACGCGTTGGACAATATGGCTAAGCTCATTGGAGACGTAAGTGAACCGAGTCTACCGATACATGCAGTGAGGATAGAATAAAATATTAAGATCTTTCGATAGTCATTGGAAATGAACGGTGGGACGAGTTTCCTAAAACTGGGGAATGTTCGTTGTTCCAGAGCGTCAATGGGTCCGGTGAACCCGAAGAGGAATGGACAGGACAGCTCTTGTCCGAAAGGCACACGGTGTTCGAGCTCAGGGCACCTAGTCCAGCACCCGCCTACTTGTCGATACATTATATCTGCGAAAGTGCTGCCAGATTGCTGTTCCTCTCGGTGCATTGGGCCAGAGGAATCCCTGCCTTCCAAGCCTTGCCGTGAGTATCCTCCCCGTCGAGGGTTGGGAGCTACCGGTGGAAAATTGCGACCATCGCCTCCGTACTTTGGATGTAACGCGTAACGTTGAATACACATTTCCTTTTTTTTTCCTTTTCCAGTTCCGAAGTGCAAACCACGTTGGTGCGCAGTTCCTGGGGCCAGCTGTTCACCTTAGGCCTTGCCCAGTGCGCGTACACCCTGTCGCTCCCTAGTATTTTAACTTCGATAATAAACCATCTCCAGGCGAGCATCGCCCAGGAGAAGATCACCGCCGGCAAGGTGAAGTCCGTCACGGAGCACATATGCCGACTGCAGGACTGCATCAGCTCTTTGCATAAATTGCAAGTGGATGCTGCGGAGTATGCGTACCTTAAGGCTTTGACCCTCTTCAGTGCTGGTGAGTCGCGCGAACGGGAACGGCATTCGGAATTCTAACAATTCGAGCGCAATGAGCATTCTATCCCATGCATAACCCGGCAGTCGGGAAACTAATTGTTTCTTCTCTCTTAGATAACGTATTAGCTGGAGTATGGCGCAAAAAGGTAGAGGTCTTGCAAGAAGCCGCATGGAACGAATTGCAACAACGCGTCGGGTCCGACAGGTTACCTCGTCTATTGCTCAGGCTGGCGCCTCTTCGTTCCATTAATCCCAGAGCCCTGGAAGACCTCTTCTTCGCGGGACTTATTGGCAGGGTAAGCGTCGCGAGTGTAGTGCCTTACATTCTTACCATGCAAGACTGTAAAACTGAACCTGAGAGCCAAATGGGGTGACAGCTGTTGCTCGTGCAATGTAAATCGTGACCTAAGAGCATAGTATTTACAATTTAGTGATGGATGCTGTTATACCTTTCGATGTCAGGGTACCGCCAGTAGCTTTTTCCTCTTTTTTTTTTTCTTTTCAAATCATACCGTTTCCCAGTATGTTCCGATTGGTGCAATCAAATCAAGTGTAATCAAATATCACCCAGGTGACTTGGAGCAGTGTCGGTAACTGGTACATGTTTTGACAATTGGCCCGCTTCATTATTCGACTGCTTTGCAACCTTTTTTTTTCTCTCCCTGTTCTACGTGACCAGAGGGCGTTTATCCTGTGGAAAGTTAGGTGTTCTCCATCGGTTTCTAATCTGCGTTCTTCCGGTATTGTCTCTTATTATTAGAACGTTAAACAGTGCTTGGACAAGTTCGCGGAGACGTTCACGAAGTTACACATTGAGATAGGTGCTTTAGATTAGTTTCTTTAGGCGTCGGTTTCAAAGGAATTGCAAGGTTGGCTCGACTCGGTATGGCTGGGATGATTTCTGTTTAATTCGGTGCAATCTGTTACGAGAAATTAAGCCGGGGGGGGAGCAAGATAGTAAACGCAATAAACGTCAAGAAATGCCGTGATAACTAACTTAATAACCTTTTGGGATTTTATAATATCGAGAGAGAGAAAATAGAGAGAGGACTTACGAACAGCAAGGAATTGAACGATCCCAAAATTGTCCCCTGAAAATGATCTTTTATATGAAATTATAAAAATAAATAGTATTCATTTATAATTTGTTATTACGTAGTCGCGTAATGGTAGTTCATGCTCGATGTTTTGCTCGAATTGGTATCCACCACTTGCCTTTTCAATGCTCTTAGAACTTGTTATACACAAAACTTTCCAAAGACTTCTCTGGAGAACGTCGATATACAGCACAGAAGGTGATTTACATTAGCGTATCTTACTGCTCCTGAGTATAAGCGAAGCGTACTGACGAAACAGTTGGATATTCGGATAAACTGGATATGAGACCGGTCATCGGAAAGTCGCTTCGGAAAGTCTTGTATATTGATAGCTCCTAAAACACCCTTGAGGCGACGGTATCATAGGAATACGCTCGACAATGAAATAATTATCTGAAGGTGATACTTTGGATGCCTAATTGAATTAAGGAATTAGATCGACCCTGTTCTCCTCGATATTTCATACCGTTTGGCCTCGACACGTGATCCCAGTTAATATCGTCGGAAGCATTGAAGCCTTCCACACTTGTTCGAAAGACGACAATATAAAATGTACTTTTTTTTTTCTTTTCTTTTTCTTTCGTGAGAGAAGCGTGAATACTTAACGTAGGCTTAGAGAATTTTAATAACTGTACATGCGTTTACTTAACTACATGTAAATGTAATATTTTATTGTTAACTGTAATGACATATTAATTACCGTATGCTACCAATCACTGTTTCGACTAGAAGTACGTTAGCTTCGAAGGAAATTACGTGGAAAAAGTATTGTCAGCCCGCCGATACAATTCAGGAAATCCAACTCGTACTCGTTGACTCCTGAGAATGCATTGTACGTGGTCGTTACACGTAATTTGCATATCGATCTTTAAATTCTTATGCGGATCTTAATTTAATTGCATCAGTTCGCGTTGACCAAATTAGATTGACATAAAGACACAAAGTCAAACCTTATAAAAACAATTAGTCGTTATTCGTGCGGAATGCATTGATGTTAGTTGCGTTACGTATGTAAATTACGACTGCAACATTCTTGCGGAAGTTAAAACCTTTAGAGGAGAAGAAAGAAAAACAAATAGATGACAAATTTATTCCACATTCCTGAATTTACGTAAAGTGTATAACTTACGTTTTAGATTGTGGTCAAAAGTGCTAACTTTAAATTCGTTTACATAAAATTTTATGTATCATAATTTAAACGCATCTCGCATGAATGAAATGCGTTACGCAAATTGGTTTATGCTAAAGTGATACAAATTTGCGGTTAATGCATTCATCCAGATTACAGTTTTCATTATGGACATGTAGAGAATAGGTCTCATTCGCATTTGATATCCACTCGTCTTAGACACTGAGATGCCTAACTTGAGTAAGTGGGTATTTATTGAAGATGTATTAAGTATGAAATTAATATTAGAAGTATGTATAAAGGAAAAGTTCTACAGCCAGTATTTTTTGGACGGTTGTCGAAGTTTTTAAGGGATGAGAATAGAGATATGAATTATTAGTCGTGTATAAAAGAGTTTTACGCTTAAATCTATATATTTGAACACCAATTTAGCGATTTCTGACGTATCAATAACTGGTTAAATCAGATGTTATTAGCGTGTTCATAGATTTCTCTTTTAAATATGATAGGATTTAAAGTTATCCTCGTTCCGTATCGGGGGATTATTTTGTAATTTAGCGAGCATTTTTTTTTTTTCACAAAAAATGATGTATCAATTGTTTGCGAAACTGTTCAAATTGGAGTGCAAGAATTGATGCTTTTACATGCGTTTAATGACGATCAGTGGCATAGAGTTGACATTTATGTCTGCCATTGCATCAGGGCAACGGATAATAAATAATTCATAAGCGTTAAGTACCTTCTTAGGTATTGTTCAAGGGAAAACTGCAATGTACATAACAAAATGTGCCTATATAAAAACAAATATTTATATTAACGATAATAATTTTGTAATTAATATTATACATATACCAGTAACGAGAAGTAAATAAAGTACGAGATTATCAGAGCTACCTCTTGTTACAATTGACTCATGCTTCTTTCATCCTATTGCAGAACGAACAAGTAGTAGTGGTACTCGCATACACAGCAGTAATTGCTTCATATCCTAATTGAAGTGTAAAAAGTGTAGAAAATCTGTGCCATTACTATCGAAATCTCTCATCTGTTCCTTCTTTTTTACTTACTTGCTATTCAGCGAAACAAACTTCGAGGATTGGAAATCAACGTTGTGTCTACGATCAAGGAGGTGCAGCTGCTGTCATCCACGGACATACATTTTGGAATATGGCTACAATATATGTACATACGAGATTTATTAGACTATATATCAAATTCGAACAATAAAAAATTAAAATTACATATCTTTAGGTGTAACCAATTGTTTCCAATTTCTGTGGTAGACTTGGCCAATTATTTTTAATATAAAACTACGCCGAATGAAAATCAGAATAGAGGTAAAAATAAATGACTGTACGTCCATCTCTGATTTCAGTATTAGTACAGGCTCATCTCACGTTGACTCGGAGTGACTGGAAATAACGGCGTCGCACTCTGTTACTAAATAATTATATTTGTATTAAATCACTATCTGTGTATTTATGTTTCGTCATAAATCACTAGTTCACAGCTCCATTTCTCCCAGTTTAAACAATACCCCTTAACAGTATTACAGATTCAAGCTTTGTTTTTCTCCCGTAAAAAGTAAAGATAATTACGGCACCCGCTGCGCCGCATAAAGTCCTAAAGCGTGTGATGATCGGCTTTAAACAATAGCGCCTCTTCGAAATGAAAAGACGTTCTCCTCTTGGAGCATTTCTTTCGTCGGGCCTTTCAGATCACACGCAACGAAGGCAAAGCATTCTTTCTTTCTTTTTTTTTCTTCTTTTTCCATAACGCGATCGCGTACGTCCGAATTTCCGACACCGGGCATTACTGGCGTCGGTCGCTCTTTGTTAGGTTTACTTAAAATTTTTATCACAAATCCCTATTATTAAATCTAAACGGGCCTAATTAATAAAGAGCAAATCGCTGTATGGACACGCGTCTCGGCATACATTAATAAAAATATATACAGGGATGTGAATTATGTCATTTAACGACCATTGTAACTGAGCAAAGGAACCCCAATGTCGTTAAACTCTTTTGTCGTTGCTTGATGTCAAGTAATTACAAGTACCGATCTACACTGTTAAAAACAATTGCATTAAATTTAACAGATGTACAAGTGTGTACTTCGTCTCAAAGCCTTGGGAATTTTAAGTCGGCGTAACAGCTTTTATGATTAATTCTAATAACTTAATATCGGTGAAATTTATATTGTGCACCCGATGTCATTTATATGTGCTATATCTGATTGTGAATGTAGCGTTGATATTGTTAACAGTGTAGATGTTACCGAACGACGTCCAATTTCAAATGATTAAGATGACGGTACATTTTTTAAACTAATTACTCGGTTACAATCGCAACTAAATTATGTACATAGATCTCATCGCTGAATATATATACGACCAAACGCTTGCTGCAGAGTATGGGCATTGGGAATTAACTGTAATTGCTAGTAACAATATTGTTGACAATGTTAAAGGAAACACAAGGCTCATCGATGACGGCTGAACTAACAACGTTTATAACAACCAATGAACAAATATAGCTAATGACTTCTTTGTTTATCATTGCTGGTATTGGAAGTATCGACAGTGCAGCTTGTTACGAGGCATGGTAGCTAATACAGCAATCCACTGCGTTACACTATCACCGCCAGTAATTAGTCATTTGCTTCGATTAAATTGTATCCGCAAGGTCTGTCACGGAAACCTGAGTTTCTGCGTTAAGATCGTCGGTACGACGAAGTAAAGCCGACGGTCAACCCATGGAATCGTGTCAAGAATTTTTATTGCGTTATATGTAGAACTCTTATACTCCAGTAATCGAACGTACGAGCTTGATGCTTGAGTTTCTCGAGGTCCAGTTTTAGAGTCGGCACTCTGATTTGGTCTAAATAAACTGGAGTTGCCAAAATACCATTAAAAAGAATTTACATAAAAACTTAGAGTCAAGGAAACGGTTGACTGCAATTTCATTTTGTGATGTAAACGTAGGCTTCTAGGCCCGACACAGTGACATCGTCATTATACAAAGTCAGTTTTATCATACATCTACTTATTGTTAATTTACCTAAGTTATGGGCTAATCGATTCGAAACACGTCGGAAATTACGTTACGGTACAAATGTATTCTTTTGAACTTCGTAGATTCGTATTCGGCCCGAGATGTAAATTTCGTAATTTTGAATAGCACTCAATAACGGTGAAATTTATCGGTGATTGTAGTGGAAAAAAATTATTTATAAGCGCAATCACCGAAGCAGCCGTTTTAACAAATGAAGGTCATTGTTGTCGAAATCTAATCATTTTAAGTCGTGCTATCTACACAAAATTAAATTAAGTGATCTCTTTTGTGACGAGAGCCTTTGCTCGTGTTATGAAATCGTTTTAGAAACTCAGTTCCTGGCGATTTTTGAGTGGACAAACTCAATAAGATCTGTAGTGGGTATTTTCGATTCCATATTTACTTTTGCTATAGTACGGATAATATTACCCATTAGCACGCATAAGTACGTACATGAAACGCAGTGACAGATACAACCAGCCGGTACTCCGGTGAAATCTAACCACTACTCAGAAGCCTTCATTTTGCAATAATATGAGTGGCATTTTTCCCAGACATGTATTAAAGCTGACCAGATAGCCTAGTTTGACAGTAGATCAGCTGATTCGACACGATGACTCCATGGGAGACATTAAGTGGTAGGATGGTAGGAGTTGATTAAGGCGGCATCGACTGGTTCCATGCACGAGGGACATGTCAGCGAGCGCAGTAACCAATCGTCGATACAGGTGGCATGGTAGGTATGCATACAAGGCAAGTAACGAACTTCCTCTCCTACCAAGAGTTCCATCATGCAAATGACACATTCCCCTTTCTTGGCCCCGTCGTACTCCCGTGTTGGTAAATGTTGTATCAATCCTATGCGTTTGGCAATTCGCACCTGATGCTCCTCTTCAGTTAACATCCCTCCGCCCCCAGTATTTACAACAACCCCAATTCCTTGAGTAATTCCCAATTCGGTCGATTGCAGATTACGCTCCCTTGTAGCAATGGGTGGATAATACCCTCCGGTCACCTCCTGTAAAATCATAGGTTTCATTTCGGTTACACAAAGGACTAGCTATAACCTCTACAAACTATCCCGTTTGACCAATATCCATAACTTGAAGAAACAAATATGTATCTTCATCTGCTTTTACATGCCTGTGTACATGAAAATCACTGTAAACAAAGGTAATTCTCTAAAAGGATATTTCCACGATTAACTCGGTTCCATTATACTGCATTAATTTCTGCGAACTCCACATCAAAATGATAACTGTAATCTTACTGTACATAACAAAGAAGCCTTACCGTTGAACGAGTCTTCGCAATAAAAGACGTTCAATACATCAGAATTAAAATTAAGGCCGTCAACTTTTCAACGATCATGCCCAAAATACAAAAGACTTTGTATAAAATTGAACGATCTCTTGTTGAATTAATAACAAAGCAATTAAAGCCTGCAAGTTATTGGTGCGATAAGGTTAAAATTACATTGTAAGGTATCGGTGGTCCCAATGCTTCTTGCAGGAAACCACTAGTCAATGCAGGGTCAGGACTATTGTTGAGTAGAGTGTTGTTATCCTGCTGACTGCCTCCGACGCGCTTGAAGCAGTTTCCCATGTTCTTCACCTCTCTGTCCCTCTAAGTAGTCCGTAGTACTGCGTTCTCATCCACCAACCTCGATGCCGATTACAAGGCCTCGATTCGCACGGCCGGAGATCCTGCGATTCCTGGCCCCATCACATCGACTCGTCTTTGTATTGGCGATCCTCGGGAGATCCACCGTGATCTACCCAGCGGATGACAGATCCTCGCTATACCCTGGGCACAAACTTGTTATGACCAGGACATCATCTGTCACCCGACTCGTACAGCTGAGTGCACTCCACCACCATCTACGCAAACGCAATACTTTCTGCCCGAGTCGAGTCACAGGTTGTGAAAAAGTACTTCACGACTTATCGCGAGAACGACGTTCGCTAGACTGTCAGTAGAATCGCACTCGCTCAGGATCACGAGACATCGAGATATCGAATATTGCGCTCTGCCGTATCGGCGGCTCTGATTGGTCGAGACGTCTAGAGAATTGGCGCCATCTTGGCGCACTGCGCGTTACTAACCTTACCATGAAGTTCGTCATCTACGTATTCGCACACTCTGAGAGTAGAATTTACTACTAGACTCGGATGAAATCTGCCGAAAACCATGGCGTCTATGGTTTTAATCTACCACTAGCGTCGGTAGTCGCCCCGCCATTGAGCTATGAACGTTAGAATGCTCACTCAATCGGAGACAATGCTATTTTCAAATATGCCTTTATACCTACCCGATAGAAGAGGAATATTAATTGATGTAGCTAAAAATATGAATGAATTTAGGATCGATTTGTTCGAACTAGGTAAGACAGACTTCATTTTTCCTGCTAAATTGAATTAAATAGCTCTAAATACCACAGTGTTGCTGCATCTAAATTCTAGTCTCGTAAAAGAAACCCTCACATTGGAATTCCACGGTTTAGGGAATCGTCGACAATGGAATATAATTGCAATTGAAGAGAATATGTTCTCCATATCACATAATAGATGGTTGAATGGACCCCCCAGGGATTTATCCGCAAAGACCACCCCGTTATCACTTGGACTCATCCGGAGCCGGGAAAACATGATTAATTTGAAGGAGACAATGGGTTTTCAAATTCGCAATCGGCGCACTGATTTTGAAGGGAAGATAAGCGAATGGAATGCCTATTTTCGGGGTGAAACTCTTCTGGTACCTTGACCTTCATTTTCTAATCATAAATTATTATCTCGAGAGGGTGACTGTTGACTAGGCAGGAGTCTTTATAAGCGAACGTCTTCGCCGAGGGAAATCTTAAATGCCTGGCCTCATCTCAACTCGGTCGCTTCAAGACGATTGCCGGATATCGGTGGATCGGTGGAAAGGGTCTCACATGGTATCTAATCAGGCTGACCTTTCACCCCCTGTTTAAGCACGGAAAGCGTGGACCTTTGACTGCTCTATCCCTGATCACTCCGGACCCATTCTCTCAACGCATACCGCCTGAACAGGAAGCGCTTATTTAACAACGATATAGTGTACACGCATCCAATTACGTTGATGTGGTTGCACCCCAGCCTTTCTCAGTTTGGCTTTACGCCGTCGAGACGACATTCAACCTCGGAGTGATCGGTACCGGCAGTGGTTCGCGAATGTCCCCGGCAATTCGGGAGTGAAATGCTCGGCTTAGCTTTCGAGGCTCCAAACTTCTGAAATTCACCCCGAAAAGATGGTAACGACTCTAGGCGTAATTTCCACCCTGATTGTCCTCGGGTGCGGAGCGTATGCAGGTGAGAACATCCGAATTAACGTAATCATAATTTTCATAAACCCTGAAAAAAATCGCCACGTCGTCGTTCCTCCATCTGAAGTGATACCAGCTCCAATAAATGGGTTACTCTGACCCAGCCAGAGAATGCAGAACGCAAGTCAACAACTTTACCGTTTCACAGAATCTACGACGGTCCATCCATTTCTTCCAACGTGTTGTGAATAACGAGCGTCGCTTTATCACCGTATTTTTCAACTTTTTTTTCCCCTCTTTCTTCGAATTAACGCCGCCACCAAAGACGATCTCTTATCGATCTTTCCTAATCGTGCTTAATTTTGCAGAAGTCATCAGCGACCCCGCGTTTTGCAGCAGGACAAAGTGCATTGGTGAGTAATGTTCACTTGCAAAATATCTCTACACCTTCTAAATTATTTAATACATTGAATATTGTTGATACACTGTATATAGAGGTTTTGTAGTAAAGCGTACAATTTTCTAATTCAGTTATACCCGATTGTTTAATTTTGAAGACTAAAGAGGTATTTATGCGCATATTTCAGCCCCGGCCGAGGTGAAGTTCAAGTACCAGAAAGACTTAGTGTACAAGTACAAGTACAATGTCGACGTCAGTACGAACATGGGCGAACAAGAGGGTTCCGGGAAAGGCCGGAACGAGTCCACCCTCCACGTCGATGCTATGGTGTCTTTACACTTTTCAAGTCCCTGTGAAGGGTTCCTGAGGTTAAAGGATGTCAGCGTTAGTCACAACCGATCGTCGTACAACCCGGAATTCCCAGACAGAGCTGGGGCAGAATTTAAAGCGAGTGTCGAGGAGTTCATCCTCAGGTTCGCCTTCCACGATGGTCAAGTGCAAGAGCTGTGCCCACACCCCAAAGAGCCCATATGGTCCTTGAACCTGAAGCGTGGAGTCCTGTCGATGTTCCAGAACACCATGAAGAGGTTCGACGTGGACAGGAAAGTCGAGGAACTGGATGTGAATGGTATATGCGAGACCCAGTACAAGCTTCACCAAGCCAGGAGGACCAGCCTCATCATAAGGAAGTCGAAGGACATCCGAAGTTGCGTATATCGGAACAAGCACTTGTCTCTGTTACAGTCCACAGCTTACAGGAGCATCCTCTCGCAGTCCTCTAAACCGTTTCAGCAGCCATTGATGAAGTCTAAGAGCGAATGTGAAATTATTATAGACCATAACGTGTACGAGAGAGTGGTGTGTACGGACTCGCACATGTTGATTCCTTTGTCCAATGGGGTGAAGGCCGGTGCCCAAACGGACACCAGGGCTGTGCTCCAGCTTATGGAAGAGTCTCCGGAAATCTTCGATGAAAGTGACACGAAGCTCACTCACGGGAAAAGGACCAATTTATTATACGATCATGCCAGTACTCCGAAGCCCACTCACGGGGAACTTAGAGCGGCTAGAGACCTGGTTAAAAGCATGTGCACCCTGGGGGCTGCAGAAGAAATGCAGGAGCGCTTCTCGGAGATGTTCACCAAGTTCATACACTCGGCGAGGGTATTGAACTATCCATCACTCTCGCAGTTGTTTTCCAGAGCGAACGGGGTCTGCAAAAACGGAAGGTAACGCTCGGATATATGGTGCTTTTCATAGCGTCGACAAATTCCTGGTAATTATTGTATATTTTTAGAAAACACATTCTGAATGCGCTACCATTCATCGGCAGCAATGCTGCGGTGAATGTGATGAAGGATCTGATTATCAAGAGATACGTGAACAAAGAAAAGGCTAACGACTGGGTCACGGCATTCGCTCTGATCCCAAGGCCTGATCGTGAGACTTTACTGGCTCTGGCACCGCTCCTGGACTTCCAATACGAAATACCGGATGCTCAGTTCATTCTCAGCTATTCCGCCGTCATCCACGGATATTGTAGCTATGGCGATCGAGATTGTCTGCAACTGGAACCGGTCCAGAAGTTCATCGAGGACTTGGAACGAAAATTGGACCGTGGATGCGCCCCGCAAAGCCACACTCTATCCATCATCAAACAGGTTGCTAGGCAGTCGCTAATATTTTTGACAAAAATAGTTATTTTATTATTTTTTTATCGCTAACTGAGAGCCTTTTGAAAGATTAAGAAAAAAAAAAAAATTGTCCTAGACTTTGGAGGCACTTAAAGCAATCGGCAACATGGGCATTGAAACGGAATCGTTGCTGAAGAAATTGAAAGGGTGCATCGATGGCGTCGGTGGCTTCCTGCCGATGGAATTACGCGTTGCAGCAATAGATGCTCATCGCAGATTACCATCCTGCGAAAAGACGAGAGACAGCTTCTTTCTGGACTATTACAGAAACTATACATTAGATACGGAAATACGAATCGCTTCGTACTTGCAAGTGATGCGTTGCCCTAATTATAACGTCATCAAAATCATCAAGCGTACGCTCCAGGAGGAGGAAGTGAATCAGGGTACTTACTTTGATTTCAGTTCTAATCTGCATATAATGAAAGTATACGGTCATTAATAATCGAATTGTCATTTATTCCCTTGCAGTCGGCTCTTTTGTCTGGAGTTATTTGACGAATATATTGAGCTCTGCGTCGCCCACCAGGATTGAGGTGCAAAGCCTTTTGACGGACAAAGACCTCGGCAATAAATTCAACAGCGACATGCGAAAGTTTTCGCGGAACTATGACAATTCCTTTTTCTCCGACGAGTACAACATCGGTGCTAATTACCAAGGCAACTTGATTTTTTCGCCGAAATCTTATATACCCCGGTCGGCCGTGTTCAATTTCACGATGGACCTGTTCGGAGAGTCAGTGAATTTGTTTGAAGTAGGAGCTTGGATGGAAGGCTTGGAATTCTATGCAGAAAGCCTCTTCGGCCCCGAGGGTCCATTTAGCGAGGAAAAGGTTGGGAATCACCTGAGCCAGCTTCTCCGACGATTTAGGTCTGTTCCCGAGAACGATCCAAGATACTGGGAACGAGTTAAACGTTTGCCGAACGTGATCGATAACAATTTCGATCACCCACGTATCGGTTTTGGCTTTAAGATCTTTGGCAACGAGCTTAAATACACCATGTTAAATGGCGACGCTGAAATAAGGTCCGCTTTGACTTCTTTGAATCCATGGGAGAAGGTAAAGCAGATCCTCTCAGGGAAAGAAATTCACTACGAGAACACTGCCATGTTCATGGACACGTCTTATGTCGTTCCGACCACTGTAGGCCTTCCCATTCGATTAGACTTAGGTGGATCTGCGGCGTGCAACTTTAAATTGTCCGGTCTGCTTGACAGTAAAAATCTAATAAACAACGGCGAGATGGAACTCGCGGGTAACATCATGCCAAGGTAAAGAAGCACGTGAGAAAGTATTAAAGCCTTGTATTACTCGATTTACAGAACCCCGCTAATCTCATTGCAGTGTGAGCGTCGACATAACTGGAACCATGATGGTTGATGCTTTTTACAAGAGTGCCGGTATCAAGTTGAGATCGAATATCTACAGCTCCGGTGCCGTACAAGTTCACTTGGTCGTACAGGGAACTCGTCTGGTTCGACTGAGTTTGGGTTTGCCAAACCAGAAGATAGAGGTATTCTCGATCCTTACCGATGTACTTCTGGTGAGCCACAATGGTGCCGAAACTAAAGAACACGGTGTGGGAGTGCTCATCGCTAGTGAGGGTAAAAGAAATCTTCGACAACGTATCGGCAGCGTAATCAGCAACACAACTTGTAGCTGGCATTCCTTGGATAGACTGATTGGTCTTAAGCTCTGTACCGAGTACCAATTTCCGAATGTGACGAAAAATCCTAATGCCTCGTACTTTATCTTGAACGGGCCAACGCTTTTTAAGATCTCCATGATCAAGGCCGATCCCACTGCCAGGAGTTATCTCTTAGAATATAAATGGGAAAAGACTGTGGTACGTTTATTTCGAGTGCAATTAAATCGTAGAAGGAAAATAATGCCAATGAAATATATCAATTGAATCGTTTCAGAACGAGAGCGTCATAAAGGTGGCCTTCGATACACCAGGTTCCGAGCTGAAGAGGGAACTGAGCGCCACGGTGTCTTTCGATGTCAAGAGCAGAAATGTCACAGTGCTACTTCAGTCAGCTGGAAATTCGTTAATTGCCAAAGGTTTTATTGCACATTTAAGCATACAATAAATATTGCTTAGTTCTAAGCTCTTGAGTAATTTGAATATTTTGTTCATCTAGGAACGTACAAGAAATCGGAGAACGAGACCCTGATTGACGTAGGCTTAGACATAAATGGCACAAAACATTTGGATGCTCGAGTTGGATATTCAAAGAAAAACGGAAATTATGGTTTTACATATTCGCCAAAATTGTATTTAGCTATTAATAGCGAAAGGATAGCTGAACTTTCAGGTGGGTTCGGTGTTGTTCAATCAAGTAAAATATTTATCAACTACATGGTAAATATTATTCCAAGGTTTTAAGGCGAATAACGTTCGTTACCTATTCGTTAGGTACTATAAGGAATGCCCAGAAGAACAACGTGTCACAGTGTGACATTGACCTAGGATTCCAGACTAAGAAACTTCGAAGTCGTGTTCAGGGGTACATCCTGAAAAGGAACGTTAGTTTGTCCGGAAATGTTAAGCTGGAATATCAATTGCAAGGGATGCCAAAAAGAGAGACTCTTCAGTTAGAAGCCTCATTGATAAATCGATCCTCGAAGACGCTGACGCACAAGGCAGCAAATTTCAGACTTCAGTCCACAGCATACCCTCAGTTAAATGTAGTCATTTCTTCATGGTACCAACAAGCATTGGGCCATTTGGAACTCCACGCCGAGGTCAATTCCAGTCCGCATCTCCGGGACGACCGTCACAAACTTACGGCACAATTTGTTGTAACTTATTCCAAAGCATACTTCCAAAATCAAGGAGCGAAAATCAGTGCTTGGGTTGCAGTTACAAAGCCTATTCAGAACCTAGACATTAAAGTAGGGGTTAATCACTTCTCCCTTGGTCCTGAGTCTAAAACGCATCTGTTAATTCGCTACGCACCAGGTAATTTATACGTGCATTACGCCGCGTTATAAAATGAACTCTTCAAACATTTTAATTCAGCTACGAGCAACGTCTTAACGGTCTCGATTATTTTATAGGCAAAGAGATCGTCCTTATCGTAGGTACCGTCATGCCCCGAGGAACCATGTTCTCCATAGAAGGTCACGCAAATTTGACCATCCCCAACTTTAGCTCCATGATAATAGACGCAAGAGTGCACGAGAAAGCTCGAAAGGAATACGAGCTAGATTTTGCAGGGACCTGGTTCAGTGGACACAATGTCACGATTCGAGGAACTTATTCCGATAGATCGTCGGCAGCTATAGTAAACCACGTGCTAAAGCTTCTCCTGAAGTCGCCAAGTTTTACCAAAGACGTAATCGTGAATTGCAAGTTGTACAACGATGCAAGCGATTTGAAGATCGACTTGTACATGGAGCAATTGGATATGGATAAATATGCACTGGTGTTGAAACACACTACGATCTCACCGACTCGGTTGGTCACTTATTTAGAGGGAAGATATAAGAACAGCTTGTACACGATTATGACTAACATTGACTTGCAACGAGAAGCGCGGGCTGAGATTCATTTGGACAGTTGGAGGGATGTACATTTGATAGTCAGAGGTATCAATGAAGCAACGAAGAAAGAATTCGGGTTGGAGGTAAAGTGGGACGCCAATCGCGATCCTGCCCTGAAATTTGCCACGGCCCTTCAGCTTTTCAAATTCGCTGCCGAAGGTAGCAATGCTAAGAATGTCAGCGCAATCTTTTCAGTGACTTATCCTGGACGTTTGGTAACGGGCTCCTGTTTACTCGCCATTCGTGGTCGCAATAATTACGTTTCCGACTTTCGATTGGACTGGAGCCCTGAACACATGGTTCAGTTTACTATCGACGTCGACTACAACATGGAAGCTTGGGAGAAGTCCTTTAAGCTTGAATCCCAATTGCTTACTCCTTTCGAACAGTGGAAAAGAACTTCGTTAAATACAAGGTGAACGGTTAACTTATTCGTATTCTATCGCTTTTCAGATTAAGGTATTAAGCTACTATTTAATTGCATCCCCCCTCATTGATTTATTTATTGCAGGCTACTTCAAGATGAGCGGCAGTTTATAGGAAACGGTAGTGTTTACTGGCAAGACTCGCACCACATAATCCTGGACTTCTCAGGAAAAATCAAGGAAGAAATAGATAATCTTGAGTGGAACGGTGATTTTAGATTAGTCAGTACTGTGCACAGTATAAAATGGATTACAGCGAACGTGACTCATAAGCAAAGCAATAAAAGCATGGATTCTCATTTGGTGATTAAGTATTATCCTGACAAGATAGTGGATGCGAGAAGCCTGTGGATTTTGCATAAGGAAGCCCACGATATCTTCAACCTTACTGGAACCGTGAATCTTGTCTCGCCTTTGGTCAACTACCGGAAAGGGGAGATGAAATGCTATCTGTGCATGAAACCCAACTGGAAATTTCAAGGAGCAGCTAATATCGATATCGACCGGCGAAAATATACCGCGAATTTAATAGGCGATCTAACTAAGTTCAAGGAGTCCATGCTTCAACTAAATGTCACTACACCTCTGGAGCGTTATGCGTTTTTGAGAGGGAGATTTGGATTTTCAGAGAGCGAAAGGCATCTCGTAGCTGAAGTAGTTAGTCCCTCTGGGCCCTTAGGTTTCGAGGCAATTTTTCAGCTATTTACGACCTCTCCTGATTTCCACGTCAAGTTACTTTTGGCTACTCCAATCGACGTGCTGCAGCGTTCCTTGTTGGTCGCTAAATTGAACAAACGAGAAGCAGATTTTCGAGTTGCATATAACAATATCACTGCAGGGTTCCAGGGTGTCTGGCATTACGAGAACATCACCGATTTTCATTACAGTTATATATTATATACGCCACTCCATGGACTTCACGAAAGTGGGATCGTTACAAAGCTTATTGTAACATGGGTTGAACCTTTAGGGAGACTGGATCTAGATACCGAGTTCTCCCTCAGATTGGTGCAGAAGAAAGTTGGATTCAAAGCAAAAGGTGGCCCTAAACCTCCACCCGTTCATATTCCAGTGAAGAATATTAAAGTCATTGTCGAAGAAAATAGCGAAGATTATTCAATGGAAGATGAAGAGGACAATGAAGAGAACTTGTACTGGCGAGGGGACTTAGAGGTGAGAAAATATTTATACCTATATCGTTTATAAATCATGTACCCCTATACCTTAGTAAAATAATTAAAATAATTTCCGCTGCAGCTGTATGCTGCTGTAATAGAGCCCATTATCGGTCATTTAGATATTGATGAAGATGATTCCACGTACAAGATCATAGGTGTTCTGAAATTACCTCAAGGAACTATCAAATTGGATGATCAATTTTTCATAGATAATGTGTTCAACATGAAAAATGACTTGAGCATCGAAACTCCATTTGAATATGCCTCCGAAATTACCTCACAGTACGCTTTTAATATTGACTTGGAACGTTCGATGTATCTAATCGAGGATGTAAGAATAAAGAAATATTCTGAATGGGTAGAGGTAAGGTTTTATACATAGTACCATTATTTCACGATGAAGTATATAATTATATTTTTATAAACAATTTGTAGGCTGGCTTAAATATCAATTACACGCTTCAAAAAGGTGAACTCGATGATTCGAGAGCGCACATGGTAATAGTCAACGTAAAGACTCCTCTAAGCCTCTTAAAATATATAAACACGAAGACTGTAATAGAGGTTGATGAAAATTATTATGTAGTGCGAGTTGATGTGCAGGCACAAAATTGTTCCGCGTCGTTTGGAGGATCACTTGAGGTGGGTTATAGTATAAAAATGACATAAAAATTGTGAAAATGTGATTGAATCCACATATACTGATACAGTAATTTTCGTAATTTTCAGATGGACGAAGGATTTCTAGCCTCTACAGTAATGGCAAAAGTAGACAGTCCATTAATCACTGTACCGAGAACAAAAGTCGTTATCAAGAAAGATTTAACGGATAAAGAAAAGCGTATGGAATTCAGTTTAATTACCGCAGAAGCCATTCCAAAACTTGTAAGTATTACGTCAGTGCTAGTGGAAAGAAACGAGTTAAAAAGTCTCATTTTAATAATTTTTTGCTTTAGATAAACCTACATGTAACGTGGCACGTGGAAGAACAGAATTACGTGAAAATCTCCGTTGCTCTGGAAACGTGGATCGAATCGTTGAAGAGCTTAGAAGCCGACGTTCTCTTCGAGGATACAGTTACAAAGAACGACACCGCTAAATTAAATCTGAGCTTGAAATGCCACCCAGAACAAGAATACAGTTTAATCGGCAACTACAGAAGCGGATCGATAAACGTTCACTTGAATACCCCGTTGCGATTAAATGAACATCTAAAAATCAACGCCTTAGTCATTCGGGAAGATGACGACACGTACAAAATAGAGGGTAACATGATAAACGAAGAGACCGCAGCTGTTCACAAGGTAAAAGGTACTTTGAAGTTGCACGATCAGACGTTCTCCAGTTTAGAAACTCAATTCGACCCAACGGAAGTTGACGCTTCACCGAACGACAGAATAACGTTGAAAGTAAGACGCGAACCAAATGGAATTGTTTTGGAGATGAATAGCGGTTTCCTTAACACCTCGGCGATTTTCGACTACGCAAACCCCGTGAATTGGTATACTGGCATTAAGGCTGTAGCTTTGAAGGATGATAATGAGCTTATCTACGAACTAGAAACATTCATGATCGTACAGACCAACGGCAATACTACCGTTCACCTTTACGGGGTGACACCCTGGGAGGACCTGGAGAGAGTGACTTTAACCGGGAACATGCTGCTGGGCAACGTGTCAGGGAATGTTAAAGCAGAGTACGAACTAAACGACGACGCTTATTGCGTTGATTTTCTTTGGAAGCTGAACTATATGGTCGACATGTTAGGACGGATAACGGCGATCTATACGAGCGAGGATATCGAGAGTAAGCACATCGATGCGTTGATTTTCTTCAAAAATCCTGCACGGTCCTTCAGAAGTATCGATTCCGGGTTCGACGTGATCGTGGACCGAGAGACGTGGAGACTAGCTACAAATGCATCGATTGGTTTCCACGATAAGGAAAACATCGATGCTGTTGTCACCGTTAGATTGCCACCCCCAGATAACGATAGCCACAGACTACTCTTCAGTTATCATGCCATTGACGGGCTGCACAATGCATCCTATGTAATTGGGTATAATGCCTTAAATGCGCAGACTAATTACGCATCGGACGGATCAGTACGTACCCTCTTTAATTCTTTTGTACTTCAATTTAGTTTCATCCGAGTATCAGTGCTCGCCAGAAAGAGGATTCTCGATTGAATAAAACACTTTTCTCGACAGATACGAATGGCTGCAAGAGACATCGATGGCCATGTCCGGTTAACCTGGGGAGCGGCACAAGACCAGACTTTGAATAACATTTTCAATGTAAAATTCAACCAGAAAGCGATTGATTTCAAGTATTCATTGTTCACCCCGCGATTCGTAAACGAGGAGACCGTGATATTCTTCTTCTCCTACGATGCGACCCCGGAAATCTACAACATCTTTAATGCAGATATATATTACCCGGCAAAATTGCGCGTTGGGTCGGCGCATATATTCTACACGAGTCTCATAAACGTTAATGGAACCATCAATGCAACCACGCCGATAACAAATTTCACATACGTAGGATGCAACTTCGAGGTGCTCACTACTTTGTAAGTAAATCGCTCTCACCACGTCCTGCACAGTTCTCTGAATCATCGGATATTTTTCTATCAGTGTAAAATGTTCATTGATTAATTTATTTCAGGAAGCAAAACAAGCGATTCGTCGAGCTCTTCTGGCCGAACAACACTGCGATTTTAAGCTCGGACTATAGTTACCACAGCGAGAAATTGGACTCCTCTCTGGAGGGCCATTTGCTCATAGAGATTCCCTTAAACACCCGGCATGTAGGCCACTTGACGTACGGCTACAAGAAACGGCCTCAGGTGACGAACGGCTACGCCGAGTTGACGTACAACAAGCAAAAAGTTCTTCATGGACAATACAACTCAAAGAGCGAATCAAGAGCCGGCTTTGAGAAGGACCGTATCCAGATCACGGTGGAGAACGCCTATAAGCCAATCGGTATAATATACATTAACCAGTACGAGTACAGTGGAGGTAACGAGGGTACAAATTATCCCACCGTGGAGTTCAAGCAGGTGAACGTCTATCGGTTAGATAATAGTTCAGCGTTTAATGTCGCTGGCGAGTCAAGGATCAAGACAACTCACACGGGTCAAGATATACATCTGAAAGCAGTACACTCAAACAGGACCGTCCAATTCAAGACCGACTACCAGATCTTGCCTGGCGAATTCGACCAGCACACCTGGCTGAGTCTGGCCGACGATGCCTGGGCCGCATACCATATTAATATTCTGAATAAGACCACGGAAGACGTGGAGAACCAGTTCCTAGTGGTCAGCTTTGCGTACCCGCGAAGGAACTTCACTCTGGATGCATCCTACGAGATAACGGCCGCAAAAATCAGCTCCGAGGCAAGGCTGGATTGGGATAAGGACAAGGAAAGGCCGAGGACCCTGGGCACCTCTTTCGTTTGGAAAAATGTCACATTACCTAGAGGTGTCAATCAACAGCAGGCGATTCTCAGTCTGAAGCACCCGAGCTTCAGTAAAGATGTTACCGTTACTGGCCAGATAATTAAGGGAGACGTCAGAGACTGGTTGAATGCCCACCTCATCATCGATTATTCTCTAAACAGGGAGAAACTGCTGTTATTGTCCGCGATCCTGAAGGATGAAAGTAATCTCCCTGTTGAGAGGAAGTACTCTTATGTGATATCTGGAAAGCATCCCAGTACTCAACTGAACCTGGAGATTCAGGGATCACTTAGAAAGTACTCGAACTACCTTATGGAGACCTACAATAATGCGACTTACAAACGTAGTTTCCTGCCCGTGGAGAGTGGCTTACTGAACGCTAGACTGGACATTTCCTTGAACGAAGTCGAGCTGCACAGAAGAAACAACGACGTCATTAAATATTTTAGGAGCCGGTATTATTTGATGCACCCTGAGTATGTCGTCAACGGGTCTTTTATCAGGACTCCTGATATAAATGCCACGGGAGCGTTGTACCTAAATGTCCGCGAGAAGCTCACCTGGATGATGGTTAATTATACACCTGGTAAGAAGGCACAAATTTCGTTAATTGAAATAAAGTTAGAACCGCAGATTAATTAATCATACTTTCATAGATGCGGTGGAGAGCTTGCGAATGTATGGAAACATTCCTGATGCGAGAAATGCAATTTTCAACATCTGGAGGACCTATGATCAGGATCTCACCATATCGGACGTTTCTTTTTACTTGAAGCTTAATCATTCTCGGCTTGTCACGTCTACACTTCGCTGGAGACCGGAACTGAAGAGTGATATAACGGTAGAATCATATGAAAAGAAAGATGCTATTTAGTTTTCTTTATTTTTGCAATTAATCCGTGCTCTTTACAGAACGCTATTAAATCGTCGCTGTACGAAATGTACGAGGAAACGGGAAAAGACGCGGACCACTGGAGGCAGTACGTGAAAAGTGAGACCCTGAGCGCAATATCTGGCGTATGGGAAGATGCTGAAGAAGACATGAGAGAATTCCTAGACGACTGGAAGTTGGTGTTCTAGGAACTTTTGTTAAAAATAGAGTATGTCCGACAGGCATTTTAATATTCTAATCTTTCAGCGACTTGAAGGAGCTCGAGACGGACTTGGAGGACTTGAAGATATATCTGAACAATTCGTACAACTCTAACGATTTCTACGTGAAGGACATCGTGGGTTTAGGCTTGTACGTGATAGACGAGCTCTCTTTGCGCAGTCACATTCAATCCCTGCCAAACATCCTAAACGAAATTTGGGAAATAATGGGCGAATCCGGCGAAGCCATTCGCAATTCTCTGCTGTGGATCATCGAGACGATCAAGAGCGGATACAATAAAATTCTGGAGATCGTCGGTGCCGTGCTGAAGGGCGACTCGGTGACGCAAATCGCGAACATAATCGAGAAGCTCATAGAGAAGTACGACATGTTCGTGAAGGACCTTCACGTGTCGTTCATAAAATACATAGAGAATCTGTGGAACAACGTGGTCGTCTCGATATCGCAACAGTGGAACAAATTCTTGAAACTGGTCGAGCCCACGTTCATCCAGATCGTGCATTACATCGAGGCGGTGATATGGAAGGCCAGCAAAGAAGTCGTCGACTTCTTGTACGACCGGCGCAATGAAATCATAGCTTCGCCCTACTTCGACCGCTTCACGAACTTCACCCAGGACATCGACAGGTTCTACCGTGACGTCAAAGCCAACGACATCATCACGAATTTCCAGAAATACTTCGGCATTGTCGTCCAGTTCTTCCAGGAGCGATACTTTACGATCGTGCCATTCGGCAAGGAACTCAAGGATGTCGTCGACGAGATACTGTCGGAGCTGAAGGAGCTGAAAAAGTTGCCCTCGGTCAAGTACGCCCTGGACAAGATACAGCAGCTTTATGAAAAGGCCGAGTACCTCTATGAGTACTTTGATGTCAAGGCCAAGGTCGAAAGTACCGTACGCCTGGTCCACTCCAAGCTGATAGACATCAGTCAGACCGCTCTACAGGCCGAAAGTCGATACAGGGAAGCGAAGACTAAATTTATTTTCGATCCTCACCAGGGTTTGATGTGCCTTGAACAGAAGCTGCCCATGTCTTGGCATGCCTTCAACCAGACTCCGCAATTCCAGGAGATCCCCGAGTACAGAGCCATCGCTGACATGGGATCGTACTTCGTCACTTCCAATACCACGTTCTGGGCGATCTATTATCGATACAAGCCTTACACCGAGCCATCCAATTGGCTGCCTCCTTTCAAGGGTACTAAACCCTCCCATTTATTTAAGAACGTCATGGTCTTTCCTGAAAAGGCTTTAATTTTATTCTTTACGTAATATTTTCAGCTCAAGCGCTTATTGCTGGTGCGCAGCATTACGTGACGTTTGACGGTGATCATTATGAATTTTCTGGATCGTGTACATATTTGCTGGCTCGAGACTTTGTACGGGACCAATTCGCTGTTCTGATCCAGTACGACCAAGGCGATCGTGGCACGGGAAAGTCTCACCGAGTTATAGTCCTGATGGGCAAACAGGCAATCGAGTTGGATGTCTTCAAGGATGTTCGTATCCCCCAATTGTGGCAATTCGTCATATTCCTTTAAAGTTAGCTTTTAGGGCGCTACAATAATAATACGTTTTACAGACCGTACGACTCATGGACTCCGGGACCACATTGCGACTTCCGGTGGAACTGGAAAACGGAACCGCTTTCGTTTACCAGGACGAGCACGTAGTGACTGTGGAGCGCAAGGACAAGCAGTTTAAATTGGAGTGCAACTTGAAATTCGATCTATGCAGTTTGGAGCTCTCGGGCTGGTATTACGGAAAGACAGCGGGTCTTCTGGGCACAATGGACAACGAAGAAGCTGACGATCGTCTGGCCTCGAGTGGCAGGGTAATCAGTGACCTAGGACAATTCGCTCAGAGTTGGTCTCTCGATGGAGAACATTGCAAGAGCCACGAGAACTTCGCCGTGATCGGGGAGAATTCTGCTGAGCAGTTTTGCGAAGACCTGTTTGTCAATAAGAGCTCAGAATTCAGCTCGTGCTTTAATGTGGTCAGTCCCGACGATTACGAAGACATGTGCCTGAACAGTGGAAACGGATCAGAAGTGTGTACTGTTGCAATGGCTTATATGCAGACTTGCATGTTTTACAACATTTATCTGAGAATACCAGATAGGTGCACCACGTGTACCATGATAAACGGCTCGAGAGTACCTGAAGGAGAATTCCGAAAACTGGAGGGTCCATCCGTTCCTAAATCAACGGACGTTGTCTTTATCGTGGAAGCTAAGGAATGCAATCGAGCCATCAATGAGAATCGTAGTATGGAATACTTGGTGACGCAGATGAGCAAGGAATTCAACGAGCAGGAGTTAACGGAGAATCGCTGGTCCCTCGTCACTTTTGGGGGCGATGGCGTGTACAACGAACCTAGGAGCACCATCCTTGACAATCAAATTTTTACTAAAAATGTAGGACACTTTGTGAAGTACTTCGAGGATATTCCTGTCGGCAATGGCAATCAGGATATATTCGCTGCGATCGGATTCGCCTCGAAGCTTGTCTTCAGGGCCGGCGTATCCAAGACCTTTGTCCTGATCCCATGTTCTCATTGCGAGCCGCAGAATCAAACCGTAAGTCAATTCTTCGGTTCTCACCATACCCTTAACAATGGTATAATTTCGTAAATGAATCATTTTAAAATCGCATGACCAATAAATTCGTTCCAGCTGGATTATTCCGTACTGCATCAAGTGTTACTTGAACGAGACATTACGCTGCACATTTTTATGGATGGAGACTTCCAATTCGAGAAGGAGAGGCTCAACAAGATTTTCTTTGGACTGGATGCCAGGAAATCGTACACCAAGAAGGATGCAAGAGCTTTAGTCGGGGACACCGACTTGAGAAGACAAGTGAAATTGTCCAAGCACATTCTAGGATACTGTACGCCGCTCTCTTTGGAGACTAATGGTACAATATTCAGTGGGAATAAGCTGCGTTTCGACAAGCTACCGTCCATCAAGAAATTTGTCAGCGTATTTGCCAAAAGGGTGGCATTGACAGCGTTCCCTAGCACTTGTCAGCATTGCGAATGCACGGCAGATAATAACGGCATAACGCAAATGGAGTGTATGCCATGCATTTATCCAACACCTGTTACAGTGGATTATGTCAGCGTACGTTCATTTTTACATTAATGTGTATTGTCGAAACAGAAAAATGTCGCGATGCATCGGAAAGGATGAAATATGAAATCTCAGAAAACTTCCCCTCAAAGCAAATCTGCTGAGTCTACGGAATTAATTTTAACGGCATGACTGTTTTACAGGAAACGTTCAACGAGGACGCGGCTCTCTCAGAACTTCAGATGTTGAACTTAGATTACGGCCAAATGGACATGGAGGAAGATTGAAGACAGTAAGATGCGACTTTAAAGACACTGTACGAATGCCCTATTTATTCAAGATGTTAAACTGTAAAAAGTGAATTAATAGATCTACCCTTACCTTCGGTGAGGATAAATATCGCGAATTAATGACGTATATTAATTTGGTATAACGAACGATGATCGGATTCAGCTTAGAATCGAGAAAGCGCTTTGTTCGAACGAAGTCTGCAAAAGAAAGTCACTATCTTACCAAAATGTATTTTATTAATATGCGTTGATAATGGAAATATAACAATATGAAGTTCGACAGATGGACAGATGCCAATTTTGACATTAGCCGCGTTGAAGAATTCGACGATGTTTAATACAAACGATCAGGCTGATGTGGATCGTTTCCATAGAGCTCGATTACTGTTGGTCCAATGCAATAAACGGTACTTCCGACGTTCCGATTAAACGGCGGACCGATAACGAGCAATAACAATTTTCTTTTCAAGAGAGCCATTGTGTTTTAGTACAAAAAGTTGATTTTTTTTTACATTAATATTCTACAATAAAATTAGTAGACATTCCCCTAGAAATTCTAGGCAATCGCTCGCGATAAGGTAACTCGCATATTGGGAACAAGAAGCCCATGCTATCGTAAGTTTCATGGCACCTCGAAATCTTGGCAATCATAACGTAACGTTGACAAGTATATTTGTAAAAGAATAACGATCGAGTAATGCTCGGAGATATAATGGTTTACGGGCTATAAACAAATCATTAAACTGATTATTAAATTCACACGTGATGCAAGCCCGAATATAATTCGCGGAAAGGTAAATAAATTCGAAATGCTAGCCGACTGATGAGCGTCGAGCGAACTGAGAAGCTGATATCAGCTCAATTCATTAATTATAATCGTTAGAACGATGGACACGATTATATTAATACACATATGTATATATAAAACTTCTGTCCATATATAATTTGTATATCGTATCTTCGATTGAACTGTACGAGTGATTCACAAATCGATAAATGGCAATTGCTTCGCATTATAGTCAGTTTCCTACTATAAACGACCTCACCTCAATATTTTCACCTACGACCGTTACTTCAATTGCATTGTTACGTTTAAATAAAAATTATAAAATATCCGAATTATAAGGTATTTATGGGGACCCTAAATTCATTTGTACCTTAACGAAAAAGAGGAATGACTTAATGACGAGCGAAGGTCTAATGTATTAACGCTGGAATGGAAGAAACGGCCGGCGGTAAGAGCTTGTGCCAATTTCATTTGGCTCATTCAGTAACAATGCTATCCTCGCGCACAGAAAAATGGTCACCTGGAATCGTAAGCTTGCAAATGATTCGGAGCATCGGCAAATGTAAACTTTAATTTATAGGCTTCCGCTACGAGAATACCGATCTCCGAGTCCGTCCAATTCTGAGTAGGCAGATTTTGTAGCATTAACATTAATCCCTGAAACAATTTTTCACAGGTGATACAAGTTCAATAGAGGGAAGAACTGTTTGGAGTAGTTCCAAACTGCTCTAATTGTATGAAAAGTAAAAAACAATTTCAATAGATACAGGACTTACTTGGAAGTCAGGTTGTAACAGTAGGTGACGTTTCCATCGAAGAAGGAAAGCTGCACAAACATATAACTGAAATGATGCAAAGCGATCAGACTCTGCTAGATATGTGTCCCAAAGGCGAATTGTACAATGAAGAGGTATCTCCCTGGTTAGCAAATTATTCATCCACCGGAAAGAGAACTGTAGATAATCAACTCCATGTTGATGTAGGTGTTGATGAAGCGGTGCTATAATAAATGTATGTTTTGAAGTAATTTTTTTTACCTATGGTAGACAAAAATATATTTCTTGTATTATTACCATCAATTCTTTGAATCAGTTCCTTCAGTTGATTCACTTTATGCTGAATACCTAATTGAGCAAAGATATAATTATCTTGGATCCCGTCTAAGAATTTGGAAAGACACCAAAAACTGTCCGCTTCAATGATGTCACGTTGTTCTTTAGGCAATGATGCTACATCGTAATTTTCTAAATCCTGCCAAGCCGACACTGGCACTGCTTCTTGTAGAAAAACCAAGAAAAACGGAGTAACAAGGTCATTCATACCCTAAAAGTTTTAAACAATTATTTAATAAAATAAGTAAAATAATAAAACGAAATTAATTAAATTTGTCGCTACACGAACATTAACATAATTAGATGAAAAGGCACCTGGACATAACCTGAAGCTGGATGTCGAATAGCCCAAATGTAAAGTATCCTTTCAAAAATCAGTTGAACAGTGGTTTGTTGGAAGAGAGCAATAAGAGGAGACATTCTTGGAATATCGATGTGAATCTGCCGATATGTATCCTGAAATCCCTCATCTCTTTCGGCATCGTAGTACTGTTTTACTAGGTTCAAGTAATCTAGACGTTTACGCTCTAACACCGGCTGCCTGCGTTCCAAACTTGCTGGAAGATATTCCTACACAAATATATAAATTTTAATCGAAGTTGTAGATTAGAGTGAAAGCAAATAAGTGATGGTATCGTATACCTTTCTCTAACTTACAGACAATAATCTCCATGTGATGGACCGTAATTTGACAGGAACTCCAGACCACGACAATTGTCGTAACTCATCCAAGTTTAACAATGGCGACTCAAGCAAAGATTGAAATTTATCCACTTTGCTTTCACCATCTAAAATGAATTTGAATAACATGCAAATTAAGAAAAGTATGGTAGCGATTGTACATTAATCAAGTTATCATTCTTTAGGAATGTTAAATATTGTGCGAAACACTGGTTTTTACCTTGTTCTTTAAAAGGTACAAAAAATTTGGTCTGAGTGCTTTGTTGTCTTAATGGTTGAGGTCGACCAGGAAATTGCGAAGGCTTATGATATGGAGAGACACCAGATTTCAATTCTGGTTCCTCCGCCAAGTGCTGATTGTGGTTACTTTGCAACTGTGGCTTCCCAAGGTTCACATTTCTAAGATGTAGAGGTTGAACTGCTAGTCTCTGTAACGCTTCTGTCTTCTTCTCTTCAGGAATAATTTCATGACGACGTTGTGTTTCTTTAGAATTTGTTTGCAGGTTCTTACAACTTCCACCTGACCTATGACTGTTAATCACAGTCAACGCCGCGGAGTGACTAACTTTCTTGGAAATTTTTACATTGGAAACTGTGCAAAATTCATCGTCTCCTGAGTCCCACGCATCGTCTACACTTTCCTGAAAATCTTGAAAAGATGTCGCCCCGCCACTTCCTCCACTGCCACCTCCGCTACCAGCATTTCCTCCCACTGTACCAACTTGTAAATTTGTAGCATACCCTGTCCTATTCTGTTTAATATCTTGTTTTGGACTAGGCCTATAAATAGAAGTCTGTGAGCCTTAGAAAAATATTATTTTTACAATTTTCATAGCATTAAGCACATACCTGCCAGGTACAGCACGGGTGTTTTTTTTCCAAAAAGACTGTTGACTTTGACGTAATTGATGATGATGACTCTGGTTTTCCATAGTCAGTTAGAGCCACATTAACTTCCTGCTTTCTGTTCAGCTAACTTTCTGAGGCGATAGTAATGTCCCTCATTCCACTAGAAACAGCTGTTTAAAATCAAAGGTATGATTAAGGAATGAAATTTCTATAATCGTTAAGCAGAAGGTAAAATATTTACATAGGGCCTCCCAGATTTGAATTGTCCCTTTTCAAAAATATATGAAGGAATAAATATGTTGACTCAATTATGTATTAAGAACAAAATAGTTAATGAATCTTATCTACGAAAGACCAAGATGCTTCTTCAAGTATGCACTGTACCAGGAAACACATATCTGACTTGACAGTTCGGTTACATAACACTTAATGCTGTATTCAAACCCAAGTAAAGGAAGTAAATTAAATTAGTGGCATTGAATGTTTTACTGTTTCAAAGTATGTGTAAAAATAACTATACAATTAAACCAGTGTATTCCTGATACAATATCAAATATCTTCAGTTCTATTTTTCATAAAATCTAATTCTGTGGCATCAATGTAATAATTTGACATATAGAAATCTCAACACATTGTCAGCTAATAGCACCGAATAATATAAACGGATAAACATTAAATTCTTCATCGATCGTAGGAAAATTATTTTGTAAATTCGATTCTCCGTGGTCATGGAAGTAGTTCTTATTCTTAGTTTAAGCATCATACAACAAACTAATTACAATTAATAGCTGACACATGTCTACACAAAATTTCTGCTAAATTACAGGGATGGGAAAAGCAGAGTGGTGCAAATTACAGACACCTCAGCCATATATCTTCATGCTGTTAAATATTCACTAGATGAGATCAATACAATTTAATGCAGAGCAAGCGAGTAAGCGTATTGTTTATGTGGCCAGCTGTTTCGGAGCGAGTGTACGTAGCAGCTAAAATGCTAAGTCCAATCCTGCAATATTTAATTAGCACGTACCATAGGCGGCAGAGAGGTTATGTTATTCTCAAGTTAGACCACATAAACGTACAAAACCGGCACGCGTCACATCCATGTGAAGTTCGCTGAATTGGCGATTCACAGCAGTAAACGAGGGAAATACATTGCCCAAGTTGTAAACATAAACGGAAGGTCTGTGGACGATTTGTTTGCGGAAGACGGAGGTGTTGCAAGCATGATAAAAGTTGTATCTCGGAATGACGTACGTGTGCGAAGTCGGAAATTAATTTTACAGGCTAGTAAGTTTCGAACAATTACCAAAAAACTCGGTCGTTGGGAAATGTGGCTGAGTTTTTACTGCACTGGGAAGAAATAAGCTCGTGCCTACCCGTTAGCTTCTCTATGCTCCGAATTTGACGTATGACAGTTGTGTATAGGTGCTGCCGCTCCGGGAGTAATCGACTGCCACCGAACGCAATCCATACTTTGCATTGTATTCACTTTTCGGAGCCGTCAGATCCTTGAGAACGCAATAAGCAGGTATCTACAAAGAATATTACACATAACGTTAAACAATCCGGAAGGTACTGTCGAAGAATCTTTTATTTCAGTGCGATTTTTATTTGGTATGTCTTGAAGTCGAGTTCAAACGCGTTTAGTATTCCCGCCATATTGGGATGATCCAAGGCCGGTTCTACTAGCGAGTGAGGTGTCACACGGACTGCGACGCGCCAACGCGTCGAGAATGAAGAACCAATCAGAACTTCGCTTAATTTCGGAAGTCCACTGATATGCGTGCGCCACTTCTTCCGCAGTTCCGATTGGTTCTTTATCCATGACGCGTTGACGCGCCGCACTCTGTATGACATCCGAAGCTCTCATGGAACTCCGGCCTGAATGAATTCGGTCGCGGGAATTTCAAACGGTCAGATTCAGGCCCTACTTTTTCATTTCACCTCATTTCCCACTTTCTTAACCAGTGCAATGAGATTCCAGCTTCCTGCTTACCCTCAAGGACATTCCATTTACCCAGGATATCCAAACGATAAAATAGGGCACCCGGGCAATCCTGAAATGTCAATTGATAAATCTCCATTTATTAGATTTTAAAGCTCGACTGGGGAAAAGAGAGAAGCTGATCTTTATAATCCTCTAGTACTCTCTTGTTTTTCTCCCGCTCTCACAGCTGACATATAAAAAAAGGATAAACAGTCTCGCCGGTTGGGTGGTGACATTGAGGTAACATTACGTGGAATCGTATCGGCGCGCATGTGCGAGAGGTGGGCTTGAATAAAAAATGGCGGCAAGTGCGCGACTCGAAGGTGTGCGTGTTTTAATGCGGCTACACACGCGCGACCGTTACCGTGCTTCCCCCACGACGATGCGTTCGCGATACGCAACACGTGTTCGAGCGGTAAGGTGTGCTCTTCTAAAAGATGCGAACATCCCTGAAATTTATCCATTCGCGTTGGCGTCGAGTCGCCGGCGGACATTGCGCAGGCCCGTTGACACGATCGAGCGGCGACACGCTCTAGGATCGCGCCGAGGCAGCGACAGTTTCTCCGCGTTTATGTCGAAAATGTCCGGCAAAGGTGAGCGCGGCGGGGTGAATGCCAATGCGAGATTGTCCATTCGGCCCCGGAATATCTGACTGGGTTTCGCTCGCGTGCGGACTGGGCTAGACACATTAGGCGAGCCTGTCAATAATCGATGACCGACCGACTCCGCACCCACGACAGGTAAGAGGGTTCTCCCATAACGGACACATGCGTGGCTGTCGACTAGATTTCCAGGAATTTTGCAAAGGGAATAGGGAAATGGCTCGGCCTGTATGTATTCTTGCACCTCTCCAGTGAGGTACTGGTATCCTTCCCATTTACCCACTTTTCCGCGCTATCCTACTTTGCGCATTTCTTTTTTTTTCTTCTCTCACCGAGGATTTACGTTAACTAGGTCTTGTATGACGGATATGCTAACTCGATTACACTTTTCACCTGACAGTCTGCCTCGATTCCTAAGAACGTCTTCACCCTGGTCAAGATTTAACCCAGTTTGACAGAACGTGAGTTGTCAGCACACCTGCGGTCCATTAACATGACATAATTTCATTTCGAAAACCAGATCAGGTTTCCATTCAGAGAGCAATCGCTTCAAGGTAAATCCATAGTAGTAGAATCCATAGTCTCGAGATCTTTCCTTCTTTCCTCGTTTTTTTTTTATATACCTGTAAATCCGGAATTTGTTGTAATTAATAATATATAATTAGTATCACTACGCGGTATAACGGATTAACGCTTAAATAAATTATGTTTCGGTGGTTTTGTCAAAGCTGCTTGACTGCTACTGACGGTAGAAAAAAACATACATAGTCAATGAAGCTGATCATTGGGTTCGTGTTTAACTGCTGACCTGTATAAACGTTACAAATTTGCGTTTAAATTGTAAGCGTTTTTGTAGATTGTCAAAGATGTGTATATCCACTGTCCATGAAGGTGATACGAAAATACTGGAGCCTTTGAAAATGTATATAAAAGAAAACGCGAAAAATTGTACACGGTATCTGTGAACAAATTTGCAGGAGTGTTTGAAATATTGCCGTTAATCCATAGCAGCTAGCTTTTTCATCGAATGCAGACGCGTTTCCGCGATAATTGCAGCTATTAACTACACACGTTGTACATACACTGAAAAATAACGAGGCATCATCAGGTTTTTGTTATATGACGATTCGAGCAGAGGTCTCATAGGTACACAATTTTTGTCTCCTTTACCACTTGCGCATTTGTTTATTTGCCCAGTCTCTGTACAAGGTATAATAAATTGATTGTTGCATAATTCGAAGTACAGTGTGGTCGAGATTACGGATAGTCGAGGACGGAGGTCGTGGCCCTTAATTAAAATCTTCTGCCACTGTTGTCAATACCTCTCGTAGGTTGCGTGATTGTTACGTGTCGGTAATGACTGAGGTCGGGAAAATCGAATGTAGTCACTGAAGCTGATCCTGAAGTCCAAGGTTATTGTATTTTCCCCGCGAAACGGTCACCGATGTTGCATTAGTCCTTTTCTTTGAATTCTCCAACCGGTTCATTATCATATCCAGTTTTTATCAGTTCACCTTTAATTTTTTTCTATCTAATCAACTGGATAGCCGTGCGAGACAATCGTTTGTCAATAATTTATTAATTCTATAGTCTCGCGTCACATCTCGATGAAGAATATAGCTATGCAAAGGTAACGAGGTCAGTCATGGAAGATTGAGAAATAAAATATACGAATCCCTTCGATTAAACGGCTCGATGTTTGTGTAACTATTCAGATTGGTTATCTCATCTGAGTCGTTGCAGTGGATAATTGAAATGCAGCGGCCTGTTTTACTTTTCGAGAATCTGATTTTCTAGGTTTATAGAACGATTTTTCACATCCGAAAGGAGCAAGGAGAACAATGGCACGCTCCTTGTGAAATTTTCATGGGTAATTCGTAATATCGTTAAATTGCACTCGGTGCTGGGAAAGTACAGTACAATGACCTAAAACTAGAAGAGTGCACATTAGAGTTTGTAAGAAGAGAGAAAGGTTCGCGCTGCTATAACTGTGAATTGAATCGTTCTATAAAAGCTAATGGACTAGTTTCTTCTGCGTTGAAGTGTCTCACTAGTTTCCTTTGTTTCAGATCTTGAGTACAAAATCAAAAAATGTCGGACGTCGAAGGCGACGACGAGGTAAATAGACCTGCTAATAAAAACGTTTTAAATCGTGCAGTTTTTTTGGATCCCGAGATTAATTCGAGTATTTTTCAGTTCCAAGATGCTCAGGAAAGCTTTCCACAGTAAGTATTACGTGCGAAGCGGTATTTTGTATGCACCTAGCAAAGGAAACTGTACGAGTACTTATTAGTCCGGTGTTTCAAAGTGGCCATTAAAGTAGTGTTGCTGTTACGGTAACTGCGGTACAATCGGTAAAACGGTTGCCATTAACCTGCTGTAAACCATGTTTTGTAGGCCTACTTCTATGGACCTGGATACGTCTTTAAAGGAGGCAAGACAAGCGATTCACTGTTTCTTTAACAATAATTTCCAACAGGCGAAGAAGATATTGGAACCATGGGCAGACAGTAGTCTGTACCATTCTCTTGGGAACAGTGTATTTGCGTTTCTCGAGGCTATTTTAACATTTGAACATGTAAGGAGAGAACGACCGAATGCTTACCGTATGATCAGATTTCTAATACTGCTTAAATCTTTCAGAAACACATTGAAAAGGCGTCGGAAGCTCTGAAGCAATGCATGACTGTATGTTCAAAGTATCGAAAGCACACGACCATTACGCATAATATTGGGAAGATGGTGAAGAGAGCTAATTACTCTAATTATTCGATCGGTAAATGCATTATAAACGCTTGTCCATGTCGAAGTCTCGTCGCTTAATCGCATGAAAAAACTTACTAATTCCACGTATTCTCGTTAAGATTATATTAATTCGAGTAACAAACAGCTGAAAATTGGTTGTACTGGACGAAATAATTGCCCCCTTGAGACTGTGGTAACGCCAGCACAGTCAATTTACAGCATGTAACCTACTAAATAACCGTGAGCGTTTCAATTACGGTATATTGTTTCCTGATAGTGCAAAATTGGTCTGCTTAGCGAAGAGAGATTTCGGACAGTGAAATCTGCCTCTAGAGCGTTCAACTCGTTAAATTTTTCATTTCATTCACGATATCGGATTGGGTTAATACAATTCGATATCGTACGCATGATCTAATATATTGTTCTATGAATGGGTGATATGTTCCACTGGAAAAATAGTTTCATCCTGTCGATCTCAACCATAGACGGAGTTAGTGCATGCAGGGAATGACAAAAAATTGATATTACAGAGGAGGTGCATGCGGAACTGTGCTATGCCGAATCGCTCCTATTGAAGGCGATGCTTACATTCGTGGAGGACGAGACTCTGGTCAGCTTTGTGAAGGCTGGATTGAAAATTCGTACCTGCTTTCTTTCGTACAAGTAAATCATAAGTAGTACTCGTGTAATCGGCCGTTCTTCTTCTTTCCAGAGATGTGGAAAGTGTAATTCAGCTACAATTGCTATTATAGACGATTGTCGTGTAATTCATTGATTTTTAAAAGCATATTTTAATTTTTTACAAGAGCACATGCCATGCAAGTTCATTAAAGTACTAAGATAATATCGTAACCGTTACGCATATAAATTTAAATCGTTCGAAGCTTAAATGAATGCATCAGTAATTTGCAATGGTAATTAAACGACATTTTTCACATCGGGGAATTCAACTCACATATATGTTATCTGAATTTTTTGCTATCGCTGAGTGTTCATATTGACGATATCTGTAGGGAATGCCAGACGATCTTAAAAACGAGAAAGTGGGAAAGCGATGTTCATCGAATACATTTTGAAAGTGGAGTACGGATGGGCATCGGGACGTTTAATCTGGTATGATTGTAGTCTCGGTGATAGTATCAATTAACTTCGGCGACCTCAATTAATTTCAGTTTATCAATTTCTAGATGATATCGTTGTTACCAAGTCGGGCAATCAAGTTACTGGAGTTTATTGGATTCTCTGGAGATAAGGTACGGAGTCACTTCTTGGTTATTCACGCACTCCAGAAGCTGGCATTAACGAACATTCTTCCGCAATGTCTTTCAATAAACATTTTCCTGTAATTCACAGAATTTTGGCCTGTCCCAGTTACAAGCCGGATGCAAGGAACGGAATGGTATACGCCAGGTGCTTTGTGTTATGACTTTGTTATCATACAACTTGATCGTATCTTTTATACTGAGCCACGCTGAAAGCGACCTGCAATGGTGTGAAAAAACTCTTGACGAACAATTAAGTCTTTATCCGAACGGTGTCTGGTTCCTCTTTTTCAAAGGAAGACTCGAGTTTATAAAAGGTAATCTCGACTCGTCTATCGAGTGGTATAAAAAGTCCTGGAAAAGCCAAGATCTGTGGCCTCAATTCCATCATCTTTGCTTTTGGGAGCTAATGTGGGCTCACTGTGTTCAACTGCAGTGGGATGAAGCTGTCGTATACGCTAGTAAGCTTGCCGAATCGTCCAATTGGTCGCGAACAATTTATCTCTATCAGAAAGCGGCAATCCTTATTATGTCAAAGCCAGACGCGATGAGTCAAACGAAACAGGATATTGAGAATCTTTTGACGCAAGCACCGACTTTCAAGCAACGCATTGCCGGGAAATCGTTACCCATGGAAAAGTTCGTCATTAAAAAGTCTGAACGTTACTTCGCCCAAAGGAAGAAACTTATTCTCCCTGTGTTTGAACTGATGTTTGTTTGGAACATGTTCAGGGTAGTCGGCAAACGAGAAGATTTGCTTATGAATGTACTAAAAGTCATTGAGCAAGAGGAAAAACTCTTAAATGCATCGCCGTAAGTTTGATCCCACGGTCGTATGTAAATTAAGAACTAATGCAAATTGTCGGATTTATCGAAATGTACATTTGATGAGTAAAAAGTCACTTAATTTCAGGAAAACGGAATATCACGTAGACAACTCATCGCTCCTCTTACTTTTGAAAGGAGCCTGCCTAAGACAAATGAAAAAACCATTTCTGGCTGAGGACTGTTTGAAGCGTGTTATTTTATCAGAGAAACAACTCAAGGAAGATACATATTTACCTCCTTATGCGGCGGTTGAGCTGGCTTTACTCGCTCGCGATCAGGGCAATAAGGAAGTAGCGATTGTCCTTTTGGAAAATGCAAGGTTTGTCTTTGTTGACTCATTCTGTTATTATACTCTGTAATATATTTACTCCGTTTGCTGTATGATATTATTTCTAGATATAGTCAAAGATAAACTTTCCTATTTAATTTGACAAAAAACTTGCATTCCAGGAAGAACTTTACTGGATATTTTCTCGAATCCAGATTGCATTTCAGGATCCATTCTGATTTGATGGACCTTACAGGGAAGAATCCAGAGGAACCCATTATAACTAACAACGTCGATGCTGCGGGTCCTAGTACCGACATATCAGCGCCTAATGATATAAATGACAGTGAACCGGTTACGAAAATTAAGACTCCAATGCAAAGGATGTCCCTGTAAAGTGATTTATTTTGTATTGACAAATGCTGCACGATTAATGTTAAATGTAACTAAGTTTCAAGTAAAAGCCATTTATACGGGTTGAGATTGTAGCATATAGATTTCTTGGTTACAATCGTTTTTCATTGCAGGAACTGCCTAGGAACAGTAAAAGTGGCACCTACCGATTATATTGAATTCGCCATTGATGAATAATTAGTAATTTAACGATTAATTTCATATGTACATATACGTAAGTGAAAATGTGTGAAATAAAGTAATTTTCTAGTAGATAATTAACACGTATACTTAGTGTACTATTCTTTATTTTGGTTTTGTATACATTGCGTTTTATCTTATATTGCAAAACAATTGTAAAACTGTCCAGAGCTTAGCCCATAGATATCTAGACCTTGTATTGCAGGGAAAGGGGTAAATTCGAATGCACGTGAGCCGTCAACTCACTCACATATGCTCACACGGTTAATCAGTTGAGTGAGCCGCCAACGGCGACTGGTAGATGGTACCGCCATCACGAGTGCGCGAGCTCCTATCAGAAATTCGTTGCGCCGCCCTTGGGGGCAAAAAACGGTGAAAGCTAACGTACGAAACCAGAGGGCAGCACAGAATGCGATCGCACGATCCTGCCCGTGAGCAATCTCCCAACTCATCTCTGAAATTACTTGGAGTGTTTTTAAACAGGTTAGGTCATGGCTGTTATAGGAAGAACGTTTTATCAAGAGCTTAGACAAAGCTTACAATGTTTACAGGCACTTCGCGTAGGTCAGTATGAAATAAGTACAAACTGTGAGCGAAAATATTTAATCTTCACTCAATATTTACAATGTTGTGCTGTTCATGTTTCTTTCCAGTAACAGAATATTGTCAAGTTTATTCAGATATAAGCATTTAATACGTTTATTATTTAATTATAAGAAATGGCGATACTTAAACAAGTTTTTTTCAGTTGCAAAAAAAATCGGAACTGCAGCCGCATCAGAATCTATCTCAAAAGACGAGACGTTAAGCAAGAAGGAACGTAAGCCATTATCGGACTTGAAACGTGCAATGCAGGAACAACAGTTTAAAGTACCACTAGAATATCGATTCGTTTATCCAGAATTTTTGCCTGATCCAAATGTTTCGTATCGTAATCATCTTAGAGAAAAATTAGAACGACGAGATATGTTGGCTCGAAGAAAAAATGTTCCTATACCTGAATTTTATGTGGGTTCCATTCTGGCAGTTCAATACTCGGATCTTCATGCACCTGGAAAAACCAATAGATTTGTAGGGATCTGTATTCAAAGAAAGGGAACAGGATTAAGAGCTCAATTCATTTTAAGAAATGTGGTAGACAAAGAAGCAGTTGAAGTACTTTATGATATGTATGATCCTGCAATTCAACAAATAGATTGCTTGAGGTACGATATATTGTAATTGAAATTAATCCAAGCATATGCATACTGTCATCTGGGATCATATTTTAATTTCTTAATATTTTGTAGACTTGAAAAGAGGCTTGATGAAGAATTGCTTTATCTTCGTGATGCTCCTCTAGAATATAGTACGTTCCCATTTGATATGGAACCGGAATATTTGCCAGAAGGTGCCAAAGTTCCAGTAAATGACATTAAAATACCGCTGAATCCTCCACCATGGGTGATGAGATGGGAAAGAAAAGAACTAAAAGGAATTCAAGATGTTATGCCTCTTATTAGTGTAAAAAGGAAGAAAAAATCTACAATTGAAGCTAAACCTTGGGAAAGATATGATCTAATGAAGATTTACAGGTATATATTAATTATTGCAATTTTTCTTTTTAAATAATGGAACTATGTAGAATTTGTAGGAACAGTTTAAACAAACGTTTTTATTATAGGGAAACTATTCCCCAAGAGGAGCAAATGGTAATATTTTCTGAAATATATTCCGAGTTACACGCACTTGAAGCTACGCAACACAAAATAGCACGCAAGCGTATATTTGTTCGTCCTAAGAAAACTGGTTAAAAGCGTAGAGATAAGCTCATTTGTTATTGCATACTAACAATAAACAATTCTATACATGAATTCAATGTCGTATCATGGCGTGCATTGGTGTTTCTGTTTGCACTGTACTGAAATCTGCATCCAATTTAAAGACGAGTATAGGTTGTCAAAGTGTTTTTGCTAAGTCCTTTATTTTTACATTTGTACGAACTGCACAAGTTTAGATGTACTTAATTTTAAAAATAGAAACTTCATACATACAGGGAAGGATTGGAAAAGATTTGTTCTAAAAAAAAAACGATATATAAAATAAATCTACATTCGCTGTGCCTAGGTCCAAAATATCAAAATGAATAATTATAACAATGTTATTTCACAAATGTAATAATTGATTGCTATGGTTTTACAAAATACTTTTTCATTCTTATGATTTTCCGTTGCACGATTCTGTAACTTGTTTATTTTTTAAATCTTAACAACACGTGAAATTGTTATTCCTGACGATTTTTTGGATTTGTAAGAAATATGGTGTGAAATAATCTATTGGGCGTAAGTAGAAGCAGTTGTAGTTGTACACATATACTACACTGTTTTCAGTTCTATCGTCACACTAAACATACATGTATGTTGTGCAAGAGATGAGTAGTAAGAAAATAGTTTTTTTTTCTCTTTTGGTGGAGCGTATCAATGAATGTAAAATGATAATGTTACACGTAAGTATTCACGAGTCAAGAACGCACAAGTGAGTTGAGAAAATATAAACATATTTTAATAAGTTCCTTTTTGTGTAGCTGTTACGAACTTGTCAAAAAGAATTTCAGTATTTTGGTTACTACGTCGTTTGTAATCCAGGGACTCATTGTTAAGCTACTTCAATATTGCACTGAATATTTCACAAGACCGTTATTGTACACTACCGTATTCAGCACTCAAAATGAGATATTGCATTTCCTAGATGAGATTTCTAATCTAAGATTACAGTAGAGACATCAGTTATAAGTTAGATACGCGTTTTATACTACAACGCTTCCACTTGTGTAAAAATTTCATTTACTTCATTAAGACTTTATTTCGGTCTCATTGAGTCTCTTAACACTTTCTGTGTGAACCAAAGCGAGCTTTTCTATCTAACATCTTAATAATATTCCACTTGTTCCAAGTTATTTGGAAGATTACGTAAAAAAAAACATCTTACAAGAATTCATAAAGATATGGCGTTTAAGTTTCTATATGAGAGGATATTGATTCGCTATTTACAATGTTCAATTTTTTGAGAAATAAATTGTATCCTTAAATAATTGGGGAACGATTCTTTTTGGTACATAAACCCAGTGTCTATCTCCAAATTACACGTTTTACAATGACAATGTATTCACTTCAGGCCGTTTCTTATTATCGTCATAAAACCACTTACTAGCATCCGCTCGTGCTAATGTTGTACCGTGTGACTGTAAAACTAGCAATATTTCATTACAGTAACATGTTATAACCACGAAAAACATCGTTCGACGTAAATGGCTTGACGTATACGTATTTCCAAAATGCGCACTAAATGCTCTAATAACTTTGTTTCCGGAAATTATTTCAACGTGTTTTTCTAGCATTCCAAAATCAATACAGGGCCATATCTAAAGGTGTAACCTTTTCATTATACAGGCCTTTGAAGATATAATTCTCACAAATTGTGTAATGCTGTAATGACATTACATATAACAACATATGTTAGATCAGTTGATTGGAAATCTGCGAATGTAAATATGAATAAAATTAACTGGTCAGTAAGGCGACATTAATTTCTTTGACCATCTTAACGCGATACAACATCTTTATAAGATGTTCCTTGGCGAGAGGTGATGTAGAATACCAAACTGGACTATCCGGTACACAGCTCCGTTCTGGCAGAAGGTAGAAAACGTCGTTACGAGTTTTTACGCTTTCTGGGCTGATGACAAGAATATTACATTTAAAGCGTTGCTTTGTATTTTTACGTTTTTTGGTATACTAATCGTGTCACTTACCATTTGGATAAATAAAATTCGTACAGTTTAACTGGACACCTTAAAGGGTTTTCTTCATTTTCCTGCTGCTCGTAAACTTTTTTCTTCCTGGAGTTTGCTTCTGAGAAGTAAAAGGTTTCATTTTTACGTCAACGAGCATTTTCATATTAATAAAAATAAATTTTAGCGTTTCTTACCTAGAGTGGACTGTGGTGGATAAAAACGTAAGAGAACATTTCTCGAACCAGGGACTTTTCCTGCAATTGCAGCAGGTTGTGCTGCTGGATTTCGTTTCCAGTGTTTCATAATGTGCGAAAACGATAGCTGCATATGTTCTTCTACTGTCTGCAGTATACAATTCAACTAATGACACTACCCTAATACACTGAGCTAATTAACTAATGATAATGTATTGAAATTAACGACGAAAATTAGTACACTGTTATTCTTACCACCAAATTGAAATGTTTTGTGTTGAAGAACATAAGAGTACTTAAGAGCACATGGGGGGAATGTGCTCCGAGCTGCTTACACTCCCATAAATGTTCTTCTTCAACTCTTGTCACTATATACTCTGCAAGTTGAACAATTGAAATAGTAATTAACCAATGACCAAAAACTTGAAATACATTGATTGATAAAAAAAAATATATGTACTAACGGGCATCGTTGTAAAGAACGGAAAATTTTTTTGCAACTTCGTTCAAGCAGTCTGTGAACTTTTCATAGTACGAATCCGTAAAAATATTGTCTATTCTATTATTTTCAAACAGGTATTGTTGTATTCCTGTAAGAAACACACTTCCTGTTACATCCTTTTAAGTTTTAAATAATCGTACTGTCAATTATAGTAATTTAAATATACCTAAACATAAGTAATATATCGTGTCAGGTGCATACTCAGCACCATTAGGCTTCCTAACCTCTTTTACAAAGAGACACAAGGAATAATTTAACTCATCCGCTGTCAATTGTAATAAGTCAGTCTTAAATAACTTGACTTTCCTTGTTGGAGTACTCTGTTTCTCTAACTCTGCATTTTTTGTAACAACCTAAATCAAAATATTGCGTTAAAAATAGTGAAATATGTATTAGAATTCATGAAGATAATAAAATCACTTGTTTAAATTCTTTACATTATTAAACTCAAAATTTACCCATTGTCTCCAAGCATTTACTCCGAATGTATACTTAAGAGCCATATTAGCATCGGGCTTCTCTATTGGTTCCATAATTCTCGGTTGAGGAGGTTGAGAATCTGGAGGTGGCATTAGTGGTATATCGTTTGCTCCCGATACTCTCCTACCTCGTTTACTTGGTGTAGATCTTGGCTTGTAAGAAACTATACGTTTTCTGCCACGAGTAGCAGCTATAAGTCGTTCTGGTTGAACTGTCAAAATAGGGAATAAAAACTTAATTTGAAAACTCCATATTGGTCGCGTTTGATTCAATGGGTTCAATACTAACCATCATTATCCATGGCTGCTTCTGGCTGAGAAGGAGTCTGAGTCGCTGTAATAGTATTTGGTGTTAGTGCAGCTTCGAGATCTACAGCTGGTTCGTCCAATTCTCCAGTGGCCATTTTTAATGCCATTTGCAACATATCGTCACCAAATGTATTACTGGAGTCAACTGCATCTGGACTAAAACCATCGGTATGCGAATTCCCCCGTTCCTCGCCATCGTCATCCCTAAACAAAAGGAATACTTGAAATGAGAGATCAATCATAGAACAAGTCCTTGATAAGAATTTGGTTTCTCAGAGGTGTGCGATTACCTGTTGTCTTCAGCTGAATCCGAATCACTTTCATTTACTTTTTTCTCAGTGGCTACCATTTCAGCCATCATAAGCAATTCAGCTTCAAAAGGATCGGCTGGTATTTTCTCTTGTATCCTTTTGATATCTTTAAAAATTCCTTTAGCACTGTTTCTTGTGGTTGGAATAAAAATAGGAACTGGAATTGGAAGTGGAAATGGAAATGGAACTGGATAAGGCATACTGTACATATGCATCGGAACTGGTACATAAATAGGCACTGGGATTGGGACAGCTATTTGTTGAATTTCATCGGTTTGGGTGGACTTGGAGCAAGGGTGAGGTCGGACAGAGACACCTTTGGTGTGTACTACGGGCTTACACTGTGTACTCTTATTGTGAACCTTCACTGGACTAGGTGGCCTGGTTATCACTTGTTGCTTGTAAATAACTTGCGTAGCTTGACCATGGACGGTCGTACTTTGGGGCACTGGAACTACGTTATTAACTGAAGTATTAACGTTCTGCTGACTGGTTGGACTGGCTTGTTGACTTAGAGATTGGCCATTTCCCATTGATGCTAAACTCGTCACCGAAGAAATCACAGGCAAATTTTTTTTAGGTTGAATTTCAGTAGGTTTTGGAGGAGCTGGAATTATCGTTCTTTGTGGTATTGTTCGTTTAGGCATGCCAGTTGGAACTGGGTCATCGCTGGAAGGTATTGTGATTGGAGACTTTGTGTATTGGGCTTGGAAGTTCATCACACAATTGTACGAACAGAAATTTCGTATCGTCGCATCCGACATGGTAAGATGATATTGGGCTTGAGAAAATTCTTTGCAGAAGTCGCAGTTTATGCGTCTCGCAGAAACGGCATTGATGGATACCTATTGAAGATAAACCATTGAATTTCTAATAGCATATATAATTTACAATGAATGCTAATAAGAAATGTTCAAGAATTTTACCTGATATAGTGTTAGACAATTTAAACTGCACATCATCATCACTTGTCCAGTCTTAAGTTCTTTTTTGATCATGTCAAAATTATACTTCTTCACCTTACACCAATTACAAGGTACAATTTTTCTATTTGTAATTATAAAAATGTTCAAGCACGTTTTAGTACAAAAGGTATGAGCCTCGTTCTCATAGAATACAACGAAGGTTTTCTTATTTGGAAGTTCAAAGAATTTTTTGCACGTTGAACACTGATCAGGATCAACCTTGTTAACAAACTTGAATGCCGCAAAACACGGATCGCTGCAAATTGCCACTGAATTGGTCCTACCTATTTGAACTTCGCAGTGTACAATTTTTTCCTGAAAGTGAAAGGGCATTATTATCATTGAATAATCTTTAATATTAAGAAAAACAAAAAAGTTAATACCTCCTGGCAGACACTGCATGCTTTCTTTTCCGAACAAAGTGGCTCTGCAGAACTCATTTTAGTATATTTTTCCATGCAATCCTGAGTGCAAAAGTCTTTAAATTGTCCTTTATCACCAACGGGTGCTAAAAAACCTTCAGCTCCTGAGCTTATATCCTTTTGACAATAACTGCAAACTTTAAGACCTTTCTTAAACTCTTCCAGACAGGTTGAACAGCAAAATTGTCTAACATCGTAACCAAATCGCACACAATATTTTCCAAGGCTTACAGCTTGAACCGAGCCGTTACAATTTCTACAATAACTTCCGTATTTTATTTGAAATTTTCCCAAACATTCCTCATTGCAAAACTCCATTGTTTCCCAAGACAGATTACGTTCATCAGTTGGTTCTACAATAAGAAGACAATTTGCACATCGCTTTTCACGTTTAGAATTAACGCCATCACTTGGTATGTCCGTTGCTTTATTGTTTGCCAGGGTAAATGCAGTTTGGCATACTTTGGAACATACACTGAAACACTCTGATCCAACTTTAACTTTAATTTTACATGGTTTCTCCTCGTTGCATTGCTTGCATATTTCCTTGGAAAGAATTTCTTCAATTTCTGAATTTTTGGATTCTTCGTCCACATCTATAATATCTGTTGTGATCACATTTTCACCAGGTGTATCTCGTTTCTTCTGTTCATCTGCTTTATCCTCATTGCTACTATCTGTACTATGTGACTTAGACTCTTTTAAATCACTGGAAGTTCTTCTTGTAATTCTAGTTGCTTTTTTCTTGACAACTTCACCATCTTTTTTGGACTCACTGATGACTGCCGGTTCTTCTGACTTTTCATTTTCAGTGGATTCCTTATTTTCTGTTTCAGTTGGTTTTTGTGGAATAATTACTTTCATACTGTCTGGTATTATGCATAATTCATCATCTTGACCAGGCAAAACAGTGGATTGCTCCTCATCCGTTTCCATTTGTGTTATTTCGCTGGCATTATTACTTTTTTCAGAATCATCCACACCTTCGATTTGTGGTTTATCCTTTGTGGACTTATTAGAAGATACATTGTTTTTATTTTTAGATAATTTATCAACGTCATTTGTAGAGTCATCAAATTCTTCAGTTTCAGTTGCAGTTAGGTTTTGGGAATTGTTTACTGGCTCAACCGTATCCTCAAGAATAGTTTTGTCCGTTTCATTCTCTGATCCTGCACCCGTCTTGCTATCATCATCATAATTATCTTTGAATTTACCATCTTTAGCATTTACTACATCTTGGAGATTATCAGCTTGATCTCCTAGTTTTCGGAAATTTCCTTCACCCGCTTCAGTTTCCATTGGTTCCATGTTTTCTGATGCAAGATTTTCACCTCCAAATGGGTCTTCTGCATCTATCGATTGACATTCTATTTGAGAATCATCCTGTTTATCTTGAGATATTTGTACAAATTCAGTATTTTCAGGCTCAATGATGGTTTTATCCACTGCACTGTCTTTATCTGGGTTATCAGAATCATTGTCATCTTTTTTTGAGTCAACTGAAGGAATTTCATCATTTTCTCTATAAACTGGAGATGTGGGTTTGTCCTTAGTACCTCCATCTTCACTAGTGCATTCTCCTGCTTGACTTTCTGAAGCATTTTCACTGACAACGCTGTCTACTGCCTCTTGAGATTCATCATTTTGCAGTTCTGGTGGATCTGGTGGATAAACTGATTTTTTCCCTGAAGCTACCTCAGTGTTTGGTGATACTGAAGCAGAGTCCTCCTTCTCAACTGAAGCACTATTGGATGTTATTTTAGAGCTATTTAATTCCTGTACATCTGGATTTAATTGATCTTTATCTACATGAGTTTTCGTATCAGACTTTAATATTTTTTTCCCCTTTGCACCTTTAAGACCATCGACACTTCCTTTACTTTTTGTGTTCGAACTATCAGCCTTTAAACCAGTTTTTTCTTTACTGTTACTTGATTTACCAGCTTTGCAATCCGATGAATCGCTATCAACTTTCTTAGTATCCGATTTTCTACATTCCTCTGAAAGTTCTTTAGGAGAATCGTCCTCTGAACGAGCTGTTTCTGCTAATTCAGATGTTTCCTTTAAAGGTGACGTATCGGACTCTTTTTCCATAGTGTGTGGCTGGCTGCTACCGTGTTTCTCTAGTGCAATAATAACGTGTCATTCATTCCGTTATACCTAAAAGACAAATATCAAGAATTAGACAAACTGTAACAATCACTATGCAATGGTCTTGCACTATATACCTTAGTACCATTAAACTTAAATTAAACCATTACTTCTATAATATGGTCAAATAAGTATCCATTACATTTTAGCATGCATTCAAGGTACTTTGAATACGCACAAAAAAATCACTAGCTGATTATTGGTTACTCGTTGCCATTGTGGGGAAACGTGAAAAACAATAGTTTATACACCATGGAATTACGAATGAAATATATAAAACAGAAAAGCATCGTCTTGATGAAAGAACGAATTTGCAGGTCCTTTATAAGTATATCTTGAAAACTGACGTTCCATTGTCAAACGATCGAAACGCGCACTAGAAAGTCCAAACTTAACCAAAGAAACAGCGAAACTGAGGTTATGTCAAAAAGGGCCACTAAACGGCCATATTGCATGTGTTACTTGTATTTCGGCATTCAATGTAACTTTTCAGTAAAATGAAAAAATATTATAAGTCAACATAGAGTAACTGAAATACACTGAAAGGGCCAACGCAACAGATTCTCAGAAAGATTTTGGGGGAACGTCAAGTTCAGTCAAATTTCACTATCAAACAAACACGCCGCATTGCTCGCCCTCGGTAGATTCCTGCCGCAAAAGTTTAACACTGCGATCAGTAACTGGTGGATTTTCTACGGTTTTGAGAAAGTATGTACCTTACGGTGATTTCAAACCCGTCGAATGCTGTGAATTCCCAAAACTCCTTTGGATTTCGTTTCGCGGCTTTTAAGCACAAACATCACAACCAATGAATTCAAACGTACCTAGAAGAATAATTCTATAGGGAAAAATGAGACCTTACTTGAATCTCTTAGTACTAATTTTATCCTGTAGGAGTGAGAAGCAGCGCTCTCTAATGGAACTCGCTACTAGTTAGAAGTTCCATTTTTCCCAGGGACATGGAATTCTAATCATTTTTGAATTCATGGGTTTTATCCACAGCGGAATCTTCTTTCTCGTTGCGGTAATTCATAATAAAATTGTTTAAGCAAGTAGCGATCTCAGTACTGAAAAAGACAAACTTGCATGAGTAGTGCAGATCCCTGTAAAAAATTCGCTTGCAAGCTGCAGAAATGTTTGCGTGGTAAGTACACGTAACGTAGAAGTTGTGCGATGCTTTGTGGGTAGAAAGTCGATGGTTTAACGTAAATTTTATTGCAGAAAACGTATATCAGCCATCCCGGTGTGAAGGAGTTATCGAGGAAATTAGACAGTGTTGTATCAAGCATCATCAGGAGTCGACTACGTGTGAGGGAATAGACATTTCAAAACCATATGAGCACAACACCGTTGATTATGTAAGTTATATTTCATTGTGGTTCTTCCATGGAAATGTAAGGATGGTGTTTAACTCACCGATTTTTATAAACCGTGGTTTTATGTCCCATTTATTTGTATGTTATGTATCATAAAAGAGATAACCAAGAGTGATGACTTGTAACTTTAACGGTTTTTATTACCATTTTAATAATGTAAGTTTTTTTCTGCTTTCAGAAAAAGATTTCACGTACAACATGACACCTAAGGTGCAAAGATTATCTTTTGCAGCACGTAATGCAAAACCTATTGCGGTCGGATGTACTATCCTTGCAGTTACAGTATTGTTTGAAGAACCAGTACGTCACATATTTTTGAGTAAACCCAAGGTATCAACTGAAGAAATAACGCAAAAGTAACGAGTACATTAATTGCAAAGTTTTTGTTGATTTACTTGTAAAGTTTCAAATCAATATGAAATCTGTAGACAGTGCTAAGATGCGTTTAAGGAAGTATCCAATTTTGTTAGCAAAGTGTCATGTTTCGGCTGCAGAGTATGCTACTTGTGTTATTCAAAAAGAAAATGTGAAGATGAACGATTGTCAGAAGGAATTCAACAAATTTAAAACTTGTTTAATCACCGAAGCTGCTACGAATAAAACGAAGTTGTAGATTTGTAAACGAAAGTTGATACAAAAGGCAACAAAATATAGTTCTTATGTGAATTATTACGTTTTTAGTTTAATGGTTCATTATTGGTACGATAATTTCCTAGGTTCAAGGAATTTCAAAATAGTTTATCTTTGGGGGTTATTGGATGTATGACAGAAATATAAATATTTCTGTTAACTCATCTGACCGAAGTGGACATGAAGAAAATTTGATTGGAATTATTACTCCTAGATTAAAAAGGTGTTTAATAATTAATTCTGCTTATTCAAGACCAGAAGTTTACAATTTTTATTTTAACGAACTGTTAGTATGGATTACAGATCGTTTAAAGTCAATTGTTTATTCGCGTTTGCGTTAAGATTAGTATTAGTGACGTACGCAGATTTTCATGATAAATACTTTGACGTACCATACACCGATATTGACTACACCGTATTTACTGATGCAGCTCGGTGCATCGTCGAAGGACATTCTCCATACGATCGTCATACCTATCGCTACACTCCTTTAGTAGCCCTTTTGTTGTCACCGAATATTTTGTTGCACAAGAGTTTTGGCAAAGTTGTCTTTTCTATCGTAGATATTTTGATAGCATTGCTGATAAACAAGATTCTAATTAAGCAGAATTGTGAAACCAAGGTCGCACACATTTGTGCCTTAACTTGGCTTTACAATCCATTTACCATAGTGATTTCAACAAGAGGCAACGCGGACTCTTTGGCCGTGCTTTTAGTTCTTTCAACATTGTATGCTATACAAAATAATCACTTAATTTTAGCCGGCATGTTGCACGGACTTTCAGTGCATTTCAGGCTGTATCCAGTAGGATTCAGCTTAGCAATGTATTTATCATTATGCGAAAGAAAATCGCTTATACCAAACACGAGACAAATCAAATTAGTCCTTAGTTGCGTATCAACATTGTCCACGTTGACACTGATATGTTATTATTTTTACGGATTCAAGTTTCTGTACGAAAGCCTGATTTACCATTTAATTCGAAAGGACGCGCGTCACAATTTCTCCGTTTACTTTTACATGCTTTATTTAACGGCCGAGCAAACCCCCTCGATTGTGCAGAAGTTATTTACATTTTTCCCGCAATTAATGTTACTGCTTGTATTGTCATTTTTTTACTCGACGAAGGAAAAGTTGCCATTTGCCATGCTGACTCAGGCTATGGTCATGGTGATGTATAATCCGGTAATGACATCGCAGTACTTTTTCTGGTTCCTCTCATTGTTGCCTTTGAGCGCGCCTTTTATAAAGATGAGTATGACTCGGCTGGCGTGTTTAATAAGCATCTGGGCCCTTGCTCAAGGAATCTGGCTTTTTGCAGCGTACTTGTTGGAATTTCGCGGCATCAACACGTTCTACTTTATTTGGCTCGCCGGATTGTTGTTCTTCGCCGCAAATACCAAAGTTTTAATGGACGTTATTAGTGGATACAGTATAAGTAGGAGCAAAGTGAATTAAATTGTATTCGAAAGACTTTGCGTTATCTTTGTAGCGGAATAAAGGTTCCTTTAAAGTATGAATGTCTCCGTTGATCAGTCGATTTTCTCTCGTGAATACAAGTAATTACCGAGCAGCTCGACATACCTACCATTATCGCAATAAAATAATATTCACCATTGACTTGTATCAGGAGGAAGAAAGCCACGTGTACGAGATTGAATATGGCAAGGTTTAATAAAATAATAACAGTTGAGATACACTATTACCTAAAAATATATAGAGTAATCGGTTACGGTCTACTTAGCAGTAAGCACAATGAGTCGCTTAATAAACTATAAAAGTACACTCGGGACGCGCGATAATTATTCGAAACAGAATTAAACGTAACATAATGAACTCAATCGATATAGAATACAGGGACTACTACTCGGATTCGAAATGAACAAACGAAATAGTAGTGGTAATAATGCGTGATTAAAGCATTCGGTCGTGTGTTCACTCATCCGATGAGATGCCACGTAACTTAAACTCGCAAAATATACACAACACGTAAAACAAAGTCGTCTTTGGCAACATAAAACATAATCGTTTCAGCTTTCTGGTAAGGCGTACAAAAGTGGTTCTTCGGGGCGCCGAGATTTGGACACGGTCGAAAGAAATGCTAATTAACGTCTCCTTAATCAACCGAGGCGTTAGCGATAACGTAACCGGCCGATAAACGACGATTGCAATTTACCCTAAACAGGAGATGGCTTTGTACTTGTTCCTCTTATAATGTGCGACAACGGAAGGCTTGCCTTGGGCTTAGCAGAAAGCTAAAATCTACAATCGCTGATAGAGCAATTTATAGTAGTAATGGACGTTGCAATGTACAAGAAAATAGTTGTTGGCACACCGTGTATTTAGACAGACTGAGAGCTCGAGCGACATCGTTACGATCCCCTCGTCGATATATCCTCTGCTTATTTTAATTTCCATTCTTGCGGAAGATCTTTTGCACGCCGGCCATTTTGTTTTTTTTTTCGAGCACCTCCGCCGAATTCTGACCCTGCAGACGAACGAGAGGAATCCCGAGGAGAGAACTTCTCCTTTCCAACTGCTCTGCCAGGGTGGAAATGAAAACAACGTGACCCTTTCATTCGTTGGCTGTGAATAATTATTAATTATTATTAAAGAATTGACATAGTTCACAGTAGAATGGGTTTGCCCTCGGAGAGAGTAGGCTGCAAATTCTTTGTGCACCGAAACTTAACATTATACGAATGCGAGTCGCTATTCGATTATACAGTTCCTCTCGTATGATAAGCCATTACAGATCGATAATCAGCGTATGTACAGTACAAAATTGTCTAGTAGTAACTAAATTTCTTCGGGATAGACTACTTCCGGTCAGACCTCGTCCCGTACCGAGTCCCCTTCCTTTCCCTCCCTAACTTATTGTACGATCGTCATCGGGAAATAAATTGACGTTAAAGGAACGGGCAAACGAGGCTCCCCGCCCTATTCTTAATCAATTAAATTCTCCCCGTTCTTCCAATTCTCCGAGGGATGAAATGTACAAAGGAATATATATACATATATATTTCTTTTTACAGGAAAACGAGCTCTTCCTAGATTTATGAAACAGCCTCGTTTCCCACTTTAGCGTTTCAACGGAATGCACAAAGACTGGATTCCTGCATGTGCCCTCGAGCATTCCGCCCTGGCACTGAAACAGCCCTGTTAAATGCGAAATAATCAGGTCTCGAAATGAAGGCGCAAACGTAAAAAGTGCCTCCTAATAATACCCTCGGTGAGAACGGATATCGATCTCGGTAAATCGAGCTCCAAGCTGGAGAGCGTTACCGCGTAATTATACATTTTCTAGTAAATTCCGCAGGCCAAGAAGCACAATGATTGGCAGTCCTCGAGATACGTCCGAGCGAAATACTGTTCGGGACATTTTAAATAATTGGAAACTGGCACTCAAAGTGACGTGGAAATATATGAAAAGCGACAACGTGTCGTTTCAGCCGGCCAGTTTCTTTTCTTTTTTTCTCTCGGGGATCTGCATCGGTTCCCGGGAAAGTATTGCGCGATCGTAACTAGTTGTCCCCAGAATTCTGCCAATTACTGTACTTATTTACTTCCCTTTGACTTTTCGAATTAATTCTTTTAACCAGCGGTAATAAAAAGATCTTTTCGTAGAGTCTCGTTCTAGCTTGGCCAGTTTCGAACTGGCGCACAGTCTTTTTTGATAGTGATGCCGCGCGCTTTATCTTTCTCCATTTTTCTTTTTCTTCCTCTCTCTTTTCGAAAGCGCACAACCAACGTGGTTTTCGGCTGCTTTTAAACCGGGACAAATTCTTTCCTACTGCTCCTATGTGGTGTCTATTTACACTGAGACGTGCGATTCCGAAGATCCCAACGCGATGCTCGAATGAAAGGCATGAACAGCGAATTCGGGACATGGCAGAAAAGTAACCTCCGAATTATGGCAAATCCTTTTAAAGTGGCGCAACTTCCCGATAAGCGGTCTGATTTTCGACGCCCTTTTTTTCGTTAGGTTCGCTAATAAACTACCATCTCAAGGGAATTAAGTAAATACTCCCTTAAGGTTTATCCGAGGATCCATCGCGCGGAAAATCCTTCGAAGAATTGCCAAGCAACTCGAAGATATGAAAAGAAAAAGAAAATCCGAATGACTCGTGTTAACCGGAAGGGGATGAATTCCGTAAATCAGGACAGCCGTTAAGAAAGAGAAAATCGAAAGATCGCGACGAGCAATTAATCACTTCGCTCGTAGTCATGAAATCGTGACTTTTGAACCGTCACGATCGCATAACTCGAGGTGCTCGCAAAACGGGAGCGAGAAATCCGTAACTCGTTGCCTCGTCGTTAAGTGAATTCACGGAAGGGATAGAAATAGAGGAGAAGATAAATGATAATAAGAGGGAACCGCGATGACAGTGTCGATATCGTCGGAACCGACCGCGAATGTACGTGGAAATGAGAGGATCGTTCAATGATTCGTAACGCTTTAATGAAGTTCCATTCGTACGAGAATCTTATATGTCTGGGAAGAAGCTTAACATCGAGAAAAATATTAGATATATATTACTTTCTAGGTCGTTCAGTCAAATTCGAAATAGATTATGTACAATGTCAATGTCGTACGAGAACTGGTGTCCCTCCCCTGACACGTCGGCCCCTCGCAAATAGACGACATGCCCCTTTTACAAAATGAACTCGGGGATGTAGTAACGTTCGTACTGTATCTCTGTTTCCTTTCTTTTTTTACACCTCCTAATAAATAAAGTGCCGCGCCTCGATCGAATGCGAATATCCTCGAGAAAGAGAGAGAGCAGCGTTTGTCTGACCCGACCTATCTTAACGACGACGACCAACTAGACCCATAAACTTTTCGAAATGTAATAGGCTATAATTTCTAATTGAGCCGTTCCATGTTAAGAGATACAAACGGAGCTTCCAACGCCCTCCGAAAGCTCGCCTGACGAAGAACCATAACCGCGCCGTCGATCGCCGGAAATCCGTTATCTACCCTCGGCATAACGAGCAAAGGTTCCGAGGCTTTTCGAAAAACTAATCCATCTCTACCTCCCCCCGATTTTTAAATACCGAAAAATATCCAAGTCGAGCTTAGCGAGCCCGAACACGGGAAGTACAGACCGTCGGAATGGTGGACTGCAGTTCGCCCTCGCTCGTGAAATGCGTGAAAATGGATGCATCGTGCCGACGAAGGAACAGCTCAACTGAAAGTATGAAAAGTTCCAACAAATCGGAGAACTCCTTATCTACCAGTTAGGCAACGTTCCGTTCGTTAACGTTAGAAAGTCCTTTATAGTGTACGGCCTCGTTCGCTCGAGTTTCTCGAGTGGCTCCTCGGCTGAGGAGAAGCCTAATGTTTTTTTTTCTTTCTTTTTTTTCCCTTACATTTTCTCTTAAAGCAAAGATTCGAGAAAAGGTGCGTCCGTAGCATTTGCAGGAGGAATTACAGGGTCGACGGCGGTGCCTCGGGAAAATAATTCGACCTTATCGATTTCTCGGGTATTTAAGAAAAATGAATATCTCGAGTTTAGAGCGAACGAGGACGTGCACTCCCCGCCATGCCCCGGAACCTGAAAGTTAGCTAGTTGATATCGAAAATTCAGGCTTCCCGCGACATGTTAGGCATTCCGCGAGTCCAGACACCGCGATAGAAAATCTCACCCTAACAGCAATGCGCATTAAGTAACATTCAACCTGACCCTCGAAAGCTCCTTTCCGAGGCCACGATAGTCCGAGGACTCGACGAGGTGTCCTCGCAACGAAGAGCCGCGCGCACCGCGAGTCGAGTCGTTAAGTGACGTTATAAAATCCCGGCGTACTCGTCTTAGGTAGAAACATATTGAAAAGGCGTTAAGAAATGTCCATCAAACTTCCGACCAAAGAGACTCTTCGACGCGTCTCGCCGCTCGCAACTACGACCTGACCAATAAGCCCTTTCCACTTCGCGTTACAAACGATCGGATCCATGTACAATTTGATTATTAATTGACGGATAACCAATGAATACCTACAGGGTGGTCCTAGAGCAAGAAGGCGGAGAATTCCCTAGTTACTTTAAAGCGATTAAACTCTTCTAATTTTAACATTGCCTCGGGCCACCCGACGCATTGATTGTTACTAGTTTTGGTAGTATACTTCGTTATTCTACGCCGCAGAAGAAGCTCGATCGCGCGTCAATCGGCACGAATTCTCGTATCTCTCCTTCTCTCCTTGTGTACAATTAAGAATCTCGTCGAGGTGTCGTTAGGTACCCGCTCGAGTGCGCCAGGTGCTCGTAAAGTACGCTCGACTTAGACGAATTTCAGGACTCCTCTCCTTTATATATATATTTTTTTTAATTTTAAATGCTTACGACAGGCAAGTCGTGCCTCGTTTGACAGTGGTTAAGCCTCGCCTTTTGCCATTCCTACCCGCGAAGGAAACCAAAGTCTCGACCTTTTTTAAATCTAGCGCTGAGGCGAGACTGGATCTTGACGCACCCCCGCCCTGAGCGAGGGCCCCGTTGTAAATGCAGTTTTTTGCTACGCGGCGACGCGATATCGAAAAATGCCTCGAGCAAAAGTTGTTCCTCGGATCGGCGGGGATGACTTTTATTCGGGGCGTTTTTACGTGTCGCGAACAGTTTGGAATGGAAATCGATTTTTATACAGGCGGAAATGCTGGCGCAGGGCGGCTCGCTCAATGCGGCGTTCAACATGGCCTCTCGATTTTCAAACGCGTTTACGCGACAATCCCGAAAATGGATCTCGCTTTACAATCACCCTGTAGATTTCGCACGCAGATGGAATCGAGACGCATCGAGGTTCCAGCATATAATTCTAACGTCGTTTTGAACTTCGAATGATTTAAAACGGTATGCGGGGCTTCTTGCAATCGGCGCCATTCCGGATTCGCATCGGTATGTGTTTTGATTTTCGTGGACCTTGGTTGCGATTCACCGGGAAATCCCGGTATGTCTTTCGGAATCTTTTCATGCGCACCCTCGCTTCGAGCCGAATTTAATTCGAGAAAGTAACGGAGGCTCGTAGCTACGGGATATCTTTACGGTATCTGTAGGTGTTCGGGTTTTACGATTGGTCGTTGGCGTAGCCAGGACATTCCGTAAGAGCTAAAACATCGACTTTCGGACCGCCCCCCTCTAAAGCCGCCAGGAAAGTTCATATTAAATTTAAAGCCACCACGAGGCGTAATTTCGTGAACATTCACACACCGGGGTGTTCACTTCTCCGATTGACGCTCGATACCGGACTCTAAATGTGGCGCTACGTTCCCAGGAAAAATTCTAATGGCCACAGTAAATTCAGTTTGAACCGAGCCGACGAAGGATCGCCTTCTGACGAAATAAAAAAGGCCGTAGAAAGTTAAAAAGAAATGTATCATTCAGGGATAGCGCGTAATAACGTGGAAAATAATTAACTCTCTAAGAATGGATCAGTGGAATAGGCTCGATTTCGGTCCTCCGGAGAACCGTCTCGCAGCTTCCGAATGGACCCGAAATTTTTCACCCAAAACACCTCTTGAATGCCGCTCTGGTGATTGAAATGTTTCCCTTTGGCAAATTTGCCATTTGAGACTGGACTAAAGGCCACTACGCCCTTTGGCTACGCCACAATCGCTGACCAACCGGGTCGATATGTCGAACAGGAAAAGTCGCCCTCTTGCAAGCCCTTCGCGAAGAGTGAGATATGCGTGTAGTAATTCGCAGTTATAAAACTAACTAAACTTACGAGATACAGTGAGCAATAATTTCAGTTATTTACACAAATTATTTTACAGACGTATAATATAAAGGTGTCTCTCGTAATACAAATGTATATCCGCATCCTTATTTAAATCTCGCTCCCCACATCCTGATGGGACATCCTTTCTTCCACGTTCGGCGCTCGAGGAGGCGGCCCAGATTTCGCACGCAGCGCTCTTAATCGTCATTAATAATTGAGAAGCAACCCTGTTTCGTTTTCAAAATCGTAGTTCTCATTCCGCCAGCACTCTAGTCCCGGATGCACCGAACAGGGCAGACCCTCGAAATCATAAGGACCACTGCGATTCCCCAAGTAATCGACCCACCGGTTAAAAGAAGAATCCGCATATTCGTTTCTCTGTACAGCCGTGTAAATACAATTCAAGACACCCCGTTCTCCAGAAAGGAATTAACAGCCATTCTACCGGAAGTAAGAGGCACTCGTTAAACGCCTCTGCAGTCGCGAAGATTGCTTTCGCGTAGGAAAAATGGAATTGAACGTCAGACGAGCCGACGTTCGCGTGATTTCGAGGATCGAGCTGGGAAAAGTGCAGCAAAAATACTGCACTCGGTGACAGAGCTCGCATCATGGCCAAACATATCTTGAGATCGTTGCCCGATCAGGCTAAGTCCACGAAAAAGCGCGATTGTCAACGAAATCCAGAAACGACCGAACAACATTGGGAACGTGAAAAAGAAAGACGTAGAATAGGCTGCGTGGAACAATTCGACCTCGAACTGCGGCAGGCGTGGAGTATGTATATATATATGTGTATATATATATGTATATCCGGTTGAAAAAGACCTAACACGCTACCTCAATGTCGTAATTACACGTTAAACGGATATATTTACACGAAGCTGTTCGCTCGCCCGAACGCGCTTATTTCGATAAAGTTACTTTAGTGCCATCAAACTATAGGCTCTATGTTCATATTGACAACGGGTGTATGATATATCTAATTATTTATCTATCTATCTTACAGAGTCGCCGAGAGTCCGCGCGGCAGTCTTCGCGCTCATCGAACGCACGTGGTTGGAATACAATAATGCATATCAGGTGCGTCCGGAGCAGCGAAGGCGCCGGCTCCCTCGAATGTCCACCCAAAGTCGATCGTCCCTTGAAGCTGGACGGGTCCAGGCTCTTCGTCCCGCAGAATCCTTCATCGACGTCGTCGTCGTCGTGACCGACCTAATCGCTAATGCCCTACGAGCGAGGGTCTCTGCACTACTCGCGATAGGGTCCGTGCGAAGAGGACTCGAGAGGTGAGGCACGGCCTTCCGTAAGTCCAGAGTCAAATGAAATGCTTACCGAGTGGCTTAGAGTACGTCGAAGATTGTCAGTAACGAGTGGTCTACCTGCCTCGAGTCATTAAAGCTAACTGAGCGCCGCAATCGCACCTCCATCGGGCCCGCGCTGCCGCCTTCGTGATGGCGCTCCCACGTCGATCGACGTCCCGGTCGCAGGGGCGCAGTCCATGGATGAAAGACGAAGTGACACGGTCGAGGTCGTCCCAAAGGTGCACCGGCACCTGGACCAGAGGTATAGGAGGCTGGCTCCAGGAGAAGAAGTCTCGCCCCGATGCAAGGATCAATGTTCATCGGGGAATACGACCTGGTTCCGGCACGAATGCGTTTCGATCCGGGAGCCGCGCCATCGGCTGCGCCCCTGCAACCACAGGCAACCTCCCGTCCAATTGGATCGTCATTGCACCGCTAATTGAATATTAATTAGGTATCGACGTTGGCGCACGGTGTAGAAAATCGCCCCGCATCCAATCGTCGGAGCGGGGACCTCGAAAGCGTCCTCGCTCCTGCTGTACAGGCGGATGCGGATGCGTTTGGCGTGGTCGATCGTCCCTTCTTGATCGGCGCTCTTGGGTCGGGTCGGTGCACGGGACGCGGCGGTGCCGAGGATCGCGAAGATGTCTGCAACCAGGACGAGTACCTCGCGATCGGCACCGCCGAGTCGTCCCTCGGGTCAGACAACGGTCCAGGCATAGTCGTTGGCGTCTCCGCGGGGCGACCGGAAGGGCAGATCCCAGGTCACGGATTTCCGCCCTGAGGGTTTCTCCTCGTGGAAGGCGTCCCCTCGAGAGGGCGAAGAGTAGGGAGACTCGAGATGGGCGAACGAGGTCGCGCCGTATGTCTTCTCGTGGGTCGCGCCATACGACCGTACGTCGCCGCCGACGCCAGGCATCGGTTTCCTTCTCGACAGGAGCCTCAGGGTGGTCTGGTCCTCCCGGAGGTACTCCTGCATCCCGAGGGTGTCGCGGAGCCCCTGCGACCTGCCTCTGCTGACAGACAGCTGGTCCAGGAAATCCGCCCATCGGGGACCCGCGGTTCGGTCCGACGCCGTCCTGGCGTGAGCGCTCATCTTGATGGCGGCGTAGTTCTCGGCCAGGCTGCGCTTCCGGTCGTAGACTCCTGGACGGTGAAGGTCCCGGTGGTCCGGCAGGTGTCCCGGTCCCTGGGGAGGCTGCTGCCGGTGGAAGAGGTCCTTCTCGTATTCGCAGGGCACCCTGGAGGCGCCCTCGTGTCGCCGCTCCACCAGGTACCGGTGGTCCCTGCTGGCTCTGCGCAGCTGCCGCAGCACCCTGTCGATCTCCTCCAGGACTCCGTCGTACTCTCCAAAGCTAGAACGATTTGGATAGGTGTCGACCTGGAGTCGAGGTTCTCCTTTGCGCTGGCGGACCTGGAGGCCCCTGTCGAGCGGTTCCTCGTGGGACAGGTCGTTCTGGCGACTTTGCATGGCGGAAGTCCTGCTACCACCTGGTTCGAGACCGTCGCTGGGCCCGGCTCGAGGTCCATATCGTGACTTTGAGTGGCGGATCTTCCGACGCTCCAGGATGTCCGCCTCTCGAGATTGGTATCTCCCGAAGTAGGCGCATTCGGGGGAGCCCGAATGTTGACGAGGCCGATTCTAGTTGCGATTCTCCTCCTTGTCTCATACATGCGTCGCCAGGGTGCCGACCGCCGAGGTGCGTTTCACCGTCGCGACGCCGCCATTAGGCCCTCCGGTGATATAGTGGGTAGAACGAGGCGCCTGAAAATTCAAGACGCGTCATCGTATCTGTACCTTATACCGTGAAAAAAAAAATATATTGAACCAATAAATATTTCGCGTTAATTCAAAGAGCAATTATTTCGCTCAAATGAGCTTAAATAAATTCAAAGAAATGTTGCATCCGATTTATTCCAATTTATCTCGGACAAATAATTACTCTTTGCCCCATTCAAAGGTTTCTCTGGTTCAATGAATTCTTTTTTTTTTCCTCAGTACAGTCTCTCGGTAACGCGAGGGTGCCGAGGCAACGAAAAACCCGATGAAGAGGATCTCGAAACGATCGCGTTGCGCAGCCGCATTCGCAAGACCCGAGCTGCATCACTTCGTGGACAAAGTCGCGAGTACCTACATCGGAGACCGCAACGGAACGTTACCTTTCTCTCGGCAAATTACCGTTCCATAATCTGATCGGTACGGTGCATTCGTTACGCGCGACTGTGCTCTTACTCTCAATGGGGACCTTGCGTGAATATGTTGGCGAAACGGTGCCGTGCGATTTTTTTTTTTCAGCAGGGTATACTTTCGCTTTCGAGATCGTTGGCGCAATCGCGATCGCGAGATAGAGCGTACCGTTTGCAGCCGTTCCACAGATTCCGGGATCCCAACGATCGCGAGTGCTGCCCAATTAGATGGCTCTTTAAATACCCAACAATGGTGGGTAAGAGGTAATCCCCTTGAACGTCGCGTCGGTGGGAGATGCCGTAACCTCTTCTTCGGCGTGGCGGCGCCATTCACCAATTTCTGCTCCGTTCAGGAGAGAACTCGGCGTCAAAGAAGGCCCCCGTCCCGCCGCCCAAGAGAGCCACTACCCGGGCTTTGTTGGCATTATTTTCCCTCGCGGAGCGGCACATTTTAAGAGCATTCAGCCTGGCATTCGACACACGCTTCGGCATCCTTCGGGGGCGGATTGAAGAGCGAAAGTCGCGCGAGGACTCCATTGGCCGTTAGGCGCGCACTCGTGCTCGCACGCCTCCCCCTAATCACCCTTTCAGGCGCCTCCGATGTCCTCGACGTCTCGCGGTACCTATTCGCGCCAACGGGGGTGTACCTTTCAGGTATTGTCCCGAGATCGGCCGAAAGGAAGCTGACAAACGACGAGAGGAGGGCTTTTTAAACGAGAGCCGACGCGACGCTATTTCTCGCGGGAGTCGCGCCCTCGGATATGGGGCCTCGGGGTGTGTCTCTTTCAGGGGGCGACGAGAGGGCCGAATCTCGCTTATTTAGCCGGCCTTTACCACTAAACCATCCCAACTCACCTGTGGCCCGGCTCCGTTAAACATATTCAAATTATTCGGCCTCGTGGCTTGGGGGTAGGGTGGAGGTGGCGGCGTAACATGTGGTACGGCGGTATGGGGCCCGTGACCAAAGGGCTGGTCCGGCATCCTGTTAATTGAGATTGAAATTACTAGGGCCGTTTTCCTTGTATGCTTATCCATTAACGAGGTACGCTCCCGGATGGTCGTTTCGAACAGCCGATGGAGACGAGTCTGTCGGGCCCCCGTTTCATCCGGGACGCCGTCGAGCCTTTGCTCCGCGGCCTCGAAACGCATCCGACCTGGCGGGGCACTCTCGTGGAAACGCCCTCGAGATACCCGAGGAATTTCTCCAAATTGTCGTTTCCTCGACTCTCTTCGATCCCTTTGATCCTAGGTCGACCCGAGATCCGTCGTCTGACGGTCAAGGTGGGTCCGGACGTGGAATTCATGTGCGCGAGAAATAAACGCACCGAGGCCGAGAACATTAACCCCCGCGACCACCGTACGTGCGCTATCTATTGCTTCTCGGGACGTCAAAGGACTTTAGTGCGGTCCGATGCTTAACGCGTTACCGTCTCGATGTTGTAATCACTCGTGTGCGAAAGATATCCACGTCCAGCTTAATTTTGCGAGCGTGAATGTTAATCTTCGAGAAAGAGGAGATTTACCCCCGCGATCGCTATACCATGCGTGCCATTCGCGCGGGGAAAAATGCTCACGACAGGATCCACCTTGGTCTCTAAACAGGACGCGTTCCAGGAGGGTCCTGGAGAAGCGGTCGCACGGGATGCGCGTTTCCTTGGAATTATCACAGACCGGGTATCTCGAGCTCGTCCACCGGGCACCTCCAGGCCAGGTGATTGCCATCTTGGAGAGCGTTTGAACCGATTCTAATTACGGCATGCGGTACCGGCGCAACCGGTAGGACCGGTCCTGCTTACCTGAGGTGCGGATTGCCGTACGCGGCCGAATATCGGGGGTCGATGGCGGGCATCGTCTGCGGAGTCGCACATCCCGAATTCGTCGAGCCGCTCTTCTTCGGGCCCAGAAGTGCTCCCGGAGGAATGTGGCTGAGGGATTCCCTGGACGCCCCCACGCCGTGCGTCGCAGGGGGCGTGTAATCCCGCGCGTAATCCACGTACGGCACGTAGCCGTTGTTGTTGCTCCCGTCCTGTAACAATTTTACCGTGATCCCGCAGGTGATGATAACAGACCGCGGCCGCGCCGAGATCGTCACGCGATGCGGTAATACCGGCGAGGCCTTCCATTACCGCTGGTCGGGCCTCCGTTCCGGATTATCTAGATCAATGTCTCTCAATCCTTTCCGTATCGCGGATTCAGGAACCGCCTAATGCAATCGGTGCTACTAACAAGATGCGGCGGCGTTAAAACCCTGATAAGGCGAGCGAATGAAATCATTTGCCTCTACCACCTTGGATTTCATTGAATTACCGGGAAGGTTGATTACTTCTCTTTTTGAAATTCATTCCGATGGCTAACGTGCCTTCTTCTAGTCTATTCGTTCTCCTTTGATTTTCCTGACTCTTCGTTTCCGAATTCTTCTCCATAATCTCCATTACCGAGATATCGAACGTGCACTTCAATTTTCGGTGGTATCGGTATACTTATTTTATTTCCCTCGGTTTATCCGAAACGGGGTGAAGGTTGAGGAATTTTGGAACCTTGTAAATTCTTTTCTGGTCACATTGAGGATGGCTCAACGGGGGGACGGATCGCTCACAGGAGATATGAACTGCCATTGACGGTTTCACGGTTATAGTTACAAGGTGAAAAGTTTGTTATCGGAATTTTTAAAATATTGCCGCAGTTTTTGTTTTCCGGTGGTAGGGTCCGGATTGAATTGGGACGGATCCCCCTCTTCGAATCCATCACCGCACGGGTGTGTACTCTCCAGATATCTCTGATTTGAAATATCCAGTTCACGCACCGTGGGATATTTTACAATCTCCTCGGTGTAACGTAAATTCGATGAGGGTCAATATTGAAGTCAGCCTTCCGTGCAAATGGAACCGAACATTTCCCGGATATTAAAATAAGTCGGCCCTCCCCGCCGCGGGGCTAAATGAATTTCCCTGAGTCCCTTGATTTTTCTATCGCGACTTCCGTGACTTTAAGCCCCTCGATTTGTCCCGCGAATCGACGAGACCGATAAGCAAATTAACGGTCCGCGTCGATCGAATTAAACGGTATCTCGATTTGATCCGCAACTACAGTGCCGCACCTAGGAGTCCCGGTTCGATCTGCAGGGATCGATCACCGGATTCCTCGTAGACACCTGTCACGCCTGGACTTCTTGATCGATAATCAAATTCCCTCCTCGAAAGCACCCGGGATCGATCTCGGGCTTTCCCTCGCCCCCAGGATCTCGAGATCCATCGTCGACGCTCCAGGGAACTCGTTAGAAAATAAATAAGAAAAAAGGGAATAAACCCGCGCTCTATTAACGCGCTCTTCAAGGTAGACATCTCGCGGGTACTAGATCGAAAATCAAACCCAGCCTCGAGGAGTTCTGCAATTTCCGACGGTGATATGCCATCAGGGAGCAGATCTCGCTGCTCTCGATTCTTCCAGAGTGGACGAGTACAGTTATGCCGAGCACCGGTCGACTCGGTAATGCTAGAAGCAAGATCTACCTTCCCAGCTTATTTAGCTTCTTGCTCGCTCGAGCGGCTTCCGGTGCGTGGCCTTCCTTGAAGAGCAGTTGGAGCAATTCGAGCGCATTGCCGACCTCGAGCCGCGCAAGACACTCGTCGGATAAAGTTTCCCAAGGCCCGGCTCCTGCCAGCCCGAGCTAACATCCCATCATAAAGTTACACATTTTAGCGAACACCGGTAATCCGGTTCCGATCGAGTTCAGCTCCCCGATCAGCCCCATCGCCGAATCCATCATCTTCGTCGCCAGACCTCGACGAAGTTTCGCCGAAGACCCCCCAGGGAATTCAATCCGGAAGAACCTCCGACCTCCATCGTTTCGTGGAATATTTTCCTCAGATTTTGCTCGATCCATTCCGATAGACCCCGGGAATTAAGGACGATTAACGATAACTAGTCAAATAAAGAAACATTGCCAAACAAGACCCAGTCTCCCCTACACGTGTTAAAAAGGATATTACAATTTCATAACATATTTTCAAATAAAATGTTTCTCATATGTTATAAATTTAGTACTCGTCTGTAATTAAAATAAAAATAAGTCTGGGTTAAGGCATCAAATTAATAATTTTACTGTGACGTATTAAAAGTGTATGAATTTTATGAATTTTCTTAACAGCCTAGAGACTGTTCATTCTTATAGAATAATTCCTATAAATCGTTTTAAGGTCTCGATCTTGTCGATGGGATTTTTCCTTGGTCGGTGGATTTTTCGATGTTCGTAGTTTTAATTTCTTTTTTTTCTTACTGACTCTTGGAGATGAAATTCGGGTTGGCATTTTCGGTTCGCCCCCGGTTAACGCCAGTCTCAGAGCGGTACCTGAGACGATATGTACCCAGGAGTTAATTGGGGATACTTACGCTGTTCTTGGGCGGGAACGAAGGCTCGGTGTACTCGGCACTGTAGCGGTAGCCGAGGGAATTGTGAACGGGCCCTGCTAGAGCGAGAGCCGTAACTCCCTTGGTGCTGCCCTCGCCTTCGCTGTCGAGGGCTGCGACGCTTTCCGCGTTGCTCACGCTGGACCCGGCCCTGATGTCGGCCTTAACGTCCGACAGGTTGCTGCTGCGATCGCTCTCCCGGTAGCGGTCGGCATTCGAGTCTGTCTCCTCTGAAGAGAAACGAACCAGCCGTCAAAACGCGACCGGACCAGGTTCCGTCATCGAAGGCAGCCGACCGAAAGAGGACATTACAACATGACGTATCTCGTCATCTCTACATCCCAGTAGGTATGGAGATGGACTGGTATCGATAGGGTTACAAGAACGAGAGAGGAAACTTAGGGAAAAATTATCTCGACCTGATCCTAGGTCCAGTTCTCCCGTTATCATCCAGGAAAATGGTCAAAGGATAGGAAGGAGCGAATTTAGGTTCGGGTCTTGGTGAACAGGGCGACGTTTTTAGGGAATGTAGGCATGCAGATGGAATGATATCGATGGGGTAACGAGATCGAGAGGAGGAGAGAGCGGAAAAATGATCGGGTCCAGATCCTACGTCGAGTGCTTTTGTCATTATGCGGGGAAAATGGTCACCGAATGGGCCGACCTAATTTAGGATCCCTTGGAGAGTAGGGCCGGGTTTTTTGGGGAAAGTTAATCCTCCCCGTGCGTTTTGTCACCGACGCTTAAGCCCGTGCTCGCACCCCAGGATTACAGTTTTCCGTCCTTCACCTGGGCTTTTAAAGGGGCCCGGCCAATAATTCGATAATTCGGGGGAGCTTTAAAGGCAATCGCTCATCGGTCGTCCGCGCGGGAATTTTAATCCGATCCTGGAGGAATATTTTGTGAAAAATTCGTCAGCTCGAGACGGGTCCGGGCCCCGATTAAATCCGCGTAATCGTAAGCACCCGAAGTGCGAACTCAAGTCAAAAACCGGGGGGAAAAAGCTGCTCTGGCTTCCGGCCACACGTATCCAAAGCCAAACGCGCTGCCTTTTTGGTCGATACCCGCAAAAAGTAGGATTTCCCCCTCGCTTGCATTTCGGCACAGCCGGAGTCGCATTTGCGCTTCTTGTCCCGATGCAGATGATGCAGGCGACATGTGTAATCCCGGGAGGAATATCAAGCGATGCCCCTTAGGATGGGCGAATTAAGTTAACGTATGCTTGGACACGTGTAAAGATAAAAACAACCGGGTACGCGAAGAAAATCTGGCGTGTACTTACGCATGTCGTTCTCCTGGGTCTGCGGAGGTCTCGGCCTGGGCTGCTTAATTCGGTCCCGACAATGTAGGATGAGTATTATGATCACGCCGATCAGGATGACGCATACCACCAGGCCGACGATGATCAGGATAAGTTGCCAATCGACTGGAATCAACGCTGAGCGTCACGCCTGGTTAAGTCTCGTGTTTGAACTCAAGAACAAAACGTGTTTTGTTTTTTCCTTGATTTAACGGCTCAAGGGAAACAATGGATCGATTTCGAGGTCTAGGCGAGACCCGGGTCCCGGGTCGAGGCGAAGCCTGCCGGATCGTCGAAATCGGCGAGAATGGGTTACGCAAAAGGTGGCGTTGAATTTTAAATCCGACTCGGCCCGTGAAAATGTTGTCGGGCAAGCTTTGCCTCTTCCCGGAGGGAAGATGGAAGCTGGAAGAGGGATGGTCATTACGGGATCCCTCTTCCAGCGCGGGCCTCTACATGGATACGTTGTTAATAGGCTCGGGAATATTTATTAGCCTTGGCAAACAACTTGACGGTAACTTGCTGCTCCCAGCGTTACAGAGGACTCGTCGCTATTTATATTCCGTATTTGTCGCCGAGTTCGGCGAGGCATTTCGCGTCCCCGGCCACCGCAAATGTTGATTTACAATTTCGATGCAAATATTCATCTACGTGCCCATCATAGAAATGCAACTGTCCATTAAACGAAACGTCGCTTCGATGTTTTCTTTGATATCCTGACGATAAATGCCCCGACGTACCGGGGTCCCTCCTCGAGAGCTCTCTCGATTTGTTTGCGACGTTATTGTACGATTTCCCCAGGACGCGAGAGCCATTGATTTCTGCGCCGGCCTTTTCCTTTCCTTTTATTTTACCCCCTCGCTTTTTGCGTTACACTTCGACGCGCGTTTACGAAATGGATACTCCTATGGTGGAATTGGAATCGACTCGAAACATTCGACGAAAGGGGAGAGAAAGTCTCGCGTCTATGGCCTGCGCTGATGTAGATTTCCGTCCTCCGCTTGTTAAGAGTCACCCCGGGTCGAGAATCACCCCGATGGCCCTCGATTCTAGAATTCGCGGCCACGGGAGAAAGGGAGCTCCATTCTTTCAGTCCCACGAGTAATTACTTAAGAGTGTGCCTCGTACTACCGAACAATGAAGGACGCTGAATGAGACCCTCCGAGCCCTTCTTTGCATCGCGAAGTGGCGCGACGCGCTCCCGAACTCCCCGAACTTTTATAATACAATTAGACAGGGCCTAAGTACGTTTACCGTCGTACGTCTCGTAATTGGAGACAATACCCGGAAATTTCGGGGGACGGACCTCCACTCTTTGGCAGCCTTGCGCGACTTTCAGACTCGACATTAACGGGATGACCAAGACAAAGCCGAGCAAATGCTGCGAGGTAGCCTCGACATTTCTACCCCTTTTTGTCCTTTCTCGAGGACCTTTTTCAGCTGGGCCAGCCAAAAACGAGGGTCCTCCGATCCTGGCTTCGGCGACGAGAAACGGATTCGAAACACTGACCCCACTTAAAACCTCCAATTGTATGCCTTGAATGGACCTCGAGATGGTACACCGAGAAAGAAAATTTCATCGAACCAGAGAAATATTTCTTTGAACAGTAGCAAGGAAATATCATATTAATCAAACAAATAATTATTTGGTTCAAATAAACTCGAATAAATTTATATCGGACAATTTATTAGAGTCAAGTAATTATTCCTTGAATTAAGGAAATATTAATTTTGGGCGATTCAAAGGAATATCTCTTTGATTTAATGAATTTCTTTTTCTGAGGGCATCATTTCGTTGGAATTAGGTTCTACCTTTAATGACATAGGGCATAAAAGTGATGGTAATCTGTATTTCTCTTATTTCTAGGCCTAGAGGAGCACTTAAGTCGAATTAAGCAAGGAAGTAGGACGTGGGATAAAAAGGGAACTTGGGTTCGAAGTGGGGCTAAAATTTCACCTCGGGCGGCCTCGGCTGGAATTTCTGCCGCAATCCCGTGAAACCGAGGCTCAAGTTGGACAGTCCGAAAAGGACTTTTGGGGGCGGAGGAGGCATCCTGCCGGTCCAGGAGAAACGCGAGAGGATGAGGAACCGCGTTACCGGGCGAGGGTTCTGCCCGCAAATGTCGTACTTCTGGTTCACCGTCTGGCTTTCGACAATGCCGGTGTCGAGGCGAAGAGGGGGAGGGATCGAGGGTTCTATGGAGTGGCATCAAGTTCGGAACTTTCGAAATTGATATTTCCTCGTTATATGCCCGTTCCGCCCGGAAGTCCGCGTCTCCGATGCCCGAGAGCCGTAGGATTGCGTTTTCCGCCGTGGAAGATGTCGAGCCCCGTCCTCGTCGTCGAGTTTATTTCCGAGTGCAGAACGATCGGAATGCCGAGCCAGGGTCACGCGAGAGGATCGACGAAACGATTCGACAGTTGATCCCATCGAACGTTTAATTAATTCCGATCGAATGGTATCCCGACCGACGCAGTCGAGGCTCTTCGACAACTTCTTCGGCATCGTCCTTAACGCGCCGGAAAAAATGATCCCAGACCTCTGCTCCCCTCGATCTGGAATTTTGTACCTCGGTACGATGGACAGCCATTGTTAGGAGTCGATATTAAAGTATCGGGATACTTGGCGAACAGCTATTGGCGAGTTTCGCGGGGTATCGCCGAGTGGTCCCGTCCAACTTCGGGATGTATCGAAAAGTTGGACGGCCGGGGGCTCCGCAAGTTGGTTATTAAATTCCCCGGGTTTTTGAAGCTTAATCTCGTCCCATTAGGAAAATCTCCGCTAGCGACCCAGCTTCAAAACGAAGTTTTCAGTGAGCTTCCACTCTTCAAGGCGACGTTATGGCACCCTGGTCCCTTATCTTAAATTTATTCTGCATTAATACTTAATTTAGGAGGTCGACTTACTGTGCGTCGTAAGCTTGATGATGACCGAGTCCGTCCCGTAGCTGTTGGTCACCGTGCAATTGTAATCCCCGAAGTAGGTGGATATCGGCTCTAAAAGTGTCACCGTGCTGACCACCTTCTCAGGGGTGTGCTCGTCCTGCACCAGGAAGGGGGTGTTGTTCGTCGAGAAGTTGAGAGGGTGTCCTTCGAAGCTCCACACTACGGAATCAGCTTTTGGCACGGAGATGGCAGTGCACTTTACCTGGGAAATAAATGGGGGATGCAGAAGATCCTTCTCGATCGGGCTCGTCGATTTAGGACGAATCTCGATGATCGGTCATTCTTTTTTTTTTTATCCAAGGTTGAGTTTCGACTTACCTTTACGACACCTTCGTCTGGAACGTATTGCGTCCTTTGAGAGACGATACTGGGCGGAGCTCGGATGTAGATATTTGCGTATCCCGTCAATTCTGGAAAACCGGGAACGTGGGCTTTGCAATAGTAGCGACCAGCGGTTTCCGGCCTGACTATTACGCTGATGTTTGGACTGGTTGCGACTATTCTATCCGTCTCTTCGTGGATCCAAAGTATTTCCGGCGTTGGGTTGCCGTCCACGTCGCATTGCAGAATTTCCGTCGCTCCGTAGTTCGTTTCTACGGACATGGGCTGGTGGCGAAATTGCGGCCCGTCTGGAATTGGCGGAAAAATCGGTTCACACTAATTCGTGCGAATTGCCCTCTGACTCGTCAAAACGGAGTAATAAATGCTTCGTAAAAAAATTTTCCGTCGAAATTAAATAAAAGAGCAAAAAATCGACTAGATCGTAGATTGATTAATGTCCCACAGTCGCGAGATAACGCAATAACCGGTGATTTTTGTTATTAATAATAAATCCACGACAGTGCGCATCGATTATCGCTAAGTACGCCGACCGTTGTAAACCGAAGGTATGCAAATATTGTTTCACGTGATTCAGTACCTGTAACCATTATGGTAATGCACTCTTGGGTGCATACTTAAACTTGCATGGAAACTGTACTAGTGCATAATGATGACGACCGCGATATTGTATATATTAAAGATGCTTTATGAATCATAACGAGTGAGTAACGGCGTGGCGTTTCCGCGGCTCCGGGATTTCGAGCGTGTTAAAATCTTATTATTTAGGGAACGATTTATAAAATTAAACCCGACTTACACGTAATGTCCAGAGTCTCTGTCTCCTCACTCTTGCCGACGTCATTGCGCACTTCGCACTTCACGTTCGCGTCGTGGTACTCGCGAGTTGCATTGTGGATTATCATCTCGTCCTTGTAATCTCCGATTACCTTTTTGTCGTTGATGTACCACCTGTAACGAGATTCGTCTGATCGATGATTTTTGTTTTTAATATCCCCCTAGACATAATTTATCCCCTCAACATAATGTATATTAGTACATTATTTGTTGAAGATAATTGATTAAAACGCGGTTTCTCTTTTACCTATATTCGATATCCGGCGGATTGGCTTCGGCTCGACACTTGAATCTGAGTTCGGTCCCTTCGACGATTCGGCCATTTTTTCGGACCCTCTCCGAGAAACTGGTGGGTATTCTCAGAGACACCTTAGGGGCGTATCGTACCTGTGCAAGAAAAGAAATAGAGGATTTCCAAGTGGCCCGGAAAATTGGCTCGAAAGTTATCGCCTTAATGTTTCAACTCGAGTCCGCGCGAGTCGAAGGCTCGCTACTTTTACTTCCGCGGAAAACAATCCTCTTACGACTTAAGCCGTTTTCCTCGGAGGGCTAATTTTTCCACGGGCTGGAACAAATGATCCTTCTGCCGAAGGGAACAAGATTCGGGGACAAGGAGTGGCGGAACTTCCCATTCAAACTCCACCGAGCCTCGCTTGACGACTTTTGGGACGCGACTTCGGCCATTGTCGGGGAAGGGAGAAGTCGGCTGCTGCTCTTGATTGGCCAGATCTGGACAATGTAAGACCTCACGTATCAAAAGTTGTCAAGCGAGAGCTGACGGATCTTCTATGGGAGGCCCTACCAGGGCCACCATTTTCTCCAGGTCGGGTTTCTTTGAACTATATAGCTTTTGTTTCGGTAGCTACAGGGAATCGTCTGGAGAGACGAATGCAACGGGGAAACAAAGCTGATGAAAAGAGCCTTGGAAACAATGCAGGCATTCTTTGGGACGAAACTGGCTAACAATGCCTCCTACGAGTGTCGCGATCAAGTATTAGAAGATCCTGAGAAGTCTGAGTCTTCAGACCCCGAGAACGGATTTCAAAGTCGTCGAAGTCGTAACAAGTGCTCGCAGGGGATGGCACCTCCGACTCGTCCGAAACGTCATTTAATCGTGGTCCACCCTGTCTCGAAATTACGCAGGGCTCCCTCCCATGTGTCTCCCCGTCATGAAGTAATCTAGTGCATTATGCATTTTCCAGATGACCGCCGGTGCAATATTCAGCGAGGAGCCATGACACCCCGTTAAAATTTACTGCCCTCTAAAGGATACCGCCATGACGACAGAAGGGTCCATAAACATTGCTCATAAATTTATTGTCTTCCCGTCTACCTTTCTTGTTGATGAAACTCCATCCGCCCGGAGGCTCCTCCGCGGTTTAAGAAAAACGCAACGCGACCTTTTTATTCTCCAAGTGCAGCGATCGTAACGATACTCCCCGGAAGTTGGCCTATTAAACGTCCAGCCTAAAGCCGCTTTTCTTCGGATTTATCCCCAAAGTGAACGGAAACTCGGTCAAGTATGACTTCGGACCGTAAACCTCGAGAGACGAGACCACGCATTTTCCAAATGACCGATATCGCGATATTCATCGGCGAAGCCATGACACCCCGTTAAAGTTTACCGCTCTCTAAGGAGTGCCGCCAGGGCGACAAAAGTGTCCGTAAAGAGGGCTCGTAAATTTATTGTTCCGTGGATCTGGGTTCCGATGAGAGTGCATCCACCTCTGGCGTCGCTCCGGATCTCTCCTCGGCTCGTCTCCTCTTCCATCGTTGAAGGGAACTCAAAATTGATTCGCCGTCGGAGTTTGCGCTAGAGAGTCGAAAGCTTCCCTCACCTGGACGAGGATTTTGACGTTCTGAGGGGTGCGGTCCGCGGAGTTCTGGCTCTGGCAAGTGAAGGTGGTGTTGTGGTGCTCCTTCCTCGGCATCATCGTCAGGATGGAGCGCACCGTGAATAGCGGACTCGCCTCGAACTTCTCGTGCTTGGTCTCGATGCCCTTGTGCAGGACGTTCCCCAGGCCGTCTATCCAGGTGATCTGAAATGTTTTCGTTGGAGGCTTAAGTCGGTTAGTTTAACCGATGTCAAGTTGGCTCGCGGCCCCGGAGTGCCGGCGAGGGATTAGCATTCGATTTGCACGAGACAGGGCCGATCGGCCGCGCGTTACATCCAACTTGGATTAACAAAGCGCCGCTCGCGGTCGGCACCCGCCACGGCAGCATTCGTCACTTTCGCTCTCCCGGCAACTAAGTTTCCCCGGCTTAGCGAGAGAGAGAGAGGATTACGTCTTCGCTTTGTCTCCCGGCGTCGGCCGAGGGCTTCGGGACGACCCATTTTCCTGGCAGCGACGCCGGCCCGATGGGACGAGACCCCTCCGGCTCCCCGAGGAACTTCGCGGGTGCACTCGGGATGGAGAGTCTGCGAAATGCTTCTGGAGACCGAGCGACTTCGACGGCCGCGAGGGGGACTCAAATGGGTGCCAATGGAGTCTCTGGAGAACCTTTTATCAGGTTCCCCGGAGAACCTCTCGTCGCTCCACCCTAAGGATCTGGTCCAGAAGTGGATCGAAGGTGGGGTGTCCCGGTTGGACCACCCAAATCCCGTGGATCTAGACAATTAACCACCCACGAGCGACTCGATGCTTTGGGAAATGAATGGGACCAGGGATTTGGGAACATTTGGATAAGTCCTGACGAGTCAGGGAAATTGGGAGCACTCGGACTCGGCATCAGGAAAACTGGGACCATTTGGATGATAAGTCATCGCGGTCAGGGAAACTGGTAACCGGGTGCTGTTTCAGGGTGCCCGCGCGAGATTGGGCAATTTTCACCGAGTCAACACCGTCGAAATCCCGCCGTATCTCGAATTGCGTTAGCGAAACGCCACGGCGGTAATGCGCAAAAGTAAATTGGATTGATGGGCGGGGCATTGTTGCTCAAATAAACAGCGTGTCCATCGCTACTCGCCGCCGCAAGTAAACATTCTGAATAATATACAGGGCCAGGAATTAAAGCTCTAGCTGCGAGCGACACCGCGCGTACACGGAGGTCCCCGTTAAATTATACCCCCGCAAAGCGTCCGTCCACCGTTAGCCGGATCCAGGAATTCAGAAATGGAGCCTTTTACAAGATAAATAAAGGTGGAACGAGGGCGTCCCCGAGACCTACGTCCAATTTAACGAGCAAGGGGCACGGGACCCTGGGACCTCCGAACCGCGGCCATCGTCCCTTCCCTCCGCGTCGCTTTTCCTAACCTAAAAAAGGACTCGCCCCTCCGGGATCACCGTGGAAGGGCGAGATGACCGATCGAAGCTCGCCTCGGGCACGTATGCCGAGTGGTAATGGACCGGGGCTGTTAAAACGGCGATTAATACAGAACCGAGTGGCACCAGACTGGGGCCATTATTCCGGTGGACCGGTGCAGACCGGCCGAACGGAATGCTCGTATAAACGGGATTACGAAGATCAGAATACGAGGTCGGCTCCTGACCTCGTATCTCCCTTGGCGAATAGATTTACAGCTAATAATTTCCCGTGGGTACGCAGTGAATGGACAGTATTGTAGGAAAGTGGAGTTGCGGCAATGCTGGGAGCGCCGTGGTAAACGCTCGGTGGCCCCTTGTCGTGCTCGTTTAATTACGTGTTAGCAGAGGGAGAGAGAGAGAGAGAGCGCCAGAGGGAGAGAATGGCGAACGGCGCGGACCGTATTCGACTGTATTCAGCACGCATATACGGGGACCCGGCTGAATTTGTCAAATTGCATGACGTCTTTCGTGGATTCCCGGTTATTACGTCGCGGCCATGCGGGGACGGATTTCCGAGCCGCACCAGGGGAATGTCGGGAGCGCCGATTGGTCGATCCGGCACGTCGCGTTTTCTCCCCGACGAATGCCACCCCGTCGATTCGGCTCCATGGGAATACGCCGTCTAAGGGTGCCCGAGGGATTTCGGTCCGATCGATTCGAATCCGCCTCCCGACTCGCTCTCGCCCTTTTTTTTATCTGGATCAAAAGGGGTTCGCAGAGTTCGGAAAACCGAACAAGAAGCGCCTTCCTCGTGCCCCCCGAGAAACGGAAATAATCATTCGTGAGGGTGTCTCCGTCCTCCCGAGGGCCTCCACGTTGCGCGTGCTTGAACTACGGCGTCGCCTGCTCGTCACTTGAGAGTTTCTGGGGGACGGTCATTTTTTAAAAATTCGAAGCGGCCCCTTCCTGGGTATCGGGGACTTTACGGTTTCGTCCTTTCACCCGAGGTCGCTGGATGGAGAGTGGACCACCTCGATCGGGCTTGAAAAGGAGCCGACGATGATGCGAAGGGGGAATAACGAGATGAACGCTATTCCCAACAAAGAGCGTCGATCGTCGATCAAAGAACTACCGCGATACTCGCCCCCCTTTCCGGGGCAGAACCCCCTCTAATGGAATAAAATAAATGAATCTCTTAATCTCACAAATGCAAGGGAAACTCAAAAGGACACGAAGTCGTCGGGGGGAGGGGAGCTATTTGCCGAAGTAATTACCACTTGAATATTAAAGAGTCGTCAAAAGATCAGTTTCCAGGAGGGGTTCCCGCCGAGCCCTCGCGACGGTGCGGGAGAAAAAGAAGCAGCCGTGGTTACGCAAAGGAGAGCTACGGGAAAGCAAAGGTCCCCGACAAAGGATCAGGAAACCTCGGCGAGTAAAGCCCGATAGCAGAAGGGGCAAAAATCGGGGGCCCTTTTTGCGCGCCCTGCAAGAGGGTGCCCTCGAGTCGGCCACCACTTAATTCGCCGCCCTTTCAACCCCAGCGACCTCCAGCCTCCTTTCAAATCGTCTCACCCGATGGAAACACTTTTCCTGACTGACGTAAAATCCCACGGGATTTGCAGGTTCCGGTGAAAACCGAGGACGAGCCAACACGCGAGGAAGACACGTCAGGGAAGAAGTCCTTCCTGCCGGCCGATCATCGCTTGCATGACGGAAGATTGCCGAAGGATCCAGGGCGCGCTCGTCCCGGAGGAACGGCCGAATAAAAAGGAGTCGATGATTAGCAAGGGGAGGCAAGAAACGACCGGAGAGCGCAGATCGACGCAAAATGCGGCCCCGAGCTGCGTCCAGAGGCAACTTCGTGGTGCACCTCGTGCTTTCTTCAGGGTCGTTCTCTTCGGGGCGGTCATCGCCATCTATCGAATTTTCCTCCCCGGCTCCAACCTCGGCCCGTTTATCTGTTTTGCTCGGATCGTTATGGCCGCGGGTTAAAAACGGAGCCACCGAGGAGAACGAGCGCCAGGAAAAAGGGCAATTCCCCAGGGAAGACCGGGAACCTTGGAACACCCTCTCTGCTGTTTAGGGGCGCAATACGGGTAAAATGCCGAGCGATCTTATTTCCTCTTATGGTCTTGACGGAGACGCGGGGGGAGGTGATATCGCCACCTCTCTCAAGAGACACGGTTCCGGATCCGCGGTTCCTGGATACGGTTTGACGTGCTACGGAACCGTCGTCGACGTTACTGCGATCTCACCGCGAGGTGTCAAGTGCACGGACCTTTGAGGCGGCTCGATAGTTGGGTGAGAAAGTGCACTGCGAATTTCGAGGTGCACATTGTAGAAAGTGCCCTTTCAGGCACTTCTCTTGTTAGAACCGTGGTAATAATTTTCGGATTTTTTTCAGGGCGAGTGGAGGTGAGGATTTTCGCGAAAGAATGGGATTTTCCGAAATGGAACGTTTTGGGGGATGATGGAAGTGTAGCGTCAAGGAATCGTTTTGTTCTCTTGAAACGACGTTCTCCTGTCGTGAGAATGAATGTTTGATCGCTGAGTGGGAAAATCAAGCTCGAAACTGCACTGGGAATTTCGAGGTGCACATTGTGGAAGGTGCCCTTTCAGGCGCCTTCCCTTGTTAGGGCCGTGGTATCGATTTTTGGATTTTTTCTAGGACGAATTGATGGGAGAATTTTCACGAAAGTTGGGGATTTTCGTGAAACGGGACGTTTTGGGACACGACGGAAGTGGAGCGTCAAGGAACCGTTTTGTTCCCCTGGAAGGACGCTGCCTTTTCGCGAGAATGGATGTTTGATCGCTGGGTAGGAAAGTAAAGCTCGGGACTATGGAACCAGCGAAACTGCACTGCGAATTTCGGGGTGCACGTTGTAGAAGGTGCCCTTTCATGCGGCTCTCTTGTTAGGTGGCATCACTTTTGGAGTTTTTATTTTCTCATGGCGAGTGGAGGGGAGGATTGTCGCAAAAGAAGCGGATTTTTGGAAACGGGACGTTTTCGGAGATGATGGAAGTAAAGCGCCATGGAACCGTTGTTCCCCTGGAAGGATACCGCTTTCTCGCGAGAATAGACCGTTCGCAGTTCTGCAAATATCCCGAAAGTCTGCGAGCGAGTGTATATCCTGAGTAGCACTGGCTAATCACTTCTCAGAACGGCAATTGCCAGAATTCGGGGGATGGCACGACTTGGGCACAACTTTGGCCTCCTCCTAACTCTTAGGTGAGAGCCACTCGGAACTCCTCGGCGCCGCAATTTACACACTCCGCCAGGGCGGAATCCTTTTTACAACTCAATTCGCCGGGCCGGTAACTTGCATCGTAACCCGGTAAAAATTCCCCGTTAAAGTCGTTCGGGGCCCGGCCTTTCCCCGGAAACTTGGAGCGCCATCATCGGGACTTTATTATCCGCGTCGATCCGTTTTCCTTTTTTTCTTCGAGGCGCAGTAAAATCGCGAATCGAGCCGGGCTCCTCGAGGGTGGATCTTAATTTACGAGGTCCTGCGCTTTCTCGGACTGGAAATAAGAGCAGAGGACGGGTGGCCTGCCATAGGTGTAAACCACCCTGAAAAATCCACGACAAATCCCAGCTCGGTCCTACTTTCATCTCAATTCCACCCAGAGCGTCTGCGTTTCCGTATCCTCGCCGCGCCTCGTTTCAACTCTTCTCCCTCCATGCATCTACGTTGCAAATGTCGCGAAACGTCGGCGAAACGAACGACTGGCTTGTCCCTGTTCCCGGGTCTCCTCGTTCCCAAAACTCCGGCGAAAGTTCCGAGGTCTCGCAGCGTCGCCGCGTGGATCATCGGTCCAGCATCCCACCGGCGACGAGAAGAGACGGAAGAAGAAGCCGGAAAGCCTCAGTCCTCGAATCGGTCATGTCCGCCCGGCAAAACTTTTCCCCCATTTATTTCGCCGTCCCTCGCCGCTCGATATTCAAGCCCATCGTTTAAATCAATGCGAACCGATTATTCCGGCTTGTAAACGAGGACCGGGTTCCGTCCAGTGTTCCGCAGCCGGGCGGGCCTCTTCATCAATCGCGGTTTTATATAACCGATAATTAAAATATGCGGTTGCATCTGGAAAAGTAAATCCCGCGATTATCCAGCGATCGGCCGAGTTTCGGGGGAAACAAAATAAAATTTGGTCTTGCAACAAATCCCGAGAGACGTGCACCGCCTGCAATGTGCAATTAGTCCTCGAGTGGTGGGATGCATTTTGTCATATCCTCACTTCTTTTCCCCTTTTTTCTTCAATTGATTTCAGGGGGGTAACGAACGGTGCGCTCGCGGATACAGGTTTTTCAGTTGATTTAGTCCTCTTAATTGCTACCGGGGATGAGTAATTTACGAGGGTTCGACAGAAGCGCGTCTCGCTCGCGGGGCCCGAAATCAAATTAGCAGAAATACGAGCAACTTTCCGGTTCCGGGCTGCGCCGCGTTATTGTCCCGGATTAATGGGGCATCGGTGAGTCGAACCGACGCACGTATCGTCGGTTCTTAATATCTGCCACTCAACATTACGGGGCTTAATTTGCACGCGTGTATTGTCGAGCACCGGCGCGCGAATCCCCGGAATTACAATTGCACCGCAATCATAGTGTAAATTGATCTCCGGTGAGCATCCGACCTGGAATCTCGCGCGCATGACTCTGTGCGTCTAATTTCGTCACGAGACCGTCCAATTGGTCCGACTAATTGGACAAAGAGAAGGATTGTCATTCCGCGTCGACACCTCCGAAAAACTCGCAAACAATGCAGCGACCCGAATCCTTCCTGGACACTTTCTCGAAATCTACGTCCCCGAAGATGGGGAAGCTCTCACGCAAGAGTCTGCATGGTCTCGGATGAGAAACGTAAAAAGGAAATAAAAATAAAATTCAATGAACACCTCCATCGAACTCCACTCGTCGAGCGACTGGTAATGGTACTCTGCGGAACTCGGGAGCGGAATTTTAAGCTCCCTGGGGGGGTCCCTCGAGTCCTGGAGGAACTTCTTTACATGCGTGCGCCGCTGCAGCGGTGCATTTAACTGCAATTAGGGAGTTTTCCGAGGGCTGTTAGCGCGCACGTAGCGCAGCGATTGGCTATCGAGAGGCATCGCTCGTTCCCGGATACCGGTTCCTGTGGATGGTCTTTTTCGACCGGGGACCATGAAACGATAGAACGATGGTCGCCCGGGGGTTGGGAAGCAAGACCTTAATGACGCCGGTCTTAAATGGCGCAGCGCTGTAACGAGTTCAAAGCGAGTGCCGGAGAGGGAGAGAGACACGCCGCCAGGAGTAGAAGTAGAGGAAAGAAGTAGAATACTGTAATGGCTGGAGTGCCGCACTGTAGAGCCTCGGTCTGGCTAAGGGAGGCCACGGCGAAGTGGCGCCCCTGGCATTTATGCTGTTGCGCCTCCAAACTTTTGGATCACGACGAGAGCCCGGCTTTTTTCGGACTCCTTGCCTCCCAGCCAGCCGAGCAGTCCATTCGGTTGCGGATTGGAGGCGGCGGAGTGCACTTCAATTTCCAGCTGGCGGAGAACCGCCGGTGACAACGCCCTGTCTCTTCACCCTGGAGTCTTCACCGAGGAGGAGCGACCTTCGAGGCGAGCTCGAAAACTCGGTCTCGAGAGCGGAGTGGATCCGCGTTAGGGCAATTCCGGGGAAAACGGACCGCCGGTTGTAATCGTCTTATTTATATGATTTAATCATAAGTAAACGACGTTGCAGCTGTCGGCTAATACTCATCGCGACCATGGACGTGGATTTTATGCGTGTCTCTTTAAACCGGAACAATAAATGGTTACTTCTTTTTTCTTTCGTTAGGGATTTCTTTCATCGGGGGGTTTCGAGGTGCTCCGAAATCGCGACCAGCTGGGTGGCTGACGGATCGGCGATGAATCTTCGGGGTCGAACATCCGGGAGGAAGAGGGACGAAGACACGAGCAGGGACAAGTCCGCCGAGCGGATTTGCCGAGACCAAAAGTTCCCGCCAGCTCCGTGTCTTACCAGACCCGACCCAACGTTTTCAGAGCCCTTGAGTCGATATGGTAATGGCTCGAGCGGGATCCGGCTAACCCGGGTATAACTCGGTTCGGCAGGGTCGAGCCACAAGTTGCGGCCGCTTACGCGCGTTTCGTTCGTCCGATCGATCGCCGACCGGAGCCATTCGGTCCACCGCGACAAACTGGGTTCGCCATTGTCGGGCCCTGATCGAGAACACCCTAATTACGGGCCGAGATGAGCGAGATTTTCCGGACTCGCGAGGACCGGGTCCATGGGGCTCCTTTTCATCCCTCGGGGGCGCGGGAAGAAATCGAGAGCAGGGCTCGACCTCGCTACCGGAGTCGATCCCGGGGCAAGGTTAAGCGACCCGCAGTTCCTTGGCCGCAACTTCCCGGAGAACTATCCCGTCTAACTCAAATGGCGAGTCCTGATTCCGCCCTCCCTAAACGGCCGCGATCTTGGGAAACGTACGGTCCACCCGGGGCGCGAACTTTCCGGAATCGCGGCCAGCCTCCGCGTCTCTCCCTCTCCTCGAGTTTATCCCGGCTCCCCCCCCGTGCCGTAACGGGGGAAACTTAAATCCAATTAACGCGGAACCTAATTTTCTGCCGGTTGAGTGGCGGCAGCGAGTTGTGAAAAAAGCAACGGTTGCTGTTGCCGACCAGCCCTGGGATGCATTAGGTCACCGAAATTGCTTTAACCGGGCTCGAGCGAGCATCCGGCAGCCGGACTATGGGTCGGTAGGTTGCCAGCTGGATTTAGCTGGACGCTCCTGTATACGCCGACCGGTTTACTTCCGCGTCCCAATCCCCGTTTCCAGCGGTTTGGGTCTCCCGTCCATGGGCAAAGCCCATTAACCAAGTATAAACTCACCTCCGCTGGCGGCTTGCCCGCGACACTGACGCACTCCATCACCAGCACCCGATCCTCCGTGGTAATGAGAGAGTCCCCCTGGACGATCTTCGGAGGCTGCGGAGGTACCAGGACGCTCAGTCTCGCGAATCTCGAGCGCAGACTCGGCTGCCCGTCGTTCGTCGGCGACGCCTGGCACTGGTACACCCCGTCGTCCTCCAGCTCTACCGGGTGGATCCTCAGGGAGAAGTCACCTGCAATCAGACAGCATCCACGTTTCACTTGACCTCCTCACCGTTCGGAAAAACACCGCAATTTTAAAACATTTTCATTCCTATTCTAGATCGTATTAATTTTGCATGATCCCGCAGAATTGTACCGCGACGTTGTAAAATTACCGATTTACTTAAATATTCAGGATGACCGTAGAATAATCCACTTTCGAGACGAATCGATAGAATTTTAGAGCGATCTCGGGTAACCCTGTGAATTTCCTGGATACTCTTTTTTTAATCATTTTATGAGGTATCCAGAGACTTTTGCGGGAACGTTCATGGACGTTTTTAGGCTCGTGGTGGTTCTTCTTGGTTTCTAAAAATGGATTTGGCTGGGTCGCTCCGATCCCCAAAATATGGACCTGGCAAAATCGAAGTCCCGGCGCGTTTCCGGAGCTCGCGAAACGTGGTTTACGACACGTGGAAAAATGCGCCTCCGGCGGGCGTACGGTGGATAACTGCTGTAAAAGTATACGGTCCGTAGAAGTACGCTCCGGAATACGAGCCAGGACTCGTGCTCGCGCGTTTAATGTCGAAGACGGTTGCCGTTTAAATGGAAACGATCCTCGCGTGTCCAGCCCCGGGTTGGGGTTTCGGCGTTCCCCGAAAAGCCGATCGAACCGCGTCTTCTCGGGGTGCATTCCACCCCCGACTTCCGGTGGCCTTCGAGACCCTCCAGGAAGTCTTCGGGTACATCCCTAATGGGCACAATCTACGGCAACGAGATCTCGTTAATGAGTTATACGCTTTAATAAACTGCTTTAGTCCCCTCCCCCTGTCTCTCACTTTCTCGAGGAGACGCCGAAGAGAGCGGCAAGGAGGGGAATAAATCTTGAAACGTCCTTAACGTTCTCCCTCGGGGCGTTCTGGATATATTTCTGCACGGGAATGATCTTAACTCGCGCCATAAACGAATCTTTACAACGGCGAGTTTCTCGCATGGCGTACACGAGGGGAGACGGCGAGAGGACTCGCTCAATGGAGATCTGCTCGAAACGCAAGTGCAGGGGGTGGCTCGAAGCCACCAAGATTCCTAACCCTTAATGCCCCTACACGGTGCAGGAAGCCCGAAAAATGTTTCCAGACTGTCAAAAATATCGCCCAAGCGAACGGTAGTCCGTCTCCACCACAGGGGAGCACTTTGGGCCCGATAGAATATGCTAGCTGTAGAAAAATGACACCCCACCTTCCCTGGTCCCCCGAACCCCTTCAAACTTTAACGTGCCATTATTCGAGGTGTGCTAGCTTCCCGAAAAATTCCCTAAAGCCCGACCTGAGAAGGAATCGCGACTTCTTTAATTATTTACCGTCCACCCTGCGTGGCTTCGAATTGTCAGGCGCACGGCGGGACGATTAATGGAGGAATGTAAAAATAACAACAAAGGAGCACGCCCGGTTTAACCCGAGACTTTTGAGAGTCCACTCGGCGGGAGTCGAAATTAACGAGGAAATTCCGCACAGTCATTTGCAGCCGATTTCTCCTAGAGGGTAGGTTCCGCAGTTGCAGAACTTTCTGCCACTTGGAGGTGCAAGCGAACTCCCGAGCGGAACAGCTCGGTTAAAATGCCGCTCCCATCGTCTTCCGGTTTTTTATTAAAATATATAAATTCTCCCTTCGAGAGATCCTAGGAGGAACTTCTCGCGGGAGGGTCGCTTCCGGGTGGAGACGAGGAAGGCGCTCCAAGGCGACGAGGTCTGCGTTTACATCGAGTGTCGCCCACGGGCGACATTCCTCTGCAAGACTCTCATTACCAGTAGGCGAAATGGGAAAGCGGGGCTCCCACGACAATTACCAAGTGCGCGAGCGAGCGCCATGTCATTGCACTTTGCGAGTTCTTAACTCTACTGCGCATCAAATATGGATCAGCCCTTTGACATGGAAGGACCAAAGTAATGAGAAAGACAAGGGTGCTCCGCTTCCTACCGAATGCCGCTCGCCGGCTTTCGCAGTCTCCTTTTCGCCGAGCCGGATTTCTCGGCCATTGCGAAGAGAGTAAGCACGTCCGATAAGGATAACGATCGCGGACGAATATTTCCAGAACGCGGGCTTTAAAGCCGATGTCCCCAGAAGCCGCGTTCAGAGGGGACAATTGCGAATGAATCCCGAAAGCCTTCCCTCCGGCTCGACAGTCGGCTGCCGTGTCCTTTATACATCTTCAATGCGCCGAAGTAATTACTTCCCCGGCACTGCTTTATTCCCTCGGTCTCTCCTATAAATGATTTACCGCCCGTCATTAAAAATCGACATCTGACCCCTTACATCCCCGAGAGCAAGAGCTCTTCTTTACCAGCCAGACAAGTGCCTCCATTTATATCCACCTCGCTCTCCCAAACCAACTACGAGTTAAGAAGTTAAGAATTAATAATTAACAAATCCAATTTCATTCTGTAAAATCCGGAGGCTAGTAAAAGCCCGAGGCTTTCATCAAGTAAAAGAGGGCTCAGGGGATAAAAAATTCGGTGAATTTTCTCTTCAACTCGGAAACACAATTGCTTGGAAAAATAATTGCTTCAATTGGTGAAATTTGTGTTGGGTCAATTATAAAATATGGTTACTATACGTACGGTTAATATCTGATTGACGCGACTAAGCTCTTCGGTTAACAGTTTTCGGTTGATCGCATTAAATATTGCGGTAGATCGCATCAAATATTAAAGTAATCTGGAGGATTTAACGAAAATATTCGGTTTATTCGGTAAAATAATTCCTAAAATCAATGAAACGATTTAGCCGAAACATTTTAGTTCACCGGAGCATACGGGTTGGGTCAAGTGAATGAAAATTCGGTTCACGCGACCGAAACGCATTTTGAAATTAACCAAACGTAGTCAATAAGAAAATGTTGTTAAATGAACGAAATTTCTTTTTCCCGCGCGTAGGGACGCGGCGAGTCGAATAATTCCTCTCGTTAAACTCGAGTCAAAGAAATCGAACCCAAGTTAGAGAGTTAACTCGGCAGCGTTTTGGAGTTAACTCGAATCAACGAAGTACGACTCGAGGAGTGCTCGAAAAACCTCGGTTAGGAGTCCAGGATTGAAAGATCCGATCTGCTTGGGCCGTAACTCAGCGTGAACGGGCAAGTGAAACGCAGGGGTTAAACGTAGAAAAGGGGCAAAAAAGAGGGCGAGCTGTTGAAAGGCGAAATGAAATTTGCGCGGATGGAGCTTAGTGTCCATCCGGGTCGGTTCCGGTCGGAGGGAAGCCGCGAGTCCACTTCCGTCGTGCCGTGAGTGACACGGTCTATTAGTTCGATCGAGCCGGACGTCATCTCGTCCAGCGCGGACTTATTTTCCCCTCTCGCACCTGCGGCTTTAAAGCGAAACCGATCGATGGGGTCGCACCTGTAATTACCCGCCGCCTATCGGGCGCGGCGGCAAACGCGGTTAAATTCATACGACCAGGACGGAACGACCCCCTTTACCTCGAGGACAATTTCCCAGTAGTTACCGGGGGTCTTAAACGAATGCCCGCTCCCCTTGTCGCCTCGACACGCGCCTCTCCGCTCGCGGTCGCCGTTACTGCCGATTTGTTCCGTTTTGCGGCTTCGAAAATCCGCCCCGGTCCCTTAAGAGGAGCAAAGGAGAGCTAGGTCAAAAATAGGGACACCCTTGTTAGGCCCAGGAGCCAAACCCGAGGGAAGCAAGAAAAACCGGCAACGGCAATAACGGCGTCGATCGCGTTTCTCGTTCCGTTTCCGTGGGCCTGAATCCTCGGCGGCCATTACCGGCGCTTTGCCGTTTATTTCCCGTCTCGAGCCAGGCCGTCCCTGGAGAAATCTCCCCAAGACTCGCCTCCTTTTCTCTAGGTGCTCGCGAAAGGGTTCGGGCGGTTATAACGGATGCAAGGAGATCAACGCGGCATGACGGAGCGCCGCCGGAAGTGAAACGTCCACTCTGCGTTAAGCCGAAACCGTTCCTCGCGCTTTACGTCGTTTTCGAGGGCTGGAAATGGCCGAATGCCTCGTGACTCCTGGTTTTATCCCCCGGGAACCCCTTTTCTTGACTTGGCACGAGCGTGCACTCGTAAAACCAGACAGGGGGGATTCTTCGCCCTTCGGAGTTCCGGAAAACGCGGGACCACCCTTTGAAGACAATCGACGTCGCTGCCGGTCGTCGGTCTTCAGTCCTTTCAGGGATGTTACCCGGAGGATCGGATTTTAATTACCTGGGGAACTTACTTAATGCCGCCGCGGAGTGGCCGCTCTTTGCGCGTTTACACCGCTTTCGGGGCTGGGAAATTGCAGGATGCGCCGCGATTTCCCCGCTTTCCCTGCTTTCCCTCGGGGCCGCCTTTCCGTGCGTTCCGCCTTGAGACTTTGTCTTTCCCTCTGTGCGATTCCGCAGCCCCGGGACTACCCACTCCGCACTGTAACCGTTCCAGAATTCTCGCGGATCCGCTCGAGAGCTGCGCAAAGCTCGCTAAATGCGGCGCTCTTTGAAGACGATTGGACGCATTCTTGGAACGGCCGCCGCGCGGAACGGGGACGATTTCGGCCCATTCGGGGAACGGTCGTATCGGAAAGGACGCGGGGGAAAAATGCCGATGCCGATTCGAGATGCATCCGAGATATGGCCAAGTGCAGACGCGACGTCGGCGGAAAAACACCCTCTTGGTTGGTCGATCCGGAAAAGGGCTGCGGAAATAACGCGCAGACGGGAACAGATGGCTCGATGGGAACTTCTTAATCGGCTTCTCCCGAATCCCGACATCGATTCTCGCCGCTTCGGGAACTGGGTCGTAACGTCGGCCCACTAATTGGGAGCTGGTGACAGGATAATTTCAAGGACCAGCAAGTAACCGCAGGGAACGAAATATTCGTCCAAGCGTTCTTCTTCGGTATCGATTGGAGATGGTCACCGATGATTTGGGTGCGGGATTCATTGGGTCGGAACGTTGAAATCGGAGCTACGTTCATCCAGATTTTCGTTACAAGACGTTTGGATTTGGCTCGGGAACGAAACATCCACCCAATCGTTGG